GGCAGGACAACCTAATTTTAGTGGATTTTGTGATCTTCTTGTCTGCGACAAGGTAACCCACGAGGCTCTACAAAAACCAAATCAAACTGAGCCAATAATTCTGATAATCCAAAATTTTCTGCATCATTTTGTACTTAGACAGAATTTAACAGTGATAAGGCTTGAGTTGAGAATACCTGAACCACAACCCCTTGTGTAGACTACTGTAACAAGTAGCCCATCTTGTTTGCACCAATTAATTTTATGGGTCATGTGGTAGCACACCTCAACACTTAAACTCCATCTTAAGGTTTTGGAAGTCCCAACAGATCAGTCTGAGGTTAGCAAGCCATTTAACATCAAGGACCATGTCACACACATCTAAGGGTAAAAGCCGTATGTCTGCTATGAATTAGGTTCCTTGCATAACCCATTGTAATTGACGACACATGGCAGAACTAGCAATTCTAGTGTCATCTGCTACGACCACAAATAAAGGGCTAGTTTGATAAGTGGTGCACCATGTTCGTTTAGCTTATTCCGGGTCTAAAAAGTTGTGGACGATAGAGTTATACACTAAAAGCTTATTTTTTTATAGTGAAATTCAGTTTNTGGGGCTCGTTTGATAAGTGGTGCACCATGTTCGTTTAGCTTATTCCGGGTCTAAAAAGTTGTGGACGATAGAGTTATACACTAAAAGCTTATTTTTTTATAGTGAAATTCAGTTTATTATTTAATAAATGTACGTCATTTTCTATTTTAATGAGAATCTGTGTCGAGTAAATTTTTTTTATTATATTCAATATATGATATGCATATGTGTTTTTTATTTGTAGATAATTTGGTGTGTAGCATTCGGCTTATGCGCAAAATATCAGATTATCAAATCCTTGTATGATATGCGCAAAGGTTCACAATCATAGATAGAATTGAACACACTCTCAGTAGAATTGTAGTACAATCATCTGGTATAGTCTTTCTTGATTATAGAAGACTGCCTAATGTATTAGATTGTTGTACTAGTACACTTTGTGTATTGAACATGACCGTTTTTGAGGTTATTATTTTTTTACTAACTAAATAAGAAAATAAATAACTCATGATTATTATAATTGTTTCAACACTTAATCCTGAGATATTTAATGAACAACCAACGGCCTTTGGTATTCCTTATCTTGTGAAGAACTTGTTTGGTTAAGGTCAAGAGTTTAATGCCCTTTTTCCCTCCGAAAAAAAAAAAAAGATATTCAATGAACATGTGCATATAATGATTGTTACGTTAATTCATCAAAGAGTGAGATTTATATTTGAGACAACAAATTTGATGAATTGGGAGAGGACATTGTTTTGTATGGTAGAAATTAATTATGAAAAAAAATTACGTTTCGGCATTTAAATGAGTTGATGATGTCCTCTCGAGGAAACTTATAAGTTTTTTCCATGTCAAAGTTAGAAGGGGATTTAATTATTCGAAATGACAAATAAATTGAGTGGTAAGATCTTAAGGATAAAAAAAAAAGTTAATTACATATAATTATCAGTAATTGAATTAATTGATGGACATCTGTAATCTTAAACATAAAGAGATTATTAAGCATATAATAATAAAGCGCTCAAAATATAATTTTAAGATAAGGCCCGGGAGATCAATAATAAATTTTTAGTGGATTAATTTATTACTAATGGATCGTAGGATATTTGTTTTGAGTTAGACATTGGATTCCTTAGGCCTATTGGAAGCCCAACCCTTATTTCTTCTTAGGGTCTCTAATGTAGCTAATATATAGACGTACTTTCTAATTCTGTCAGCCAAACTTTACATTCACATTTAGAAGAGGTAGAGAGACAGTGTAAGAGCAAGAGAGAAAATTCAAAGTGTTACAGCCCACACTATATTTGAATTTTTTGTGTTGAAGGACATACAGTAAAAGATCGTGAGATCTATTGAACTGGCTATTCCGTTTGTATCAATTTTCATTAGTTCTATGATTGCCAAAAGTAAACCCTAATTACATCTTGTAGGGTTAACAAATAATTTTGGTATTCGGTTCACACGCGTCGTCAACAAATCTTGGGATTCCCATTCCAGGTGCTTCTCGAATCAATTAAAATTGTAATTTGCTTCCATTTCACGAATCCTTTCGCCCGCATGTTTTGGTATGATGTAGAGCTCGTGAGAGCATGGAGTAAGATGACTGATTTGTCAATTGGAACATCTACGGTGCCTTCAAGGGGTTCGGTCGTGGCATCTTCAAACTGTTCCACTTCTTCTTCGGGCTCATCTGCTTCTAAAAGGGATAGTTGTTTCCTACACCTGTGGCCAATGACATATTTCTCGTCGGAACAGTAACAAAGGCCTTTTACACATCGTTCCTCCAATTGTGCTGATGAGATTCTCTTTATAGGTGGTAATGACAACTTGGGTTTAAATTTAGGAAACCCTTTTGGAAAGGTGTTGGTTGACGACAAAGAAGCTCGAGCCTGACGTATAACAACATCCATAGTCTCCTCCTGTAACCGGGTCAACCCTATTGCATGAGAGAGGGTAGTTGGCTCAACCAGCACAACTCTATTTCGAATTTCCTCATGCAGGTCACTAGTAAAGCACTGCATAAAGAAATCCTCTGTTAAGCCACAAGTACTCGTCATTAAAGCTTCGAATTGCTCCGGATAATGTCTCACTGCACAAGTTTGCCTTAATTTTGTCAATATGTCAATTGCATTATCATAGTAGCTAGGACCGAAACGCAGGCACAAGTCATTATCTTCCATGAATATGACAATGGGCAACCTCATAACTCTGAAACCAATCAACTATTATGCCGTAAAAGTGAATGGATGCTGCATAAACCTTGTCCTCCTCTTTGACGTGGTTGTACTTGAAGAATCTCTCGCAGCTGTATACCCAACCAATGGGGTTTCACCATCAAAATGGGGAAAATCCAAACATGCATATTTTGTCTGAATTGCTTCACGAGCAGGACTTTGTCACCTTCGTAGCGGGGTCTTAAAAACATGAGATATCTCCTCTTACCCTTGTTCATTGATCGGCAAAAATTGGGTAGTCAACTATTTATACCTGATGTTGATCGCTGGAACCAATTGTTTTAAGACCTTCGTTTCTACAACATGGCGATCAACAAGAACCTTCATGTCGACAACTTGTCGGTCAAAGTTCTCTTTCAGAGTGCTAATACTCTCCTTCATAAATTTAACATCGTGCGCCCTAGTCCCTTTCACCATTATCATCGGTAGAAACCCTTTGTTATTGAAACTCAAAATAATACAAATTCTTGTTGTGCTCATCTACCCACAGAGACTCCCAAAAAATACAAAAAAAAATAGCTTCATAAATTCCTAATCACATGCCATTGTCAGCTCCTAGAATCCAGCCAATCAACCATCATTAATTGCAACATAAATCCCGCTAATTGCGGCATGATTTACTGCATGATCTTTTCCTTCCAAATCGTCCCATAACAGTCACAAACTGAGAGTGGGTATATAATACACAAGTTTAGTGCTACATTAGATACAAACAAATTGTATCTATATCATTATGTGTCTAATTGATGAATGATTCCAACTTTTTATAAAAACATTGCCACGAGTAGATCTGGGCACTTGGGATTCCTTGATACTTTTTGAGGAGCATTTGCCCTTTTCGACACTTACTTTAGATTCCAAAATGTTATTACTAGCAGATAGGAACTAATAGGAAGGGACAATGTTATTCTCCAAACGAAAAGGAGTTTTATTGTACAAGCTACTCCATGGAAAGGCAACACGTTAGCTATTGTAAACTCTGTTTGGTGGTGACAATATATTCTTTGTGGAAGGAGAATAACTCTAGAGAGTTCATTGTCATAGTCAAATGGACTACAGCTCTTTTGATACAATAAGATGCAAAGTGTTGTAAGGAGCCAGAAAATTAGTTTAGGGTTAATAAGTTATGTTTTTTTTTTAATTGATCGTAGAAGTTTTTATATTTTTTATCATAGCCGTAGAAATTCGTATATTCATATTTGTTGAAACCATATTTAAAAACTTCAAAGTTTATTAAACATAAAAAATTAAAAATTGATCTATATCGCATGTACGCAAGAAATAAAAAAGAAAATAATTATAATTTGGTACAAAAAATGAGCCTAATTATTATCATTTACAATTGATTCTGATAATTTTTTTATCTTTTAAAAGAGTTACAAATCAATGTCATCAACAAATATTTTTTTTTCTATATATAAAATCATGGTAACAATCGTCACGCTTATTTCTATATAATAATAAAATAATCATATAATTTTAAAAAATTACAAAATACCCTTAATATGTCTAAAACTTTTTCAATCATGATATAGATACAATTCATCGTATGGATGGTAGACTTTATTAAAAATTGAGACTCACTATTAGACTTAATGTCACAATATATTAGGTACTAAAATTAGGTTCCAATAGCATTGATCAAAAGTTAGTAATCATTTACGTATGAATTTTTTATCCTAATCCATATCACAAGAACACAATAATTGGGTGGGAATAATTAAATATATATAAATTTTATTTAAAAAAATACATAGCTAATGTTAAGCAAAAAATTTTGAGCAGTCCAATGGTAGCTCCGCCAATGGGTGTTGTCCCTTAAGATAACGAATACTAGGGAGAATAAAGCTTCTGTTTGCAGCTGGGAAATCCCAATGGATTGATGGCCTTTATATACTGAGTTGTTTATGAGGTGCTACATTCATGCAGTTTCAAGTTGAATCTGTGCCATCAATTTTGTTTCTGGCAATAGTTGGACATACATCATTGATGTTTAGTTTGGAATTTGTGTCATTTCCTTATGGTGAATGCACCGTAGAAGTTGGGAGGGTTTTTGTTATTTTCCCTCTTGTTGTATGGAGCTTAAATTTCTATCAATGATTATAAAATTTCGTTTATTTGCCAAAAAAAAAAAAGGAGTTTACCTGATTAAGGAACGGGTTTTGCTTTGTGGATAACGCATTTGTGGACACAATTTATAGAAGTCTAGATAGACGAGAAAGAGTAAAGGTGGTACCGGGAACGGAGGCGAAGCGCAGAGCCTCTTCGATCATGCGGATCTGGGCGGAGCGATGGTCGGAGACAGAGACAGTATCATTAGGGTCGTAGAAGCCATGGTGCATATGGTCCCCCCAAATGTCCTCCCATATTCCCGATGACTCGTCGTACAACTCCGCAATCCCTTTCTGCAGCGTCTCCACCTCCCTATACACTGCACGTGTGGTTGTCGTTGTTGTTTTTCTTCCCGACGACTGTGACGTCATTACTGTGGTCCGGTGGCGCGTGGATGGTCGGTGACGGTGGAGACTGGTTTGGCCCGCGGATAGGAGAAATGCAGAGTGGTCGCATGTGTTGCTGCAGAATGCATTCATCGATGCTTGCTTCTCCTTTTTGTTCCCTCCGGTCCGGTCCGGCTGGGGGTGAAGTAGAGTAGACTCAGCAGAGTGGAGAGCAGTTGGGTTAATGACTGGGCACTAAAACAAACACGTGGGACAATCGGGGCAATACTTATTTACTGATTTTATTCATTGATTTTATCTCGTTTAATTGATAGTAAATTTTATTATTAATTTAATGATTATAATCTGTCATCTTACCAAATAAAATCACTAATTTTCCTTGAAATAATGACACCAATCTAACTGACAAAAAAAAAAGTTAAAAAGCAAATAAATTAATATTAAATACTATAAGCTAGGAAATGGTTGTGGTTTATGAAAACCTAACAGCAAGGGTATTGATTAATAAAAAATTTCATTCATATTCTCTATAGTTAGATTTAAATTTAATGACATTTCCTTTTAATTTTGAATTTTCACTAACACATCATGTTAATTATTATTTATTTACATTTATTTAGATAAATGTACCATTTGTATTTTATAAGATAAATTTCATCCAACGCCCCTGTAAATAGGCTTAACTTCAACGACACTCTCTCAAGATTTTAAAATTTTACTATACTTCTATTATATTAACTTATGGTTCATCAATTTAATATTTAATTTTTTTTAAATTAATGTCTTTTCTTTAATTTAAACTTAATTAACATTGATCTCATCAAATCAATAAAAAATTGATATTTAATTTATTCAAATTAATATTATTTCTTTAATTTAACACTAAATTATTATTTAATTTCATCAAATTAGCATTTAATTTTATCACATTAAAATATAATTATATGAAATATAATATTAAATTCCTCATCAAATTAATGTCATTTCTTTAATTTAACATTCAATTTTATCAAAATAACATTCAAATTTATTCAATTAACATTAAATTTTATCAAATTAACACTAAATTAATATTTAATTTTTTCAAATTAAGATCAAATTTATTTAATTAACATTAAAATTTATCCAATAATATTAAAATTTGATATGTGAAGGGTGATGTTTAAAGAGTGATCGAGTGATGTTGTGAAGGACATACGATATCTAATGTGCCCGAAATCAGTTGGGTCAAGCACAATAAGAATAAACCAAGAAAGGCCTAAGCCATCAGCACCCACAAGAACCACCCAAAGGGGCATCGCCCATGGGGGTCGCCCAAGCTTCTGGTGTCGCCCGTAGACTCCTCGCCAAAGCCCCTCCTCATTTTGGCCCTTGTGACGTAACCACTGGCTCAATAGGCGCCTCTTAGAGCGGGACCAAGGCTTTGGGCGCCGCCCCCATCGTTTCCTCTCTGGTCCACCACTTCACTGCCCGAGAGGCCAGCACCATGCTTCATTCCTCCACTGCCCACATCACTCTCAACGCCGCCCACCCCCTAGGCCAGCTCACTTAAACTCTCCATTGCCTCGCCAGTGGTGCCCATCTTTTTTGAACAGTAGCCTCTAGAAGAAGCCTTTAAATAGAAGAATGATGGCTTCTTGAAGAAGTCTTACTAGAGTAGCTTCTTCGAGAAGCTTGGAGGGATAGTTTCTAAGAGAAACCTCGAGAAATAAGAAATAAAAAGAAGAATGAGGAGGGAGAGACCAAAAACCTCTATTTATAGACGAAGACCCAACAAGAGCAATGCCGAAAAAAAAATAGCCAATATCAATAAAATTAAAAGAGTCTCAAAAGATGAAAAAGCACCGAGGAAAACAAGAAAACTCCTACTCAAATGAAGAAGAAGCAAATTCACTCAACCTCTTCCTCTCACAAAAGTCAGAAGCTTGGGATATGAGAGGCAAATGATGAGCCCAAAATCAACTAGGTCAAGCCCAATAAAAATAAACCTAGAAAAGCCCAAGCCATCAACACCCAAAGGAGCCACCCGAAAGGGGTCACCCAAGCCTCTGGCGCCGCCCATAGGGACCCTTATGGCTCTCCTTCGTTCCACACTCTCTCTTCCTCAGCACCGCCTTAGTGGTATCCCTCCTCAGCTTGCCAATCCAACCCAACTCAAAATCTAGGAAGTCCAAAAGATAGGAGCACGTGGGAGAAAATATTGGGATACGCCTTCATGGAGATCTAATCTTATCTTAATTGTACTTATCCAAAAGTAGTGACCGTCTCACTTCACTACCTCACCAAACCTATATAATGTAAATCCTCTTCACATAGAGGGCATGACCTTGACACCTCAAGACATTTCTATTTCTCACACACCTCTCTGCACCTCCTTAGTTTCTCTCTCTTAAAGCATTGCAACTCTCCTGGAGTGTATTTTTTCAGTGACTTTTATCCATCAATAAAGATCTCCGGTCACCGCTGCCGTTCTTGAGAGTGGAGTAAGTCACCCGGACCGAACCACTATAAATCTGAGTGTTTGCTACTATTAACTGTTTTGTCATTGATTGCCTATTTATTGCTCATTAATTGCAACCTTACAACTACTCGACTGTTGATCTTGCACAATACCATTTGTGTATCATCAATATCCTTCATTTGCCTTCTCAAATTTCACTATCTTAACCACAACTTTTTTGTCACAATAACATAATTTATAATTATATCTTATGTCAACCTCCTCCTCTCCTATGCCTCTACTTCTACCAAAAGTTAAAGAAGACATCAATCATGCATACATACTTCACAACATAAAAAACATAACAAAATGCATGAAAAAAAATTAAAAAATTTCATAATGACTTAAAAAGTTATGTATGAGATAATTAAAAAAATAAAAAATTAAAGCATAACAATATAATGAACATAAGTATATACTGCACATCTTTAAACATAATGGACACAACAACATAATGAACATAAAAATAAAAAAATATGCATGAAAAAAAATAAAAAATCTCAGAAAATTATATACTTACAAATCTTTGAAATTTTGACAATTTTTTTACCAACTTAAAGTTCAACTCATCATAAATATGAGTTATTGCATGAAAAATTAAAAAATTCATAAATACCAAAAAAAATAAAAATTATATATTTACACATTTCTGAAAGTTTAACAAATTTCTTACCAACTTACTCCTAAAACAAATTAGGAAGTGCTCACCGTGAAGAACAATGGTTAGTCATAACAAAACTCAACGGCTGCTCAAGCTTCAGAAACATACCAATGGGTATTTTAGTCTATTTATATAAGAAAAGATAATTTTGGTATTTTCAAAGGATAAGTAGTTAACTTTGTATGTTAATCTACTGTTAGAAACGGGAGCTACGGTTAAATGAGTGTCCTTAATTCGACAAATTAGAAGGAATAATTTCAGAACGAGAAGATGTCATTGAATTTAAACCTAACCATAAAAATTGTGGATGAAATTTTCCCTAAAAAATAAGAGAATCCTTTAAAGTTTTGAGTATTACAGAAACAAGCTAAAACTTTTCTTTTTTGGGGGGAGGAGGAGAGGAGGAATAGGATGAGGTTAACCACCTACACTGCACCACTTACTCACCTCTAAAAGTAGCTATAGCATAACACATTGCTTATGTCAAAAAGACTGAAACAAGAAAGTAGAGTTAGACTCCTCCCTAACATCCACATAATTAGAGCAAACTTCAATTATCGTTTAATAGGTCATTTTGAATTTTATAACTTCCAAGAAAATTTCTGAATAAAAATAAGATTTGTTAACTTGTACAGATTCCTTCCCAAAAAAAAAAAATATTCCTTCTTTTTAACATCGATAGATCCTCATCATTCAAAAATAATTGGAGAATTCTCTAATTATTTGAAAATTAAAGAGAAACCAACCCCAATAAAGTAGAGAACCTTCCCCATGGTTAACAGATTTAAGTGTTACAGTCCAAAGGCTACTCTCTGCAAGTAATCAGGGCGCCTTTTGCCAGGCATCCGAAGTAGCCCAGTAATTTGAAGCTCCGTAACTGCCCTGCAGAATCGTGCTCTATAAGAGATAAGGTCAAGGATTACAAAGAGATCCATTAAGCAAAATCCAGGAAGGCCTGCGACATGGTAACCAGCATAACGAGCAAATCTATAATAATAAGATAGATATAAAAATGACACTATGTAACCAATGCCACATTGAGCCAAATGAACTGTGCCACCAAAAGATCAAATGCGTAAAAGGTAAAAATCTTTCTCAGGGGCATACTCATTTTACAAAACCCTTATTTTTGCATGCTCTTCATGACAGTGTTTGATGGCCCGCTAAGTGAGTAATTGGTCCATTATTGTGCATTTCTCCTTTTCCCAGCTCAACTCAGGGATGCTCCAAGTATGCAAGGATCAAGATTATAAATGCCCTTGAAACATGTTCCACATCATTGTTGGAAACTAAGAAAAATGGAATCAAAATCTATTATGCTTCATGTGAGGGAGACTGGCCAAAGAAAACATTTCATTAGTCACCAGGCTTATAATACTTCGAAGAAAGCAAATAAAGGCTTCTTGACCACTTCATTGACTATATAAAACAGAGAAATAGATGATATGCTGCATAGGGCAGATGGTTGCATCGTTTTAATATTATTATTTACACAGTAAGAGACAAGTAACGGTGGTATCCTAGGGGGGAGATAAATGATTGAGCATTGTGCATATAAATGATTTTCCAGGGCGTGCACAGGAGTGCCTTATGTAGCATCCTAATATTAAGTTTCATTGAATACAACAATGATTTAAATACCACGTCATACCAGAATGCTTTAGGATTTAGAATTTTAATTTATTCAGCCAGGCAACAGACAAAAGCTAAGAATTGCTGAAAGTGAAGGTGCAACAGGATTGTTGGTTATCGAAACATTTGGAACAGACCTAAAGGATGTGAGGTAGATCGGCAGGCCCTTTTGTGAAACCTGGGACAAGTTAAGAACAAGTATCCACAGAAGAATCATGGCTTAGCTGATGTCAGTGACAATGAAAATAGGCAAGCCAAGAGATAATAGACTCGTACACATGCTGTTGTGAGAATTGGGGGTTGGCCTACTGGAGACAAAATGAAGTGTCTGGATGCTTCGGTACAGTTGATTAGTCTAGCGAAAAAGAAAAATATCACATCATCTGAAGGCTCCACAAGGTCAAAAGCAGATTTATTTAGTGTGCAAACTAAACATAAGATGACCAGTGCAAATAATAGGCATATAACCCCAAAATGCAGAAATGAAGTTTGTGCACTGACATTGCAATCCGTTAGCTGTCATATGCCATCTATTTGCAGATGCATGCATGACTAAAGCATGGATCAACTTGCTAAATGCATGGCAAGCAAGAAATGCAATGCTGAAATAAATAGCAATAGGATACTGAACTGTAGCTTCACTTCTGCTTGGAGGCTCATTAGTACACTTTCTCTTCTTAGGCGATGGTGAATTATTCAATCTGTGTTTCACTTTGATGCTCGAGTGGAGAATAGTTGCAGTAAAAGATTGATACCAGTCATGGAGATTGATAAGGTCACCATGCTCTTGAGACAGAGTATACCTGCAAAAACAGAGGAACAAAAGATACGCCTTTTAAGCAATACTTCAACCTTCATTAGAGCGTTGACTTCAATTAAAAAACTGAAAACATTCAGTGTCTTATGACTACTGGATTGGAATCTGTCTTCTTGGTTTTGAAAGGTAAGAGTATTTACATGTTGCGACCAAAGGTCACCTGTGTGTGTCTAGGCAGCAGATTCATCCAACCACTTGAAGTGCATGACAAAAGCAAGGCTAAAGTTAGTTCCATGTCTAACAGCAGCCTAGCATGCTCAAAGACTCTTTCAGTGTTACCAATCACAGTGGTCTGGGGATATGTTGTGGCAGACAACTCTCCACAAAAGGAAGTTTACAGACCATTGTTCAATTCATTGAATTCCGTACAGTAGCTCATGGATTAGCTTAAGGACCTATTGCCATAGATAACGTGTAACCAAGGCTGACTGATTTTCACAAAAAGATCGAACTGAATGAGGGGGTGCAACATAGTGGTTAAGTCCCTGAAGTATAGACTGCAAGAAAACTATGTTTTTCTATTTGAGATGTCACTCTACAACCTGATCCACCATGTCTCTGGAAGAAAAATTACAGAGTGCATATAAATGGACCTGGAAAATGCTCTATGCTGTTGACTACTTGATTACACATTGTCCATGAAAATAAATATGCTAGGTTGGGCAATCCCAAGTCTAACTCGTGATGTCCTTTTTGGCAGTTGAAAAGCACAAGACAAGCATTCAAAAAAAGACTAACTCTTTGTTGAATGTTTCGTAAACTGTATATAGGGCAGTGTTGAATATAAACTCCTTTCATCAGACAAAGCAGCAATCCTAGGCAGGTATAGGCACAAATATAAACGTGGCTATTTTTACCACTTATAAGATAGGTACCCCATCTAAAAACTTACATAATTGAGGTATCATGCATGGATGACAATGCTGTACTGCCAATTTTCCTGCAGCAACCACACTTGAGGATTTTGGAGGATTCCAAGAGATCGATCTGGACTCTTCTCCTAGGGTCACCTATCAAGGCCTAACTCAATGCAAAGAGATGGTAAGACATAAGATTCCCAGAGGCTGAAACCAACGTATACAATTTCCAAACACAGCAAACTATTCTAAAGTATTTCAGAAGTGTTATGTTTGTTAATCAGAACAAGATTTTCTGCAGTTGAAGCATATTGCACGGCTATTACAGCATCTCCGGTATCAACATTTTCATTTTTGGATTGCAAAAGACAGAAAACTGCATTATATTGTCATAATTTCTGAAAATATGTCAGCAAATGTAACTCTTCCTAGTGGTAAGGACACAACGACAAATTATCTTTGTGCTCACACAAGCATTTCAGTATTAAGATCGTTATGTGAAATTTAAAGAGAGAATGCAAGTGTTAAAGATATGGGCAAAAAGAGTGAGACAATCTATATCCATATATAAAATGTGATTGGAACAACACCAATGACTTATTTATAGAGCAGCATAAGCTTCTTCCGCAGTGATTTAAATAATCACAGAACCTTCCAAACCAAAATCCATCAACTTAGTTTCCCCACGGGCTAAATGGAGAACCTGATGGATCAAAACTTCTAAAACAAACTAATATGAAAGGGAATTTTAGATCCCATTTAAACTCCATTATAAGGCTTTATGCCTCAATTACCAGATTCTCTGTTATTAATCTGTATACGGGGGAAATCCCCTTTTTAGAATTGGAGACATCATGACTTTTCCACCAACGCAACCATCATTTCTTAAGGCCCTCTTCTAGTCCTTACTGCACTTTTACCTTGAATCAATCCCTCCATTTCTACACCATTCATTCAACTCTGTTTTTCAGTCTTCTGCTATTTTAGATTCTCAAATATCCATGTCATATTTTCTTGCGTCACCTCCCAAACAATTTAACATCTTTATTTCATCGGCATATATGTTCATGAGCTTCTACCTTTAAATTAATAGCATTCACAACCAGACTTGAGAATCATTTCTTCAATTCCATCAGACAATGACCTTAAGGCTGAAATGGATTCGGAAATAGTGCATGGGAACACTTGCCTACTTGCTTTGATACCGAACTATTCCAGAACCACAGTTTGGAAACTTAGATTGGTGCAGCTTCCGATGGTTTTATGGTGGGTTTTAACTATAACAAACTTAAAGGGTAGGGCGTCATAATGTAGAATAAGAATTGATGGCTGGTGGATTTAAAAAGGAGCTAGAATTGGCCGGATTTTAAAAATGCTAGGTTACAGAAAATTCAGGAGTATTAACAAAAATCTAATAGGCAGAAGAATGAATTTCAATTAAATTTGGGGATGAAATAATCACTTCTTTAGGTGTTATGAACAGCAATCTGAAAATAGTAACTAAGCACAAGAAGAAGAAAAAGAATCATCCTGCAATCTCACCTAAAATCCTTAGGAATCATCCCTTATAGTTTGGAGGTTGCATTAGCATCCACAAATCTTCAAAAGCTCATCTCATTCAACAAATGCTTACAAGCTGCTGAACTTGTCCTACTGCTAATTGGACCACTCAAAATAACAAACATAGAATTTTTGACTAATAAGAATATTCCAGACCTACTTAAGGCTCCATTAGGGATCCAATGTCATCAGTTGAGTGATAATACGACCCATGAATCTTGATAATTGCCAATGTCCAATAATTCTGGACATCAACAAAATAAAATTGGCTTCCACTCTGTATTGAATATGACGAATGCAGTCGGTTACCAAAATAAATGTAAGAGACTTAATGATGGGAATCCGATTATCTTCTGTTATAGTAAACTTAAACGTAGATTTTGATGAGATTTTGGTTATTGTATCTTGGGGTATTATCCTGAAATTAATTTTTGTTTTAAAATTTATTAGTTGACACTTGACAGATATTAAGAAAATAGAGTCATCTTAGGACTCTTAGATTAGTTATCTGGGTGTCATTATGAAAAAGGGATGGATGTACAGATTGTATCATACTTGGATCATTGGCTAATTGAAATCTCTTTCCTTCCCAATTTCTTTCTTCTCTTCTCATCTTCATTTCTTCTCCCAACCTACATCACCTGATTTAACCACATAATTAAATATTCAAGGTTTAAAGCGTGGTTCATGTGAAATTCCCGGCTTTTCCAGTATTTTTGTTCGATTGTTTCACATCAAATACTCTTTCTATTCTCTTTGTCCTTATTGGCTATTCCTTAAACAACAATGTAGACTAGTTTTAGGCATCTTGGAGCATGCCATTAATAGAATTAATAGGTTTAGGCATCTTTAGTATGGCATCATAACCATTTCACACTATCGAATCACATTGTATAAAGAGTGAGCTTCTTCAAAGAGTTGCTTCTAATCACCATTTCGTTAGTCAACAAGTCAAACTAGGAGTTCCTCATCTTTCAGCAAACATTAAGGCAATTAAAGGAACTACACTGGATATGCTCTAATCCAGTAGCAGCATGGCAGCCCACCAAAAACATCCAAGGCTGCTTTTTTCTTTGATCAGCACCTAAGGCTACTTTTGCCAGCATAGGATCCACATCTTGGAATGGGAACGGAAGAACATATGGGCTAACATTAAACTCTTGTCCTCCAATTTCAATTCCAATCGCAAGGAAAAGATACAGCCAAATGCCTCAACACAAAAGGTTTGTGTCACTTTAATAATCAGATCAGCTTCTGTTATAATCATGCCCCTGCAAGTCAGGTTGCTGTGAAAAGATTGATTCATCTTATATTTCAAAGATGAGAAGAAAGCTTGCTGAGGCAAGTCTGTACGTATAAATTATGATAGTAAGATGAAATTCTAACCATTCACTACTGCCACAATCCTGTTTCATATAAATTGAAATAATAACATCACTATTTACTCAAATGCACAGCGCAACATGTTGGATTGTTGGAATTCAAACTTCCAAACATCATGTCAAAACCACGTAATTGCCCCTCCGCCTCCCAATTGAATACATAAAAAGTAGTTATTGAATTTAATTTTTTTGTAGCATATGACAAAGTCCAAACAAGTATAATAGTCAAGGATATTCTCAAAATACTTACCGACTGAAGTTTGTCAACATTCTTGAAGCATGTCATTTCATGATAAGGCATACACTCAATAGGTTGTAGATAGTCCCTATTTCATTAAAAAAAAAATTCCTATTGGAAGCCGGTATTATAATGAATGAAGAATGAGGATGTCAGCATAGTATCCCTACCTAACCACACTACCTATAAATGAAGCAGCTTTCTCATTTAGCGCTTGTGCATCCGTTTTCAGATTTAAACTGCTTCGAGCTATGTCTCTCCTGCCACATAAATCATCAGAGAAGTTAGAACGGAGCATTAGAGTTGTTCATTGCTTGACACACTTTTATGGAGACTCAAAATCAGTTTATATGCAAAAACCACTTCAACCTATCATTCGAATTTGCAATACAATTAATAAATATCCATGCAGGAATTGACTAAATAGAGATCATTGCATAGTTTCCATTTATATCTGCAGCCTTCCTTGATTCAGTATGATATTAATAAACACCCTTCTTAGACATATTCATGTTTAGTTATTAATCTGAGTCAAACTAATGCTAACAGAATTTTCTTTGAATCCTAGTTCACCATTCTGTTTTGTAAGTGTTTATGCACATTGTGCATTGCATCATCATCTAAATCATTTCATTACTAAGTTTGTGACACCAGACGTTGATTTCAAGACCTACCATGATACAAGTCAAGTTACAAGATTGTTATGTCTGGAAATTGATTTTGTCCTTGAAGCGGGGTAGCTTGTGTTGGTGCCAAGCTTTTTTCTTTATCCCATTAGTTTAGGAAAAATAAGGTAACTTAGAGACCATTAGCAAACGCCTCTATTCATTACATAATTTTTCTTTGGATGGTGATTTAATAGACTGTATGTTATGTGAAAAACAGGTTTTAAACTAATAAAGTCCTTTTTAGACTATGATGACATCATCGTCAAACCATCTCAATGGGCATTAGAACAAGGTTTTTTGGGATTTTTCAAGTTGAATTAAGGAGAGTAGCAACACTCGTTGGAATGATAAAAACTAAAAGGCATTCGAAGGCCTAGATTGACATCTGACGATGTACACAGTTTCAGTTTTTAAATGAAGGTTTTGTGTCACAACTAGGAATATCTTATATTATTCTATTTTTAACAAGGTGCTGAATAGACAAAAAACTTTCAGCCACAAGGATTTTCTTCAAAGCTTAGACAAAAGTTCATGTGAGAAAATCTCGTGTTTTCGTGAGATAGATTCATACCAAACCATATAACAAAATAGACCCATGTATGTATTCTTGAACTTCTTGAAAATGCTCAAGGGAGTTGATCGGAACAGTACAATGCACCAGGATACCTATGCTGGACAATCGAAGAGATTCGAGGCCTACAAGATAATGTGTCAGTTAATAAATTCTATAGTGTTTGGGGAGTCCTGGTCTATGTCCCGTGCTTTTCCGAAGTTAGGTTTCCATATTTAGAAATACTTCTCTTGTGATTGATCGATAAAATAATATCTGTTGTGGGATATAAATTTGGTATATTAAAAAATTTTCAATCAAAAGGATTCAAAATATGTACAATTGAAAACTTTCCAATGTCTGGAAACAATTATCCCCATGGAGGGGACCTTGAGGATGATGTTATCAATGGAATTATAACATAACGGACTAAGTGAAGGAATACATCTTATGTATTATGTGATTATAGTATACCTCTTCAACTCATAGGTACGTTCTATAAGACGACCATTAGGCTAGCAATGTCTTCCAGGCCAGAGTGTTGAAAAAGTAAAGAAAAAACACACTCAAAAACAAAATGTGGCAAAATGATGAAATTAAGATAGATGGATGGTAAAACCAAAAATAGTAGAACTGGGAATGGATATATTTGTGAAACAGTAGAAGTAACACCAACAAGAGATAGAGAGAGTAAACTTGGAGGACAAGTTGCACCCAGAAAGAAGAATCATATAATACAGAATTCTACTTATGCGATGGATAGAGTTAGATCGATGAACGAGATTGTGAAAAAGAATATGATGACTTGTGGATTAACAGAAAATATGACCTTGATAGAAACAATGACAAAACATGACTCATGTAGTTGACCTCAAATTTATTTATGATATATTGGGAATTGGAAATTTTACCTAATTTGATTGATTTAGGCGCTGTGGTTACATAGATTTATTTATTCCACACAACCATTGATTTTTGTGTACCACCATAAATATCGATCAGTTGTTATTTCTGTTGACTGGATTTATCATCAAATACTCCTATTTGTTGAATTGGTCAAGATTAAAATTTGGAATGGTTTTCAAATAGACATATTTAAGCTATTTCGTTTTTCCCTTCCACTAGCTCAGAATCAATAGCGATAATGCGTTTTTACCCACTCTCATCCAAATTTACCTATTTTATCGAATTCTTTTTAAGTTTAACCTTTTGATTTTTAAAACCTTCTATAATACCCAAGATTTTATTAGAACTGCAAAAAACAAATAGAAAGGAGAATGGACACTCCACCTGTGTGTCAAAACTAAACAAGCAAGCAGACCCTCCACCATGGGTCGACTATGATATCAAGGAATGGCAAGCTGAAATCAGTCTCCTCTACCATGTATGAATGGATATTCCTATAAACACAGTTGTATTTGTGTATCCTACTTAGATTAAGCACCTGGAGACAGGCAATTTCTCATTTTGAATAAGAATACTAACAACAGGGAGTAATTTCTAAATTACAATGTCTGTCTGAACAAATGCAAGGTAGTTCTATTATTTTAATAAGTAAATGATAGAAACCCAAACTATCAAACATGACATCGGTCCGATAGAAAGTTAGAAACAAAATAGTGAAATTTAGATCAAATGACAACAAAATGTCATATTAGCATTTTTACCCTCATAATTTATAAATCTATAGCAAGTTATGTCATATCGTAGGATTAAACAAACAATCGCGAAACAAAATGTGCCAGATCACCTATAAGCATAATTGACATAAAAATGAGATGGCAGATCTATAGTACACTTTTGAGATGGAATAAACTTTAACAAAATATAATTCGAACAAAAATTAAATAGAAAAATACTTGGATATGTCTGTCAAATCTTGTTTCAAACACTTGTTGTCCTCTAATTTCATCAGAGACTGCAACTCCTTTACCTTCTCATTGATCTAGGACAAGCAAATTATTTAAAACATCAGAATGACTCTGCAACAAACTGCTTTATCTTAAGGATAAAACTGGTGGTGGGCTAATCATTGAACCACGCAAACAAATAGTACAAAATAGATACATTTGATAGTGTAATGAAGATTAGAAACCAGAAAGATTAAAAAAAAAACAGAAAGATAAAGCAGCTGGACTTCCAGAGGGATCTGCGTGCAGTTGTTGAGTGCTTAAATAGGAAATTATCTTCAGTAGAGATTCAAATGTCAAGTTGCCAAGCTAGTGATAGCTTTTCCTTCTACATCTGGAAATATGCACAAAGGCCCTTGCAACACTTAACTCTTATTAGTTCAGAAGCAAGTGCCAATTTGCAGCTTTCTTTTTTAATTGTGTTGATTCCCAAATGAGAGTTCCCACAAGTCGCGGGAGAGCTAGAAGAGAGCTTGGATAATTGTAGACCAGACTAGGTCACAAGAGAGGCAACAGAGACCAGCTCAATATCATTTCAATGGATGGCTGAAATAAAATTTCCAAACCTTTTTGACACACATAAGCATGACAGTACGAGGTTCGTGTCCTCAGAGAGGCAATACACTTTAAGTTTAAAACAAATATACGATAAACAAAAGAAGTAATATAAACAAGTAGTGGAAGTAACACACATTACTCTGCAATAGTACCTCATTGACACCCTTTGTAAGGTTTTCCCAACTCTTGAGCAACTGACACAATGCTGGTGGTGGCAAATCCCTGATTAAAATAAGCTTCAGTATCCTAATGAGATCATAAGAATGAATGAATTTAATAATGTGCAGAAATGAACTTATAGTGTAAGCTGGTGGCCATCAAACCTATTATTCGACAATGTTTTGTGTAATTCAAAAAATCTGATAATTAGTTGAATTTCATGGGTGTTGGCAGTGAGTCAGTGACAAGTTTCTTTCCCCAACACCATAAATGAGATCATTTCTTTTGCTGTGACTAACAGAGTAATAGTCCCCCCCTTTTCCTTTTCAAAATTTTGACAAAATTCACATTCATGTATCAAAACTTCTCTGATCCCAAATATTGCATTCTTGAAGTAAGACAAAAATGAAAGTGTGAATTGTTTACGGTTATGTACACATCTTACTGAATAAAATATAGGTTCTCAGTAACATAGACAGAAAAAGAGGACCTCATACATGTGCCACAGATATAAGAGTTGTTTACCACATAAAGTTATGAAAAACGACCAAAATGAAATGATGCTGAACAATCCAAAACTGAGATCTCAGGAAAGTCCCAAAAGTGCTAAGATCTTAATAAGTTATACACAATCTACATGTCTAAAGAATGAAAAAGTGCAAAATGATTCTGGTGTCTAGGCAAAGTGACAATTATGTGGAAAGCCATGTTACACCACATGATATCAACAAAAGGTGAGGGTTTTATGTGTAGAAATATCCAAAGGGATTTGAGAGGTAAAAAAAGATGCAAAGTCAGCTTCAGCATACTTCTCAAAGCCAGAAGAACATGCTTATGAGAAACAAACATCTCAGTAATGTTGCCCAAGATCTTATTCAATAGGACTAACAAGAAGACCTTCATGTTGTTAACGACACTATACCTGGTTGGATGGCCTAAGCATGTTGTAAATAGCTAATACTATAATGTCACAAACAAGGCCTCATGAAAGGCCGGAGATAATGATAAAAATAATTTATTCTCTGGTCATTTCTTTTGGAGCTTGTTATGCTAACTATCACTAGTAGCTTTGTTCTACCTCATCTATGATCAGTGCTTACATTCTCCAGCCGAAGCATTTGTTATATTCAGAACAATGGGCATTACTTGGAAGCTTGTGGAAAACAGGTGGACAGGATAGCAGCATGACTAGTGACACTCACTGCATCCCTTTATCAACAGAATAAAGTCCGAGGGAAGTTATTTCTCTGAATGATAATGGGACTTACTCTACAAAAGAATTAACAATCCAGATGATGGAGAAAATCAAGTTCTACATACATCAGTAAATTTTGCCCATCATTCCCTGAAAGCCACTAAACCAAATTAGATGATGAAACTTATATTGCAAAATCATAGAAATAAGAGACAGATCTGACAAGTTACGCATAAATCAAGTTGGTGAAACGGTACAAGAAATAATGGAAATAGACAAAGAGGATCTAAATGACCTGTTTGTGTAAGTTACTATGCAATGCATCCATGGAAATTGTAGATACATCAATATTGACAACTCAACTCCGAAAGAGTTGTCTGAGAAGAGTTATTGACACAATTTAATTCAAAATCAGGTTCACGAAATACAGGAACATGCCCAAGAGTTAACAAGAAGTGGCATCAATTAGGCCATGCAAATAGGACCGGTCTAACACTCTGACGTAAGACATATCCAGGGGAAAAACAAGGAGTTTCTGGTCTATGGTATTGAAGCAACTATATAGAGAGTAAGGAGCCAGTATAAGTTGAGTTCTTCCATTGAGTTTTTGACTAAAAGTTTTGTGGATAACGCCAGAACACACAGCATGATCACCAGGTGAAGGTTAAATTCTATAGTATGCAGGTAAAGATAAGTGTGGACCCAAGTGTGCAAAGAGACTTGAGATGGTGTTACTTATATTCATATTACTGCTTTTACTGTAGTTAATTTTCTGTATCCTTTTTTTTGGTACAAGTGGAGGACTTCTTGCCCTCTTTTGTACGCTTTTTACATTATTATTAGTAATAATCTTTGGTTTTACGGAAAAAAAAAGGTAAAGATGTTTAAAAACATTAAGTTGAATGAAAAAAATTCAATTATAGCCACAGAAAGACAATTACCCACCTTACTCTGCGAATTGCTTGACAGATGATACCACCTTTGCACAAGCTAGGATATTGTCCACACACACATTGATCACTAGAAGTCATTCTTAAGTCTTTGTCTAAAGCTGTGTGGTGATGAGAAGCCCTTGGGTTGTACAACTCTGGATCAAGTGCCTCACAGTATATGTCTAACATGGTAATTTTATGATACTTTCCAGCTTCATATAAGCACTGCATCAAAGTTATGGTATCAAGAAACTCAGGCCTTTTCCATGATATGTGCACATTAATTAAACTTAATTTTTGTTCTAGAATTGAAAATATTTCTCACCCCTTTTTTTGCTTTATCATTTCTATGTTATTGGGTCGGGGTGAGAGTTTAGAAGCAATAAATTGTAAGCCTAAGTGTAGGCTACAAGCCTACAACTGTACAACGTCATTAGTGTCCCAAACTTAATTGGCAGATCATTTCAGTGGTGAAAGAGCGAGGTCAAACCAAAAGCTTTTGTGCATCAATTGGAAGACTATAGATATCGAGAGAAACTAGTTCCACACATAGCTACATAAAAGAAACTGTTTTGATAATGTGCTTTCATTGATTAAAACTTTTGGGCAAGTTTTAGGTTTGAAAATTAATATGTCTGTTATAGGCTCCACTTGGAGGAGGAGATCATCAGAGATGTCAGAGATTTGACATCAGAGGCAGATTGTTCAATACATGAGTGACCTATGGTTTACCTGAGGTTACCATTGCGGAAAAATCTGAGATCACACCTCTTTTGGAATTTAGTTGTTGAAAGGATTCATAAAGATTGGATTGTTGAAAGAGGGCACAATTTTCTCTAAGATGGAGGATCACTTTGATAAAAGCATGTTTGTCTAGCATCCCTTTGTACTATTTGTCACTCTTTAGAATCTTTGTAACAATAGCTAGGAACTTAGAAAAGATGATGAGAGACTTTCTTTAGTCTGGGATGGGAGATAATAAGCTGGATCATTTAGTGAGTTAGGAGATAGTTTGTAAGCATATAGACGAAGGGGGATTGGGACTTGGTAATTTGGTGTCTAAAAACATTTCTTTAGTAGGAAAATAATTATGAAGATTCCTGTTAGAACCTAATTCCCTTTTACATAAGGCAATTAGGAGTAATAATGGCCTTTAGAGGAATGGGAGGGATACTAAGTCAGGGAATAACACAACCCATATAAGCCGCTAGAAATTCATGTCTTTTCTTCCTTTGACACAATATAGAGTGGGAGATAGATCTAAAATTTTATTTTGGAAGGATACATGGATTGGGGGCTTAAATTTTCGTAATATCTTTCTTCGTCTTTATCGTTTATCCTTACTCCATGACGCTACTATTTTCTTTTTTTTTGTCAGGGGGACGGACTTATGTTCGTGGGATTTTCATTTTTTTTTTTGGGGGAAGTAATTGATTTGATTTCTTTGCTTCACATTCTCAATGACTTTCAATCTTTTCTTCTCATGATAGTAAACCCTGGAAAGTGGATAAATCTAAGATTCTCATGTAAATCTTTCTATTCACACCCTATTAGCTCCAGCAACAATGATTCTTTCAGTTTAGCCAATTATATTTGGAAAGCCAAAGTTCCTTCTAAAATGAAGGCTTTTGTTTGGACTATTGTCGGTGAACACTAACGATAAGGCCCTCTAAAGCATTGAGTCATGATATTTGTCTTACTTGTTTGTGTAGTGGAGATCGAATACTTATTTATTTATTCACTGTGGTTTTATGTGGTGGTTGTGCAATACATTATTCAATTTGATTGGTCAGGCTTGGGTTTCCCCATCTACAGTGGAGGGGTTGTTCCAGATTAAGTATTGAGGTTTTGGAAAGAAAAAGGAAGCTAAAGTACTATGGCATTGTGCGGCAATTCTTTGGTGTATTTGGATAGAGTGAAATACTAGAATTTTCAATAACCATTCTTAACCTTCTGATTTCGTATAGGACCGATTGGTTTTTATGGCTTCACTTTGGACCAAAGTCACAGGAAACTTTAGAAGGTTGCCATTGTCGGATCTTCAAAGGAATAGGATGGCAACTCTACTTTAGTTTTCTTTTTCTCCTTTTTCGCTTATTTTTTGAGGATATCTTCTCCTCTACATTGTAATACACTCTTTACTCCGTTCTTTAATAAAATTTCTTCTTTTAACCAAAAAAAAGAAGAAAGGAAGAGTTTGAGGCCTCACTATCACCAGAGAGCTCCACAATTTCTGCAATCTCTTCAGTTCTGCTAAGCCATGAGCCCGAATTCCCGTATTTAATTCAGCAATTTTAGTCCTTGCAACAAATTTTCCAACCAAAGTCAGAATGTCATCCTTCTCATAAAAGCAGCATATACGCATGACTCACAGAAACAAAATGACATAAATGTGGATAATGTTTTAAATACCTCCCATAAGATGGAACACTAATAGCTCGTTTGAGCTTTATTTCTGGCAACAATGCACGCTTTTCACTCCAGGAAACCTGTAATGTTTGAGAGAGAGAGAAGTGGAGCTACCGTCATATTAAGGATGTAGGAGTTACTAAGAACTTTCAGGAGTAACTGTATTTCTCAATTTTCAAAGCCCCCCAAAAAAAACTATTTATATATTTATGGATCTGGTTGAGTAATTCTTGGAGTATACAAATACTTATGTTACACTCTCTCCAACAACATAAACTTTTAGAGTTGGTGGTTTTAACAAAGTATCAATAGGTCCTATATTACAAATAATTATATTATTTGCATGTGCTTCGGTCCAGATCTGGCCTGTTAAGCTTGTAGTTGGTAGTTTAACAATAAGCAAGGAGATGAGTAAGTCGATTAATCAATGATGCTATGTTCCGATTATCAAGAAGAAAAGTTGTAAACGAAAGCAAAAAGGGCAAAGGAATTGCACGTATGTCTAGAGATAAACAAAGGCCCAACAAAATAGAGTACGACTTAACTAAACAGAACAAACAGAAAAAGTGAATGTTTCAAGACCATTTTCAAGGAGAGAAAATTTCACCTGACTGTCTTCTTCACTAAATAATTCCACAAGGATGAAGCTTGAAGGCTCCATGAAAAAATGCTGGACAATTGCCATCTGGAAAAAAAAAAAACTTGTTACAACATGAAATTAGCAAGTACTTAACCAAGCTAAGTTGAGAAGCACATGACAGAAGCTGCCACACAACAACAGTACCAGAAAGCATCAATCTCTATCAAGAATTGAGCACAAACCTTCAGAGCTCTGACGAATGAGGACAATGTTCCATCCTGTCTTACAAAGTAGTTCCTCATGAATGTTGCCACTTTGTGCCCAACAGCGAAGCCAGAACATTGTTTCACAAGAACAGCCTCAACAACTGCATCCACTCTCGCGGATGGAGATCCCAAAGTGAATTTACAAGGGGAGAGGTATTGGAGCACATTTGAAGGAAGAACATTTCTCGGGGCATCAACAGTTGTTGCCACTCCCATCATTAAGATTACTGGAATCTTAAGTACCCATTCACTGTTGTAGCACACTGGTCAGCACTCACAGGCCAAAGAGGCATGAAAAATATCGCAAATATGAACATAAGCTAGAGATAACCGAACAATCTACACAATCATCCAAGCATGTTAAGCAAAATAAAAGAAAAGCTAGCTCTTTTTGATAAACAAGAAGTTTATTTCATCTACTCAAACTAGTGATTAGATTAAAACATAGACAAAACTCATAGGTAGTGCTTATGCTATCCTGTTTTGGTTGCATTTGACAATGTTCCGTTGGTAAACTACAGATATTTGCTTTCAAAAATCTCGGATGAGCCTCGAGCGATTACGAAATGGAAGAAATGAAAAACCAAATTTACTGCTGAAATATTGGTAGACAAACCAGGGACAAGTAAAATCCTCAAAACACATAGGGACACACTTATGCTGAACTAAGTTGGGATCCGCAATATAATGAGGGAATTGCAAAAGTTCCTGACAGGTAATGTGAGGGGTAGCGGAAGACCGAAATTAACTTTAAATGAAATAGTACAAAATGATATAATAGTCTATGGTTTAAGAGAAAATATGACCCTTATTAAAGCACAACGATGAAACCAGATTCATGTAGCTGACCCCAAATACTTGGGGCAAGATTTTGTTAAGTTGGGTTGAGTTGAGTTGTTGAAAGTTCTTGACACCAGTCCTATTAGAGTAAAGAGCAAGAGGAGGATCTATACAAGGAATTTTAAAGTAGTAGATAAAGCTTCTGAAGAAATCGCTCTGTGCATATATCAGAGGTCAAGGTTGTTATCCATATATTTAGTTCAGAAACTAAGCAATACAAAACTAGTACATTTTTTCATAAGAAACACTAGCGCATTAGATCGAACTAAGCATGTGGCTTACTTCCCCCCTTCAATTTACTCCTAAAAATTTCATACTACAGCAGGCAAATGGTTTTACATGGCATAAGGCATAAGCAAATATTTGTGCATCTAATTCTTGTGTGCTTTGCAGCAACTTTCAGAAGTTATGTCCACCAAAAAATTGGCATAATTCGATATAGTCAAACTCCAAAGTTAGATGCAGCGGTTCATGAAATATTTATAAAGGATTGACATTTACAGTTGTACATCGCCTTTTCATGGAACTAGCTGGCACCAAGACCACCAGCTGACTTAATCAGGCACCATAGTGAATCCTATGCACTAGATTGAAGATGCTTAAAAACATGGTGTGTTGGGAGGCAGGATGCATTACTATACCTCAACATCAGGATGAAATCGGACAAGACAGACCTGCAGCACCTCCCCATATCACTAATAATCACAACCACCGGCTTCTCATAGTTTCCTTGTTTACAGTACCACGACGCTAGTATAGATATATCAGCTGCCTGTTCAAAAACAATGTTGTGAACAAGTATGAAATTCAAAGAGCAGTTCACCTAGAGGACTATGTTTTATTTAGATAGAGATATGTCAGTGTACTTACATCCAGGCTAACCATTAAAAACTGCCTCAATAGACTTTTGAGACAACCTCCAATCCCATTCTTGGATGAGAAATCAAATGAGGAAAGGTTAGCCACATGGCATCCACGAGTCTTCAAATGTAGACTAAGGTCTGTAAATGTCTGTAGATCANTGGAAGACCGAAATTAACTTTAAATGAAATAGTACAAAATGATATAATAGTCTATGGTTTAAGAGAAAATATGACCCTTATAAAGCACAACGATGAAACCAGATTCATGTAGCTGACCCCAAATACTTGGGGCAAGATNATCGAAACTTATAATAGTACGTTTATGGATTCTCTGCGAATCTATGCAACAGGAAAGATATTTTTTCAGCCAAACAATCTAATGGTGAGCTATCTTCTCCTTATACTTGACATGNGACCATGTTTTATTTAGATAGAGATATGTCAGTGTACTTACATCCAGGCTAACCGTTAAAAACTGCCTCAATAGACTTTTGAGACAACCTCCAATCCCATTTTTGGATGAGAAATCAAATGAGGAAAGGTTAGCCACATGGCATCCACGAGTCTTCAAATGTAGACTAAGGTCTGTAAATGTCTGTAGATCATCAACGAATTCCATATTCCCTACAAATAAATCATCACTAGTCAAATTCAAATTAAAAATACTGATAGAATAAAACACATAATATTATCGAAACTTATAATAGTACGTTTATGGATTCTCTGCGAATCTATGCAACAGGAAAGATATTTTTTCAGCCAAACAATCTAATGGTGAGCTATCTTCTCCTTATACTTGACATATACTTCCACTTACTCCAAGAGTGAACTAAAATAAGTAACTTACTGGTGAAGACCAGGCCGGTGAATAATTGTTTACAAGTGGTGCCAGTTACAATGGGATAAGACCGAGTGGGTTTAGAGAGATCAGGAATTCCACATGAACGAACTACATCAAATGACTCATGAACCCAGTGATCAATCTCACTGAATACAGCAACATTGATATCCCTCAAAACATCCTGCAAATAGAAGTGCAAACAAAANCTCGAAACTTATAATAGTACGTTTATGGATTCTCTGCGAATCTATGCAACAGGAGAGATATTTTTTCAGCCAAACAATCTAATGGTGAGCTATCTTCTCCTTATACTTGACATATACTTCCACTTACTCCAAGAATGAACTAAAATAAGTAACTTACTGGTGAAGACCAGGCCGGTGAATAATTGTTTAGAAGTGGTGCCAGTTACAATGGGATAAGACCGAGTGGGTTTAGAGAGATCAGGAATTCCACATGAACGAACTACATCAAATGACTCATGAACCCAGTGATCAATCTCACTGAATACAGCAACATTGATATCCCTCAAAACATCCTGCAAATAGAAGAGCAAACAAAACAAGTCTCTCATCCACTAGATAAACATCAATATCCCTCAAAACATCCTGCAATTGGAAATAACAAACGTGATCTTGACACTACTAATAACAAAATCCTGTGGGTTGTTGGGAAGCTGAAAAAGAGAAGGGAACAAGAACTTTTGTTATCGGCATTCTTCCTTTTTAGTCCTCGCACCATTGGGAAACTCGGCTACACGAAGCCAAATAAAATAGGCATACGACATATTTGAGGGGAGTTCTTTTTCTTTTAAACCTGATCAGGTCCTACTAAAATGATAAATCTTAAGATTCAAGTAGTTGCACTGTTTCCATTTGCTAAATACTTTCAACAACCAAATGGAGGCAAAGGAAGGACACAGGATCAAGCTATAGAAAGAGACGAACCTTGATGGTGGACTCAATCTTAGACCATACAAAATCAAAAGTTTCCATTCGCAATTTCTCAGATTGTTGATCATCGCATCCTTCCACAGTATCGGCAACCAGAGTTTTAGGCAACGAAGGGGGTAAGTCAATCCTTCTCCTAGTTTTCGCAGCAGATTTTTTGTCAGATTTCTTTGGTGATCCTTTGTGGAGAACGAAAAATGGCTGTAAATGAACAACCCGAACAAACAAGTTCAATTCTCTATTTAATTGCCGACAAAGGTAATTGCAGAAAAAAAAAAAAGCAAATGAGGTAACAAATTAGAACTCAAATCACAGTTGTTAGATTCGCGTCTTCTTACAAATCTGGTTAATATATACGTATGAGTGTGTGCGCCTATGGAAGCATAAGAAAATAACCTGTAGATTTTTTTCAGCAATTTGGGACGTCGATAAATCAACAGCTGCGGAGGGCGCCATTCGGACGCTAAATGAGTTCTTGTACCCTTCTACCTAGGCGCTGCGCTAGGGTTTGCCGTCACTTGTCTATCTTTGCCTTCTCTCTCTCGTCACCTCATTCCCTCGTTACTCTTTTTTTTTTTGGCGGGAAACACCGGGGGTTGGAATACGGATTTTGGACGTTACGACAGGGATAACTATTGAGTTCTTTACGGACGAACCGCAAAGAATGGAGTTTACGTAATTACAAATGTTGGGCAAAACGATGTCGTGCAACACATCCTTTGAATTGATTGGCATTGGCTCGTGTAAAAACTATCACGAGTAAGGATAACAGTGGACCGGAAAAAAATAGGTATTCGTCTAAATTCATTTCGTTTGAATCGGGGATAGACTATACGTATTGAACGGTAAACATATACGAAAATATCCATATAAATCCGTACCGGGATGAAGACGGGGATGAATTTATCCTTACCCCCGCCCCCGCTACCCATTACCCGTTATATATATATATATATATATACTCTCAAATCCCAACTAAACGTATCTACTGTAACTGTCAATTTATAAATATGATTATCAAACTAAAAAGTGACATTGCTATGTAGTAATTTATCAACTTTTTTTTCTAATTGTTCTTTTTTTTATTTGTGCTAACTGATTGAAATTGTTAGAAGTTTAGATTAATCATGCTCTAAAAACATATAAGAAATAGTAAGATTGTTTTGTATTTCATCGTGGGTAGAAAAATTGTGAATTGAGGTTACTGAGTTTCTCTGCTATAATGAACTAAAAAATTGAGAAAATTATTGAATTAGTGAAATTTTAAATTTTAATCTTTTAACACTTTTATGACTGTAATATGAATTGTAATAACAAAAATTATTCTATAAAACTTTAAGTGCAATGCTATCATTTTCTTAGTTCAATTTTCATTTTTCTTTTCTTTATTTATCTCTAATAGTTTCGTTTCTTTTTTTTGTTGTCAAATGACAGTTTAAATATAATACTATATTGTTTTGGCTTGTTCGTTTTGCAATCTACGGTACGTTATGTTAGACTATGTTAGAATGTTGTTGGATTATTTAAAATATTATATTTATTTATAATTTTAGATTACGCTACTTGGGCTTGGGCTTGAGCTTAGACTTAGGCGGATACGAGAATTATAAATTTACCTGCAGACGGAGATGGGGATGGGGATTAAAATTATACCTGTTAATAGGAGTGGACCAGGGATGGACGAAATTTTTTTAAATAGGTACATGGATGAAAACTACACCCCGCTTCGAAGAATTAAGTATTCATGGGGGGGTAATGATTATTTTCTAGTAGTTTTTCGGCAATGATGATTTAATTTGTAGTTTCATTGGGTGAATCTCATAAATATCCCATGACTTGTATGATTTACTTCAATTGATCTCTTTTGTTATTAATCATTAAATGAGACAATTTGATATCTAATTTTAACAGCATGTATTCCATTTAATTGTTAACTTCAATGGAATTTATTTTATTTATTGGTTAATACGAACGAAATAGATCAATTGAAATAATTAACTTGATTCAATTGATAAATTGGAACAATTAAAAATTCATGAAACAAATGTCATAATCTCAAGCCATTTTTGGGATTTATCCAACTTCTTTGGATGCATATGTGTTTTCGTCGGAGTTGATGAACTAAATAGTAGGACGATAGAGATCTTGCTAAGATATTTTTTATTTTACGAGTTAGGCATATGTGCGGGCAAGATCCTGCACGATATATGAAACGATAACAGATCTCTCCCCCGGTGAGTAGCGAGTGAGCCGGTTGAGTGACCAAACACGCTGCTTGGAACAGCCTGCAAGGTACGGTGATAACCTGGAACGGCAACGGAAAATCCTGGGAAAGGAAGAACGATCCTATAAGGCTTAAAAGGGTTCCTGGAACAAAGAAGAACAAGTTAGAAGGGCGTCGGAGTATTTTCCGGCGTATCCTCTCTGACGGTCTAGTCAGTCTTTGAGTGAGAGAGAGAGGAAGGAGAAAACACTGAGAAGGATCTATTGTCGTAGAGAGTTTGTGATTGCATCCCCGCTTTGCCTTTTGGGAGGAGTATTTATACCTTAAAACCTCATGATTGCTGTCAGTGTGGTCAGTAGGTGATCATCAGGCACAGGTAGCGTGTGTATTGATTTGACGAGGAATGTCTTCTCTAATTGATTGCTCGGGATCCCGAGCAATCAATGCTGAGTCGTCGGGACGCCGATGGTACAATATGCTCCTTTCGGGAGCGATGCAATAAATGCTCTGTAGTAGGAGCATTTATTGCCTTTCATATCCGAACCTTACCGCATTGAATGCGGTCTCGTCAACAGAAGGGTGTAATTAATTGTTTGCTTTCCCAAATCGCGTGCCAGTAGCGGCATGCGGTTTGTCTGCTTCGGATGTGACATTATTTGCCACGCGTCCATCCCTTATTGGCTGTTACGTCGGTATTCCAGCACGTTCTGACATTACTTGTGTAAGAAGAGGTCATGATGANATTGTTTTCATTTGTTGATGTACTAACACTTATGGTTGTTCAGGGTATATCATATGATAATCTTTGTTGCTTAGAATATTTACAAGAATACTTGATGCAAATGTTCTTGCTTTTGCTTCCATGTTGAGGAGGCTATGGTAAGATAACAAGAAGAGGAATGTTTACAAATGCTGTAACAATTATTTACTTTCACTAATGTAATGTAGTGAATTGAGGGGGACTTTGTACAGCTTTTAATTGATCCGTAATTGTCTTATTCCTTTTGGCTGCAGGGCGAGATGGATGAATTGGAAGGTGGATTTGTTTTGTTTGATAATGTTACTGGTCTTCATGTTGCCTTACTATCATTGTTACTTAATGCTTTGCAACAGCGGTAAGTAGCATTGGACTGTAGCGACTCATTTATATTCATTTTTCCCTTGGAGGGAGCCAGGGAGAGAGTGCCAATGCTGTTTTCATAAAATATTTGCATGACTATGTAGTCACTAAATCATAGATATTGTGTAACACAATATTTTACCAGAAAAGGCATATGTTCTTTTGGCCTAGTATTGTTTTTAGGCTTAGCCCTTCATCCTCGTTAATTGTGGATGCTACAAGTAATGGGTTGAGGTTGCAAGAAGGGCATGGTTGCTTTATTTATTACCAGGGATATGACATTAGGAAGAATTGGTTAGAGGAGATAATTCATGTGGCAAACAATAACATGGTGCAGTCGGGGTTAAGCTTTTATCGATTTGATGCAACTTTTAATGGAAATCATGTCTCGTTGATTTAATATATATTGTCTTAGATTAAATCTAAAGAATGCGCCCTGATTTCTTTAGTATATTGATTAGTCAAGTGTTTGTCTTTAGATCATAGTCCAGTTTTGGGGTGGGTTTGGGCTAGTGTGATGTGGCCAATATCAGTATGCAATATGGCTCGGGGCTACTTGCTGACAATGTGTAGTTTTTTTCTTTTAGTTAGGCTAGATATCCAGAGCGTTACTTTCAAATTTGTGCAAGTTATGTTAGGCATGAAATGGTGATTCTAATACTTCATTGGAAGGATATGTATGAGAGAATTAAGACCATCATATTTGTGTCAAATAAAATAAGGAAAACCTAAACTTGGTGATGGCTGCAAGCTTGAACTCTAGCATTCTAGGTCAAGGGCTTAAGGCCTGGTGCTTAGTACACACCACAACTTAACTGACCTTATCCCAACTATTTGGTGTCGGCCACATGGATCCCATTCCACTATTGTGCTATATTAATGTCATATTTTTTGTTATATCGTAAACTATCATATTTTTTACTTTCTCATATAAAGTTAATTTTGCTTACTTTCACCTTTTCTATTACGTTAATATGTATCAAATCACTCTTACTCATTGGTGCAATACTATGTCTTTGATAAACATATCCAAAAGATAAGTTCTACAAGTCAACCATTAGAGCAACATCTGTTTAACGTTTGTTCTGTTTATTTCTAGCCATTTTGGTTTTCGTTTAGGTGGATTTCTTATCCACTGTAGTGCACTCTTTTCACTATTTTAATGAAAGTTATGTTTCTTATAAAAAAATTTACTCAATATACCATATGTATTCCTCTTCTATTCTTTCATGCGTCAATTATAGAAGTGATGTCCCCAAATTTTCCTTCATTGTGGATAATTGACTCAAAATATCGAAAGTATTCACTCTATGATAACTCTTGATCTTCGATTTTTACTACTTTACCATGTGAATTTGTGCTTATATACTTTTCTTGATTTCTTTTGATTTTAAATTTTCTACTTCATTAGTACTTCCTAGTTTCTACTTTAGTTTTATCAATCCACACTATATCATCAACAAATAACTTACCTCAGGGAACCTCATCCTAGATGTGCTTAGTTAATTCATTTTATACTCAAGGCAAATAGATAAGAACTTAAGGGAACCTTGATGTAATCCTACAGTCATCGGGAATTTATTACTCCTTCCTACCTGCACCATCGTACTGCAAAATGGTAATTAGGGTTAAAATAACTGTCATACGAAGAAAAGGGACAACAAAAATGTATACGTAAATATGAATGTTTGAGATATCACATAGTTCACTATGTTTCAACTTGGTTGCATCATGCTAGCCAAATGTCATAGTTACCGCCGTAAGTGCAATTGTGTAGTGAAAACATTTCTTGCAAGTTTTAAATATCCTTTTGTCAGACGAATGTACTGAGCCAAGTGTTGTTGGTTACCAACCTCATTTCTTTGTGCGTATGGTGTACTAGTAACTTGTGCTTTTCACAGAGGGGAGACTATGCCTTTCCCAAAACTATCACTACCAATTAGAAAGAGTTAAAAAGTAGATAGTGTTAAAGACATAGTATGAGACATAAAACATCCACATACAGCAGAGTGGGTGAGGATGAATCATGCAACCTCTAAATCTCTTAGAAGATAGATGAACAAAAGTGGGGATATAGATGGTTTGTGTTAAGCTTCTACTTGTATTGTGCGTTGATGTCCTTTAACCCTAAGGAAGGAAGAGGTAAAAGAAAATATGTTTGTTGTCTACCTGGATTCTGCCATTTTAATGAGAATTCAGTACAGAGGATAGTGTCTCTGGCCTTAAAAATGTCAATGATTGTTCTTACATAGGGATGGAAAGGAGTTGGATGAAGCTTGGGCTGAAGATGGATTAGTATCAGTATTGTTTTCTTAGTTCAGGAATTTTAATACCATAATCATTAAAATTCGAATTTGTTTATTTTAGAATTGCCTTTGAAGACAACCTTATTCAAGGAGGGTTTAACCTTTTTCCACTGAAGATATTTTGAGTATTGTGATTGGAATTCTCTCACTTTCTTCTTCTTTCTCTTTCACTCTCTTTGGTCCTGCATCTAACGATTAAAACCTTGATTCATTGTGGTTGTTTTGACTGGAATGTTTCTGTTTTTGTGGAGAACTAAACGAATTAGTAGATAAAATTTGAAAAAATCTCATGTTTTACATGTTTCGGAATGCTTGAGATGTTTCACGATGTTTCTCACACACAAACATATTAGTCACTGAATCTTGGATGTGCATTTCAGGTGTGAGGAAGGAACGGGCTGCACTTGGAGCCATCTTATTCTTGTTGGCATTTTTATATGCTTTTTGGCGAATGGGCATTCATTTTCCTATGCCATCACCTGATAAAGGTTTGGATTTACTTCTTCATTGGGACTATGTGAAATAGATGAATCTCTCTCTCTCTCTGGCTTTTTGTCTATGAATCTATGATTTTTGTTGCCTATCGATTCTTTTGTCTCTTGCTTCACCCTGATGTGCTTGCGGTGCACCACCAACCATCAAGAACCCACAATCTCCTTCCTTTTGATAACTATTCTGTTCATTTTTAAGAATAAAGCATCGCTTGCATCAGAATCCTATTCACTTGTCTCTTTTTGGCTTTATTATTTGAAATTAACTTCGGAACCGAACCCGGGTGCCTGACCTCCATTCTATCAGGAACCAATTCTGTATCTGTCTTCTGGTTGATGCATTTGCTTCATTCCTTGTCTACATGCCATATTTGCAGCATGCATCGATGCATTTTTTTTGATGAGGTATCAAATTTGTCCCTTCACTTGACTTCAATATGTTCTATGTTCTATATTTTCTTCTCTTTTTCGGTAGCATCTATCTTATTTTTTGGGGAAGATGACTTCATATTGTGTAGCTGTTTTCTAAATGAAAAATAGTCTCTGGTTGTTTGTTTTATCGTGGTTTCACTTCTCAGGATTTTTCACCATGCCTCAGCTGGTCAGCCGAATTGGGGTGGTTGGTGTGACTCTCATGGCTGTCCTATCCGGTTTTGGAGCTGTGAACCTGCCGTATAGTTATCTGTCACTTTTCATTAGGTGAGAAAGATGTATATAAATATAAATATTGACATTTTAGCTAAAAATTCACTATATGTAAATAGGCTTCCATTGCCATTTTACCTAAAAATTCACTACATGTAAATATACTTGGGGACTGGTTGTGTAAAATTAGTTTATGATCTCCAACATTCTTGGAATCACATAATGAGTATTGGCTGGACCTTTTGAAATTTCAGTAGTAACTGCATTCAATCTATCTACTGATATCACATGCCAATTGAAAATGGTTTACGTTATGCTAAATTTTTTTCAAACCTTCAGTTTAAAGTCATGTATTTGAAATCAGTCCATCCATTCACAACCAAGACTTCATATTTTTTTTGATAGGTAAGACTTCATATTACACATATATGTAGAAAATACAATTGATATACCACCTTTTTTAAAATATGATGAAAGGTGGGTAATGAAACTGTCAGTTTCGGAGTTAAGTTGAGCTGCATTGGTGTTTGGGTTCATCAAGTCCTTTTTTTCTTGTCTTGGATTGTTTCCAGTTACAAATAATCAATATTCTTTTTTCCACTTTCCCCTGTGAACACAAAACTGTGAAATGCATATGCAGACAGATTCAAGTCCGGGTTTTACTCTCAATTATAGGTAATAAATCCCAATCCTGTAGTATAATTAATTTCCAATTCAGTGAGAAAATGCCCTGATTTCCTAGACATTGATTTTGGGTCATATGGTTATCTATAATCTATAATATAAAACAAGACATGCTTCAATAAGCTGATCTGACGGTTTCAAATAGACTCATCCAATAACCACTAATATACCTATCAAAACCATTCACATTGCACCGGTTATCCAACAAAATGTTCAATTTCAAAAAGAGTCTTCATTNGACCACTAATATACCTCTCAAAACATTCACATTGCACCGGTTATCCAACAAAATGTTCAATTTCAAAAAGAGTCTTCATTCATTTGTTTGTTTTTCGTTGTTAAGAATTTCTGGTTTTCTGATAATTTTCAAAATGAGGCAGAGAAATTGAAGAAACAGAGATCAAAGGTTTGGAAAGACAGTTGATGCAGTCAATTGAGACTTGCATTGCAAAGAAAAAGAAAATAATTCTTTGTCAGATGGAGATGGAGCGAATGCAAGGGTCGGAAGAGGTTTACTTACTACATCAATTGTGTGATGCTTTCTGGTTTTCTTCAATTCGTTTATTTATTATTAGATGTCCAGTTTTCACTCTATCACTCTATTTTGTTTATCATTCTGATGTTTCTGTATGAAATTTCTGTTTTGTCCCAATATTTTAAAAGACATGTTTCATAAAAAAAAGAGAAAGAAAAAGAAAAGGAAATAGTGATGTGCAAATGTATCATGTTTTTAGTGAGAGGCATTGAACTTCAGCACGGTATTCTACAGCGGTAACAATATTTGAGAATATTATCTTCTGGTGGTTCGCTGCTTGTTTCTTGTTGCAGAAGTTAAGGGCTACATCCTTCTTAAAGCGGATAGTTGGAACAGTGGTACGATCTGTGCAGGAGGACCAAAGGGAACAAGGTCAAGGCTTTTTTCAATTTAATACTCATAATATGATACTGTGAATTCCTCTCTAAAGTGCGTCAAACAAATATAACATAATTTTGTGAATCTCGCTTAATTTGTGTATGTATCNCTGCCAATATTTTAAAAGACATGTTTCATAAAAAAAAGAAAAAGAAAAAGAAAAAAGAGAGATTGCATTGAGGTTGACATGTGTGACATTTTGAAAATAGGCTGTCACTGTAGCCTTTGTTTCTTTACTGTGTTCATGAAGTACATACTTTCACTCAAAAAGAACACAAGTGCATGCTTGTTGTATTACTAAATGATAGCGAAAAGGAAATAGTGATGTGCAAATGTATCATGTTTTTAGTGAGAGGCATTGAACTTCAGCACGGTATTCTACAGCGGTAACAATATTTGAGAATATTATCTTCTGGTGGTTCGCTGCTTGTTTCTTGTTGCAGAAGTTAAGGGCTACATCCTTCTTAAAGCGGATAGTTGGAACAGTGGTACGATCTGTGCAGGAGGACCAAAGGGAACAAGGTCAAGGCTTTTTTCAATTTAATACTCATAATATGATACTGTGAATTCCTCTCTAAAGTGCGTCAAACAAATATAACATAATTTTGTGAATCTCGCTTAATTTGTGTATGTATCAAATCAACAGACAACCCCATGTTTTATATAAACCCAATCCATTCCATAAAGTCCGTTGGCTAAATAAAATACCCCATAAAAGAGTCTGAAGCAACTCAAGCCAGCCCGCTAGCAAAGCTCTCTGATAAATACGATAAGGACAATTTGTCCAAGCAATCACCTGTCGACTCGTATTAACTAGGAGAAGATGATATTTTTTTAGAAGGTTGGGAAGCTTCTTGATATAATACAAACGTCAAATGCTGCAGTCTCTCTCTCTCTCTCTCTCACACACACACACACCCCCTCCCCCCTATACCTCTGCAACTTCCTGTCTCTCTCTTCCCATCTCTCCCCCTCTGTAAATCCTTCATAACAAATATGCTTCATCCCTCCACAAAGGAATCTTTTTGGGCAGTTTCCTAACATATTGGCCGTAGTGTTTGTGTATCATCTGCATACCATGCGGCGCGGCTTCTCTGTTGCTGCTTCTTTTCACTTTTATGGATTGTCGTGACTCTGCTAACGTCGGAGTTTGCAAACTACAAGCAACGTTGAGTACTTTCCCCAAAACAAACTGACATAAAGTTGCTCCCAACGTGTCCAGATTTGTTCCAAACATGTCCCGGAAGTATCTAAATTTCAGGAAAAAAAAATAAAAATTCAATCACATATTTTTGCATTTCTGACACGTGTACGAATGTGAGATGTGTTGGACACTGGTACGTAAGGAAAAATAACTTGTCAGTGCTTCATTGATAGAGTTTACTTATATTATAAATTGTGCACATCTTTTTTTTTTTTTAAAATAACAAGATTAGAATTGCATTGTATTCTATTGGTTTTCACCTACATGGAAATTGTGATTGAGATGGTTTTATCTTCTCTTTTCTTGTTCTAATCTTAACGTTGTTCTAGGATTTGAATTTTTTTAGTATTGCTTCATTATATCATCAAACTCTAAGTCTGCCTTCTCATTGGATGGCCATCGGGAAACTAGCTGTTATCGTTTGGTGTTTATTACGGAAATAATTTGACTTCTGCTCAGTGGATGGTAAAAACAATTATCATCACTTACCCGTACCTACGTAGGAAATTAATCCAATATGCAGTTAGCATTGGGTTGATTCCAGCCACTACACTACTGGTATAGTAGCACCCTGCTTGCCTTGATAAAATGCATAGCACCCCGGAACCCTCCAAAATGATTATGGTGGGATTAGCTTTGCTCGCTTCCTAGTCAAATATGGCTTATCAGTCTAGTATTACAGGTAAAATACTTAAAAAAAAAAAAGAAACTTTTTGCAAATTGCTTGAATCTCGTAACATAATCAATGCTGCTATTCCCCTAAATCAAGACAAAAGGGACTCCATGGCTCAAGCATGGTTTAAAGTTTCGTTTTGATCTGTAAAAAACTAGNAAAAAAAAAAAGAAACTTTTTGCAAATTGCTTGAATCTCGTAACATAATCAATGCGGCTATTCCCCTAAATCAAGACAAAAGGGACTCCATGGCTCAAGCATGGTTTAAAGTTTCGTTTTGATCTGTAAAAAACTAGAAACGTTTCGGAAAGACAATTGAAACTCTAAATTTATAGAAACGAATAAAAATATTTAGAATCATGAGAAAATAAAATTTAGACACTAGAAAGTCACATGTTACCGATCAAACAATCATTGACCCTTGCATATTTTAATAAGAATCAATATATTTTACATTTGAAAAATAATTTTAAATTAATACATATTCCACCTGATGTTGCCCATCAAACTGGATAGGCATTTTGCTATTAAATGAATGCGATAGATTATGAAATCATATGTCAAAAAATTCTTTAAAAATAGGGCTTCTAAAAGTATAGTTAACTTGTTGACCTATGTTGATTTTAAATAATAACAAAAAATAATTAAATTTATATAATTGATAAATTTGGTGCAAATTAAATAAAACAAGATTAGTGAATACTTCATTTTTTATATTTAGGTCAATTCATATTTTGTGCTTTTAAAGTATATACAGGTCAAAAGTGGCACATCTTGAACAGTTGAAGGCTGATGAAATTGGCTTGTTTTTTAGCAGTCTGAGGTTATGTTGGGTCACATCTACCAGGCAGGCACATGCAATGACGTTCCTAGCTGCCACATCATCACCACACTTTTCTAACACTGGACTTAGTTTCCATAACTATTGATAGTTTCGAGGGTTTCGTTTTCATTTCCTTCGAAATTAATCGAAACGTTTTTGTAGCATAGGAAACTCTAACGTTTTAAAAGTAAGCCAGTGTTCCGTTTCAATTTGGTTAAAAAACGAAACATTTCGTGCAAAAAGAAATGAAATTTCGAACCATGGGCTCAAGGGACATTTTAGCCAAAAGGGACCTGGCTTGATCAGAAAAGAAAAGTCAAGGTTAATTATTTTCTAATAAAGTTTGGAGTTCAAAATAAGGATTAATGAACTCTTTTCTACTTGTAGGCACACATGTTTTTCCCTGGTTTCCACATATCCTTTCTTTTATCGATTTATATTTTACATTGTATTTTTATTGATTGCTGGACATAATCTAAGTTGTTTAAATTATTGATTTGGAACTTAAGATTAGAAGTTGTCACCCGCAACACTTGAATGTAAGTGTAATTGTCTTGCTGTTATGTTGACAAGGTTTTGTAGTTCTGAGTCTTCTGACCATATAATGGTTCCCACCTACTGGTTATTATTGTCATTATTGCTGTTTCCAAAGCAATTTTGTTTAACTTGAACTTTCTATATCTTGAAATAAAATTTACATGCCTTTTGTTTTCCCTGATGTTTGCTTTAAGTTCTTATTTCATGATGTAGTTATTCAAATTTTGGTGTGAGCACTTCATTTTCCATGTTTAATGTCTTTTCTCTTGATCTTGCTTCTTTATCTCTTTCTGTAGATATTAAAAGCATGGAAGCAGAGGTACAAGCTCTGGAAGAACTCTCAAAGCAGCTTTTCTTGGAGATCTACGAGCTTCGACAAGCTAAGGTTTATTTTGGAAGTTCTGGATCTATTTTTGTTTTTGCATTTAGTCTTGGTTGATCTTTTTATTTTAAGGCCTACATCCTGAGTTAATTTTGTTTGTGCAATTAGTTCTGGTTTGCATATTTTTTATCTCATGTTAATTTATTGTATAGTGGTTGATTTTTTTGTTGGACAAATACAAGTCCAAAGATACTGAATAAAATAATAGAAATCCAAAGAGTCTATATTTTCTTTTATCTGAGTTGTGTTTTATATCTTCCCTTTTTTCTGCACTTTCCAAAATTGATCTGTTTACTTACACTGTAGTGTCAAGCCAATTTATTTCTGTTGGCCGTCCGTTGTTTTTTCACTGTTTTCATACTTGGTTGCTTAATTTCTTGTTTTAGAATCCATGTTTTTTGTGCTTCCTTTTTTCTTTTCTTTTCCTTTATTTTTTTTTGGCTGAAACTAGTTTTCTATTTGGTACACTATTTCCAGGAAGCTGCTGCTTATTCTCGGACGTGGAAGGGTCACATGCAGAATCTACTGGGCTATGCATGTTCAGTCTATTGTGTATATAAAATGTTTAAGGTTTGGACCTGTTATTTGCCTCTCATGTTTTAATAAATCAAGGACGACTTCTTTTTCTTTTCTTATGTGTGTATACTATTGAGTCTTGACTCTGAGTTATTGTACTGTACTAGTCTTAAAATACTTCGGAATAGTGGTCATAAGCATTTTTTTTATACTTTTTGTCATTTAGAATTGTTAACACTGCTCAATTTAACATGAAAAGGATTGTGGGGAACTTGAATTTGGTGTTGAATTGTGACCATCCCATGTCTAATTGCTCTCTGTCACATTATGCTGAATGCTATTACCAGTTAAGATAGTTTATTACCTCTTCGAGATGCAGATTTTATTTTTGATTCGAGCAAGTGTTTCCTTTTAAAGCACTTTGATGTTTCTTTCTTTATTGTCTTAGTTTGATTCTTGATAAATATAAAATGAGATACCTAATTGCTTCAATTGACTTTTGCAGTCTTTGCAAAGTGTTGTCTTCAAGGAGGTACTGATTTATTCTTCCTTAATACCTTCTATTAAACTGCTCATTTTTCTAATACCTGATTTCCACCTTGATTTGTTGTTTCATCTGGGTTTACAAATGTCCTTACAACATTTAAGGGTATTATGTCAAGTTAATATGTTTTTATTTGGCAGTCAGGTTCTGTTGATCCTGTAACCAGGACAATCAGCATATTCTTACAGTTCTTTGACATAGGCATCAATGCAACATTATTATCACAGGTTAGTTATTGCCCCTAAGTGATTAATCATTGCCTTGTCTTTTGAGCCCCATGATTGCCGCCTACAAGGCTATTACATACTACCATGCTACTGCTGTATGGATTCACAAATGTTGGAGAACACCTATAGTTAGCAACGCCATGCTTTTAATCATTAAATCCAGGATTATTATGATTATTATGACNGCTGTATGGATTCACAATTGTTGGAGAACACCTATAGTTCGCAATGCCATGCTTTTAATCATTAAATCCAGGATTATTATGATTATTATGACTCAGGTCTAATATTTAGGAATTGTCTTGGAGTTGAAAGAGAGTGGTAGCCCACAGACGAATTTTTTTTTTTTTTTTTTGGGGGGAAAAAGCTATGGAANACTGTATGGATTCACAAATGTTGGAGAACACCTATAGTTAGCAACGCCATGCTTTTAATCATTAAATCCAGGATTATTATGATTATTATGACCCAGGTCTAATATTTAGGAATTGTCTTGGAGTTGCAAGAGAGTGGTAGCCCACAGACGAATTTTTTTTTTTTTTTTGGGTGGAAAAAGCTATGGAAGCTATATATAGGGACTTGAAATCAATCATTGGATGCTCAAAAAATAATATAGTCATAGGTTAACAATGTGTAAGAGAATGGTTATTTATACAAAAATGCAAAGGATCCCGGGGTGCAGTAGTTGAATGGTAAAACCGTATAACCGTCTTAAAGCCCTCTGTTGCTTGCATTGCCATATGCAGTTGGGTTTTTTTTTTTAATTTTCTAACTTGTTTTGTGTGTATTGTTGTTTGCTTCTGTGCATTCTGTCACATGGGCTGACCCTACTTTTTTCTTGCCTCTTTTTCCCCTGTTGTACAGTATATATCCCTCTTATTCATTGGAATGTTGATTGTTATATCTGTTCGAGGATTCTTGAGTAACCTAATGAAGGTAATTTTGCTTTTCACTAGTACTTCTTGTTAAATTGTGTTGCACCTGCATTTTGTACAATACCCCACCATTTTGCTCTTTTTGACTGATTCCTGAAGAAAGTGTAATGTCGCCTCCTCTAAATGGCACCATACAAGTACTTCTGTAGGCGTTTTAGCAATCTTTGGATTACAGTGACACAAAAATTAACGATATGTAAAATATGAGAGTTTAGGAATTAAGTGGGAGCATTGTGATAAATGGTAGTACCCAGGCGTGCACAATTGAAGGTCTGATAACCTTGATTATAAAGCTCAAATTGTTTTATGGTACTACCAGTGAAGTGTAGGGACCACTTGGGACAAAATTTGATTGATTAGGTTAGATACTTAGTTTTAGTGCTCCATATTNCGTTTTAGCAATCTTTGGATTACAGTGACACAAAAATTAACGATATGTAAAATATAAGAGTTTAGTAATTAAGTGGGAGCATTGTGATAAATGGTAGTACCCAGGCGTGCACAATTGAAGGTCTGATAACCTTGATTATAAAGCTCAAATTGTTTTATGGTACTACCAGTGAAGTGTAGGGACCACTTGGGACAAAATTTGATTGATTAGGTTAGATACTTAGTTTTAGTGCTCCATATTATGCTATTTTGATATTAGTTTTTCTTAAAAATTTGTGCTTAGGCTATTTTGATATTAGTTTTTCTTAAATTTTTTGGCTTAGGAGTAAAGGTTGTAACTTTCTGGTTTGAAAATTTTTGCTGTTTTGAACCTTTGTTTGATTGGGTGTAAATTAGCATACTTAATTCTTTATGGATTTTTTAACTATTTCTAACCTACAGTGCATTTGAATTCCTATGTTTTTGTTGAACCTGTTTAAACTTGTCAATGAATTAGCAGCTTCATCCTTGTGCTGCGTTGTTTCTATTAGTTGATACATAAGAAAGCACACTATTCTTAATGGTTTTAATATCTTGCTGTCTAACCTGCAGCGTTTGGCTGTGTGCAGTTCTTCTTTGCAGTTTCTAGAGTTGGGAGTGGTTCTTCAAGCAATGTTGTGCTTTTTCTATCTGAAATTATGGGAATGTATTTCGTATCGTCCATTCTTTTGATTAGAAAAAGCCTGGCAACTGAATACAGGTATCGACATGATTGATGCAAGATAAAATTAATTTACGAGGTTTGGTATCAATAGTTATTTTCATGTATTTCTCTTAAGATTTTTTTAGGATGGCACTGTTAGTCGGTATTGCTTTTCACTTTTTTTTGATGACATGAAAATATTTGCCTACAACTTGCTGAGAAATATGCACTAAGAGGAAAACANGAGATTTTTTTAGGATGGCACTGTTAGTCGGTATTGCTTTTCACTTTTTATTAATGACATGAAAATATTTGCCTACAACTTGCTGAGAAATATGCACTAAGAGGAAAACAATAAGTGTTCTATTCTACTCTGACTCTTGCTAAATAACTGATAAAGAACCCCTTTGGAGGAGGCTACTTGCTCTAACATTATATACAGGGAAGGAGGCATTGAGATTCAAGTATAGGATCTTCGTGCTGTGTTACCAAGTCAACAACCAACTACTCCTTAGGCTTAAGTTGTTATGGAGGGAAACACATGCTCCTAGCTATCTAAGCAAAAAAACATTGATGTGACATTGTATTTGACAACTAGCTCCCAGAAAAGACCCCATATTCTGTGGAAATAATAACATCTGTAAGCTTGTTGTGATTCAGTGGACTCTAGTTTGCTGAAGATATTGTAATCAGTGGCAGGTCATAAATAATTCCAAAAACCTTTTAATTTTTTGCTTGTTACCATAATTTGTTTTTAGCACTTACTAGGAGGTTATGTAATGTCCAAAATCGACAGAAGCATCTTAAATTTTACTTAAGAGTAATGGAATGGTTTAGTCATGTATTAATCAACAAATTGTGCTTCCCCACTCGAATGCATAATTCTAGTATAGGTGACACCATTAGAGAAGGCTTTGTCGGCAACATAGTTCCGGTGGTAGTTCACAAATCCAAAAGAAAAAATGAAATTAGAATGGATTACTCCTCCTTTATGAGATATGCTTCTGCAATTAGTGCTATTGAACTGTAGATGTAAGCATGAGAAATGTGATACTTATATTTCAAAAAGCACTGCAATTTGCTGCATTGGTTGCACTTAGACCTGGTAGCCCTTTCAGCTTTTGTTTTCTACTAAATCAGCTTTTCAAGTAAGGTAACTTGGTTTGGGCTGGTATCCCTATGCAGGACAATTATAACAGATGTGTTGGGCGGAGACATTCAGTTTGACTTTTATCACCGGTGGTTCGATGCAATATTTGTTGCTAGTGCTTTTCTTTCTCTACTTTTGCTTTCTGCACAGTATACATCTCGCCAAGCTGAAAAACACCCTATTGATTAATATGTTCACATGTAAGTTCTTAGCAGTTGATTTATTGGATTAGTAGTTATAATTTCCTAAATGAATCTGATTGCATTGATGCTTCAAACTTCATAATTGAGATGGCAACAGAAAATGCATTGTTGACATTGAGATACTTCCATGTTATCATCACCTTTTGAGTGGCAGTTGTTATATTTTCTGTTTGATAATTCAATTGGAGTCAATATTGTGTGAAATCTGGGTTATCTTTTTCTGCTTGTTCCATTTGAGGTGATATGCTATTTGAATCTAACAAGATGAAGATTAAGTGGCAGTAAATTTGTTTCTGTTTATTGAAGTCCACTTGAGGTCTTATTTTTGTATATCTGCTTGATGATGGGGTTGTTTCTGATTTGTGGAATGTGGAATGTGGAATTGATTAGACAACAGCTAGCGTGGGTTTACTAAAGCTAAGTTCCAATTTTCCATGGAATTTCAGTTGTAAAAAATGTTTTGAATGTGATTTTGAGTAACCTCATACTCTTCCAAGTGGCCATTAATNTGATTAGACAACAGCTAGCGTGGGTTTACTAAAGCTAAGTTCCAATTTTCCATGGAATTTCAATTGTCAAAAATGTTTTGAATGTGATTTTGAGTAACCTCATACTCTTCCAAGTGGCCATTAATGGTATGGGAGCTACCACCATGGGAGATGCTTTTGGAATGAATTTTAGTTATACATCATGGTAGTCATCACCTGAGTAGTGANATGGTATGGGAGCTACCACCATGGGAGATGCTTTTGGAATGAATTTTAGTTATACATCATGGTAGTCATCACCTGAGTAGTGAGCAATCACTTTGTCAGAAACTAACATTTGGAGCAAAACTAATTGTACGTTGGTTTGGCATATGTGGTACTAAAAGCATGCAGGATTTGTGTGTGTTGCTGTATCCGTGAGTTGATGGCTTCCTTTTTCCTAAAGCTATGCTCAATTCTGTCTTTTTACCTTAAAAGAACATCAAAATGCCACACTTCATAGTTTACTTAAAATTGGAAAAAATGTAAGTTTAATGAAGAGAGAGATTGTTCCCTAGTATTCTCCCAGCAGTTATTGGATTATACTGGGGTAGTAACCTCATCGACCGACTTTAAGTTGTCATGTTGACTATTATATGCTCTATATGAGAGTGCTTATTTTGGAATATATTTCTGGCACAAGAAACTATATTTGTGCAGTATTAGTTATTAATTCAATGCGAAGAAAGGTATGAGATTTGGGTCCACATCCTGCTATCAATTTCATTCACACTAAATGACAACTTAATCAAATATAGATATGCATTTTTGTTTTTGACACTCACGGAAAGCATGTCAGGGACATTCAGTCCAATAGGAGATCTGAAGAAACTATGATTTTGTGAAGATATGGTGTAAGAATTCTATATTTACGTCGATTCTATATGGATTCCGATAATAATCAAGTTTTTCTGATGCCCAAAAAAAGACACTGATAATAAACATAATCAAATTGTTGCATGTTCAATCTCAGTGTTTGAGGAGTGAGATTGAATTCGGACGTAGAATCAACCATATAAATTCTTGAGTGAATACGCATTGCCAGTTTGTTGACCTCAGAATATGGCACTTTTTAGAATCTCCAATTCTCATGAAAACCATACTGATAACCATTTGAACCCAAGTCCATTTTTAAGCTTTCCTGTTGTATTTCATGGCTGCTCTTATTCTGATCCAATGTATATTGATGCAATAGTACTAATGTTAAGAACCTGCTGATTCAATTTTCTGCTTAGTATCAGGAATAATAGTAAAATTGCAGCTGATTGCCGGACTATTGTGTGCAAATACTTTTAACGTGTGGAATGAAGAATTGAATTGGTGCCTCTTGTGCAGCAATGCTTGAATCAAATTTGCAAAGAACCAACACGCTTCATGGCAAGAACCATATTGAAGATCAGAGGGGTGAAATTTTGTGCGTTCAGCAATTGGTTTGTCATATGAGGGTTGCATCTATATCCAACTGATTTGGGATTATGCTAAACTTTGTAACTTGATTTCATTAATTTTAATTCATTCCAAATGTGTAAAATCGGTTGAAAACAATGAATTTTTTTTTTTTCCTAAATGGGTGCTGGAGTTGATGATTGGTTAATGATGACAATAGTGCTTGTGATGGTCGAAGTGATGCAGGTAGTGATGGAAATGGGAGTTGTTGCACCGATTTTGGATGGAAGTATGACTGGAAGTGGTCAGTGTAGAGCTGATAGGCAATTGGANTGGAAATGGGAGTTGTTGCACCGATTTTGGATGGAAGTATGACTGGAAGTGGTCAGTGTAGAGCTGATAGGCAATTGGAGGAGGTGTTGGTTTTGTTGACTTAAGCCCAAAAATTGAAGTGGTGATGAGCGGGTATGGATGTGGTGGCGACTTATTTTTTGATTAGTGCAGATGGGTACAAGCCTTAGGTTTCAGTCGTGGTGCTTCTGGTTCATAAGGTTTATGAAATGGTTTCATCAAGTTCAGAAAAGGATACTATTTTTTTTTTGGTTCTTGTACGAGAAAGTAAAGTCTAAGATGTTAGTTGCGTCATATATTCAATGTGTTGGTGGTAATGTTTTTAATTTAATTATATAGAGATAGAGATGCATGCTTCTGTCAAAGATGCACTTTGCCTTTACCCCGCCTTTATGAGTAATGAAATTCAACGATTTGGCCGAGAATTAATGTCCTTTAACTTAAAGCATCTCCATCAAGCAGTGCTCTCTATTTTAGAGAGATTTTTTTTTTTTTTTTTTTTTAAATATGGAGCATCTTTAGTAAAAAGTAATAATAGAGAATAAATTTTTATGCACCACTCCAATAAGACTATTTTTATCATTTAATGTTTTGTCCTTTTTGGCAATTAATTTAATTTTTTTTTCTATTTTTTTATATGTGATAAGTTTATTATAAATATCCTAGATGAAAAAATAAATATATCATGATTTTTGTTCCAAAAAAAATAGAGTGGAGAGGGAGTTTAAGCCCTCTAAAGGTAGAGAATTAAAACGAATTTTTTATTTTAGAGAGTCTAAATAAAAAGTCTTTTGGAGAATAAATTATAAGTGTTGGTTCTCTATAATAGAGAATTGAGTAAGAATGCAAAACCTATTAAAGATATTCTAAGGCAGATAGAGTGATGTTGTACATAACTACGGTGGTAATGGGTGTTGGAAGAGACTATAGAGAAAAAAATATATATATTTTTTGAGGAAGAATTAAGAAGAAACAGGATTTTTTCCCCTTCAAATGCACCTTAATTTCTTTAAATAATTTTTAAAACATTATGCAAATGGACTAGCTAAAGGCAAAGATCATATTTAACACATAGATTTGACCCAATTAAAGTATTAAGAATCAAAATGACATTAGATGTATATATTGAAGATTGATGGTGTAATTATAATAATAATAATAAAAAAGTAATTGCGAGATAAAACATAAGCTCATCTTTCACATAAAAACCACAGCACGCGTAATCGCTATTGACAGATTGGCTTGTTTCCTCCGCAGCTTTGCTTACAAACCGCCCCGATATTTAGGGTAAATTGTACCAATGGTTCACGAGTTTGTCAATTGTTACACTTTCGTTTTTGAAATTCTAATTTTATCAATTTCGTCCTCCTTGTTTCCACGTTGCCACTTGTTGCACATGAGACTTTTGAGGGTATTACTAAAAAATAAAAGTAAGTGTCCGTGCGTTGTTGAGCTGATAATTGAATTGAGTTATTTGGGCTTGCCTCGGTTTGTTTTGAATAATTTTTTGATTTTGTTTAAAAAAAGAGTTCGACAAACAAAATTCAAAATTAAGAAACTTATATGTAAACACCCGAGTTTAGTTCATTTTGATTTTTACTAATTTTATAAACTTGTCGGCCTTAAACAATTTTTGAAATTTATTTAAAAAAGCCAAATATGACTATTTGTACAAAAAAAAAAAAATTGTAGGAAAGAATCCAATATAATAAATATTATATTATGTGGAAACGGCAAGAAAAATAGAAGTTAATAAGCAGAAGAAAAAGAAGACGTCTGTATCTATTAACAGTGGCCTTCGTCCCCAAATCCTCGCCAGAGATAAAATAGAGTATAAGATTCTCAGGAGGAGAAGCCTCACCTCACCTCACTGCCAGATTTTCCTCAGATCCTTCGTATTTCACACTTGCCACCATCATAAATTTATAGCAATTACCGTTTGCTGCCTAATCTATTAATTGTGGAGAGAGAGAGAGAGAGAGGGAGAGATGCATTTGGGGTTAAATCTCTTGCGTGGCTTGAATTAATCGCTGAGATATTTATGCGTATTGGAAATCCCAATGAGTTGATGTTTGATCCATCGTTTCGGTGTGGCCGATGGCTAAGCGCAAGGAACGAACCCTGAGCGAGCTATACAATGTGACTCAGATTATGACAGAACCGGAGGCACGTAATTATGTTGCCCTGTTTGATTATCATCAATTAGTGCGTGGTTTAATCGACCCTTTGTTTGAATTTTTTGTTATATGCTGATTTCATCTTTTTTTTTTTTTTTGGGGTTCGAATTTTGTTTGGGAATCAGTATTCGATTGTTATCAATATGCAAAAGATTTCAATATTTGATTTGTTTTTGTGGGCAATTTGATAGTTCAATTGCTTTCTGGAAGCTAGGGTTTTCGTGTATTAAGATTTTGCTTGTTGTCTCTCCCCTTCCCAATCCCATGCGTAAATGCAAATATATAATTAGTGGACTAGTACTTAGATATCTCTTTAATGGATTGTGCTGTATTTCATGATTCTAGCGCTGCTTTAGCTGACCTGATTTTTCAAATACGATACACTTGATTTTGTTTCTTGGTTGACTTAAAACGTTTTTTCAATGCTTTTGAACGCACTAATTGATGTTGTTTTGGTATGCTTTTTAGATCACCCCAGTCTTGGAAGGGAAATGTCAGATGCAAGGACCCGTTGATGAAAGAGAGTATGATGTCCAGACGAATATGGTGAGATAACAGGGTAATTACGTGCTATTGTGCTTCTACTCTATGGTTTTTCAATTGTTGTTTTGTTTCTTTTGTATTTTTGGAGAGAGAGTGGGTTTGGGGGTGGGCCGGTGGTTACAGGATTGTTAATTGTGTGTAACAAAGGTTCCATGGATGGATTCCTTGTTTCATAATTACTTTCAAATGGCAAGTAGGTTGTCCAGCTCCATGATATCATAGTTATACTTTTGCTGATATGATAATGAAATCATTATCTAAAACTCATTTATGTGGCTGGCTGGAATATTAATATTGAAAATAATTTTTGGAATCTATATTCTAGGTTGTGACTATTGTGGATTTCTATTTTGACGGCAGTTCAGACGGTAGATACATTGGTGCTGGTAAACCTGTCATATTCTGTTTCCTGCAGTTGACTTTTTGTCTTTGATCTTGTGGTTCAGTATCTTTCGCATGTATGTTCTTTCTCACCTGTAAAAAACCTGGGCCATACAAGTGTTTGTACTTCTGGACATTGAAAAATCTACTAGACTTTTAGATATAGTTGTAATTTATTTTTTCACACTCAAGTTAAGTGCAATTTTTTAGATTCCGAGGTGATTGGTGTAGATTGTTTACACTTGACAAGTTATCAAATGCCATTACACTTTGTTATTGTGAGGACAATCTACCTCATTGAAGCTGTTGTTAGAATTTTAGTGTCTGCTTCTTAACTTGGTTTCTCTCCTTAACATGTTTAAAGTTGCAACGTTGGAGTTTTTTATTGGCTGGTCGCAAAGGGATATGTACTTGATGTATTGCCTCAGTCATGATGGAATAGTTTATGTGGGAATAAATCTTTATGTGNGTTGGAGTTTTTTATTGGCTGGTCGCAAAGGGATATGTACTTGATGTATTGCCTCAGTCATGATGGAATAGTTTATGTGGGAATAAATCTTTATGTGGAGATTACATCCTTAAAAGATATTGGTTTTTGTATTTTTTTGATCCCTGTTTTTGGGTACCTTTGTTATATTTGAAAATTTTGAATAAGGGTGATATTATTTTCGCTGCATATAACTTGCCATTTATTTTCATTTTACTTTGCTCTTAGCAAGAGATAATGATATTCATTTATTTTCATTTTATTTTACATGTGCCTTACCTAAGTATATTTATTGTGTATTTGCTTCACATTTGTAATAATTAACCTATTAAGGACAAAAGGTTTATAATACCTCATTGCATAATATGTTGTAAGAATTTATGATGCATAAATCGATGAACAATAGAAATCTTTATGCTAGATTCTTATGTCACCCCAATCTAATTTAGTCGAGCATAAGCAGAAGCACTTATTTACTCCCTTTTTTGACTGAATATAGTTCTTTATTTCTTGCTAGCAAATATTTCTTAACATTTATTTATTATTTTTCACCTTAAGCAAAGCACAGCTACAATGTTCTGGATATTGGAGTTGTATCCAAACTTCAAATGCAACCTTGTGACAAAGTAAATAAACTGGATCCAGGCTGGAAATGGAGTGTTGGAGCATTAGGAACTAGGAAATGATGATACCACATTGATTTCATAGCTGTAGAAAAGCTTTTGCTCGGTGATTCATAAGCTTAATTGGAACATATAGGTCCATGTCAAATACTTATGATCCCTGCTTTACTTTAGTGAATCATAAGCTTCATGTTAGTTTACAGGTCAGTGCTGTTACATTGGTTGGTCATCTTATGTAGTTTTTCAGGTATAGTCGCATAGGTCCTTATTGAATAACATGTTCTAGTTTCACTGTGCATCTCATATATATGTTAACATTGCAGTGTTCGTGTGGATGTGTTGGCTGATAGTAATGGAGTTAGTTGGCTTTCTGAAATTGAAACAAAATTTCTTCCGAGAGGTTTATTACTTCACTCGGTTTTTTGTTTTTCATCACTTCTTTTTGGGGTTTGTACTAGTGCAGTAGTGAGCCTAGAATATCTATGTGAAATGATTAAGGATCTGGCTTGGCAAGCAAAACAGGGTAGAATAAAGAAATATGGATCATATCAAGAAGAAAGTTTTCACCAAAAGCAATAATGTGCGTTCTTTGCCGCCATCATCCCTTTGGGCTAGCATCGCCCCAAGTGAATGGTCCATGGCAGTCGTGTATAATAAAAAAGGCCAACCCTGGGTGGTGGGTGGGTTTAGGCTAGGACGGGTGGTTGTGTTAGGTATTGCTTGATGCTCTGGAACGCATTGTCACAAGCTTGATCCCATACTTTTTTGATCCATTTATCTAGCAAGTTCATGTGTGAGTAAGGTGGTAGACTGTTATTAGTATCTGGATTAGTTGCTAACTTGCTATATATTTGCTCTAAGCTTTACACAAAAACTTTGGATTCTAATGTCTTCGTCCTTTGCATCTATCCTCATTGGTTTACCACTGGACGTCGTCATGTGTTCAATAAACTCACATGTTCAGTATAAAACTAGGGGCTTAATGCTCCCAATGTAAGATCAATATTATTGGAAATATGATTTTCTCTACTTGATTGTTTTTATTGTGACCACATGTGCTTCATGGATTTGACTTAATAAAGTCAACCACACAATTTTTACTTTCAGAAAAGCTCATTATGTTATTTCTGCTGCCATCTTATGGTACTAACGATAACTCGTGTCTAAAGACTATGTAATACCAAAAATCAAATATTGTTTCTGCAATATTTCTATTTTAAATAACAATTTGTTTTTTTTAATTACTCAATTTAAAATTAAAATGAAGAGAGACAAAAGAGAGGTAGGTGTAGATTGATGAGTTTTTTGGCATTTGAAAGTTTTGATTGAGTTGTTTGATATTGGTGGCCATACAACGGAGATGTTTTTAAGCAAAAACAAAAATTTTGGGATGAATTTTGTATTATTGGATTAAAATAGATAAAAATTGGATCAATCTTGATCTCTGATGTACTTTTATAAGGTGAGAATTCGGAATGATCATAAATTTTTTATAAGAAAAAGATTTTTGTAGTTATAACCATGTATGCAACTCATGTCAACTCAACAAAGCCTTGTCCCGATATTTTTGGGGTCTGCTACAAGAATTCTGTTTTGCAATTGTGTTCTTATAAGGCGCCATACTTTTTGAAAATTATAAATTATCATGTATTTCTTTACTATTTCATTTAAAGTTAATTTTGGTCTTCTTTTACTCCAATTATTGTCAATAGCACTCACTTCACTTTTTCTCNTGTATTTCTTTACTATTTCATTTAAAGTTAATTTTGGTCTTCTTTTACTCCAATTATTGTCAATAGCACTCACTTCACTTTTTCTCACTGTTTCCATTGTAGTCCATCTATAAATATGTCCAAATCACCTACGTCGATTTTCTATTAGTTTATCTTCTATATGTGCTACCTCAACTTTTTCATGAATATTCTCATCCTTAATTCTCTATCATTTTTAGTTTCATCACACATTTATCTTAACATTCTCATTTCTTTCATACTCAATTTTTGAATGTGTTAGTTATCAGTGTCCAACACTCCGTACCATAAAACATTGTGGGCCTTGTGACTGTTATATAAACTTCCCTTTTAAGGTGTATGTGTCTGTCACACAATACACCATATGCATGAATAATTTGGGTTTTTCAGGGAAACTTAGTATGGAGCTACTGCTTACTGGCACAATTAGATGGTCTCTAGTTGATGGCAGGACAGTCACTTGGCAAACATCTTGGATACTTTGTTCTATTTTTGCATTTGGATGGAGGGATTATGGTGTTCTTAATCTTTCGAAAGAGATGGATAGCAAAATTATATACAGGGCCTTAAGTGGTGGGGATATCTAAAGCAATGACAAAGACATATAGCACAAACTGAATTTCATGATTTCACCTGCCACAGTTTCAATATGGAAATAGTATTTCTGCGTGAAAATCTGAAGATGAATTACAATAGTTTAACAACCTTTTCAGTTATTGTTGTTGGTCTTTAGCTTAGAATGATCTTTAACGTGCATAATTTTTCTTTCCTTTCTATGGGATCAACATGTCACAATTTTGGGCTGATTTTACCTTGTTTTGATCGGATGGAAGGGGTAATAATTATTTTAACATATGTCAACACCTTTGCCTTTCTATTGTTGTTTTTCTTTCCTTAATTTGGCACTGTTTTTGTCAGGTGTCTTCTGGAGTAGATAAGGGATTTATCAGCCATTCCATAAGTCAAAAAGTTGAGTCTGGGACATGTAACGTGTGCTCCACTCCTTGCTCGTCTTGTTTGCATAACAACCGAGCTCTTATGGGGTCAAAGATTGATGAATCTTCTGATGAAACCTGTAGAGAAAATGCCTTTAGTTATTCTGTGAATGATGTTTTGCCCGCTGTTAAGAGCAAAAAATATGAAATTGATCAGCATGCTGCCAGTGAAACTAGCAACGTGGTAAGTGGGAATTCAAGTCAGGATTCTTTGTCTGAAAATGCAGAAAGTAAAGCAAGCTTGAGGACTATGTCTGGTGCATCTGAAGATATTGAGATGCTTCCAAAGTTGTCGTCTGCTGGGTCTGTCAGAGAGGATCAGCACACTGTAAGTTTGAAATGTGATTCAGATCAGAGAAGCCTTTCAAAAAAGGTTGACTCAAAAGGTTTAGAAGGACATGATGATAATATTTCGTGTGTAACTGGAGCTAAGGAAGCAAACATTTTGTTCAGTTATGGTGGAAATGTAGACAGAATAAATTTACCCTGTTGTTCTGCTTCCGCTAGTAGTTTAGTTACAGATGGATATGATAAAACAGTTCATTATCGAACTGCTTCAGGATGTTTAGATTTAAAATGTGATGTGGAGACTCCTTTAACAAAAGACCCCGATGATGATGCTGTCTTACAGAAGGTACAAAGCACATATTCCCATTCTCCTAATGACAAATTTCTTCCCTGTGACTCAAATTTGAGGGACTTTGAAGAGGCTTCATGCTTGCATCTTCAGGGGGAATTGCCAGGGTGCTCAAGGGAGCAGTTGAATACTTGTGCGACAAAAGATGTAGTATCTGATACTGTTTATGACCAGAAATGTTCGGTAAATTATTGTGATGATATTCAAAATATTAATGTTTGTCCAGTTGAAGGCAATTCTGAGGCTTCAGTCAAATTTCGTCAGATGTTAGACATTGAAACTGACAATGACTCTGTTGATCCGCCTGCTGAAGCATTGGCTTCTGCTGAACAGAATGAAGTTGAGAAAGGCAGGGAATCATCTCTCTTACCTCATATGAAGGAGACTTCTTTGCCATTCCCTCGTGTGGATGAGAGTGATGAATCAGATATTGTTGAGCATGATGTAAGTTTACAATTTTCTCTCCTCAATGATACCTTCGGTTGTTCATGTGGCTAGAATGACTAGTTGACTTGGAACTTTTCTTTTTATCTAAATTTAGAACATTTAGTTGTAGTATTATTGTATTGCAAGTCTATTCTTTCTTCAGTGATATTTGCATTCCCCAGCAAGTCTTTCTTTGTCTTCCTTCCTTCCTCTCTCTTTTCCCTTGGTTTGATTGTTCCATTGAAATGTTATGCAAATTGAGCACTAANGTGATATTTGCATTCCCCAGCAAGTCTTTCTTTGTCTTCCTTCCTTCCTCTCTCTCTTCCCTTGGTTTGATTGTTCCATTGAAATGTTATGCAAATTGAGCACTAAATATCTATCTCTGGAGAGTTATATTGTTTGTTTTCTCCTTTTCCATGAACTATCACTTGCTTAAANCAAACTGAATTTCATGATTTCACCTGCCACAGTTTCAATATGGAAATAGTATTTCTTTGTGAAAATCTGAAGATGAATTACAATAGTTTAACAACCTTCTCAGTTATTGTTGTTGGTCTTTAGCTTAGAATGATCTTTAACATGCATAATTTTTCTTTCCTTTCTATGGGATCAACATGTCACAATTTTGGGCTGATTTTACCTTGTTTTTATCGGATGGAAGGGGTAATAATTATTTTAACATATGTCAACACCTTTGCCTTTCTATTGTTGTTTTTCTTTCCTTAATTTGGCACTGTTTTTGTCAGGTGTCTTCTGGAGTAGATAAGGGATTTATCAGCCATTCCATAAGTCAAAAAGTTGAGTCTGGGACATGTAACGTGTGCTCCACTCCTTGCTCGTCTTGTTTGCATAACAACCGACCTCTTATGGGGTCAAAGATTGATGAATCTTCTGATGAAACCTGTAGAGAAAATGCCTTTAGTTATTCTGTGAATGATGTTTTGCCCGCTGTTAAGAGCAAAAAATATGAAATTGATCAGCATGCTGCCAGTGAAACTAGCAACGTGGTAAGTGGGAATTCAAGTCAGGATTCTTTGTCTGAAAATGCAGAAAGTAAAGCAAGCTTGAGGACTATGTCTGGTGCATCTGAAGATATTGAGATGCTTCCAAAGTTGTCGTCTGCTGGGTCTGTCAGAGAGGATCAGCACACTATAAGTTTGAAATGTGATTCAGATCAGAGAAGCCTTTCAAAAAAGGTTGACTCAAAAGGTTTAGAAGGACATGATGATAATATTTCGTGTGTAACTGGAGCTAAGGAAGCAAACATTTTGTTCAGTTATGGTGGAAATGTAGACAGAATAAATTTACCCTGTTGTTCTGCTTCCGCTAGTAGTTTAGTTACAGATGGATATGATAAAACAGTTCATTATCGAACTGCTTCAGGATGTTTAGATTTAAAATGTGATGTGGAGACTCCTTTAACAAAAGACCCCGATGATGATGCTGTCTTACAGAAGGTACAAAGCACATATTCCCATTTTCCTAATGACAAATTTCTTCCCTGTGACTCAAATTTGAGGGACTTTGAAGAGGCTTCATGCTTGCATCTTCAGGGGGAATTGCCAGGGTGCTCAAGGGAGCAGTTGAATACTTGTGCGACAAAAGATGTAGTATCTGATACTGTTTATGACCAGAAATGTTCGGTAAATTATTGTGATGATATTCAAAATATTAATGTTTGTCCAGTTGAAGGCAATTCTGAGGCTTCAGTCAAATTTCGTCAGATGTTAGACATTGAAACTGACAATGACTCTGTTGATCCGCCTGCTGAAGCATTGGCTTCTGCTGAACAGAATGAAGTTGAGAAAGGCAGGGAATCATCTCTCTTACCTCATATGAAGGAGACTTCTTTGCCATTCCCTCGTGTGGATGAGAGTGATGAATCAGATATTGTTGAGCATGATGTAAGTTTACAATTTTCTCTCCTCAATGATACCTTCGGTTGTTCGTGTGGCTAGAATGACTAGTTGACTTGGAACTTTTCTTTTTATCTAAATTTAGAACATTTAGTTGTAGTATTATTGTATTGCAAGTCTATTCTTTCTTCAGTGATATTTGCATTCCCCAGCAAGTCTTTCTTTGTCTTCCTTCCTTCCTCTCTCTCTTCCCTTGGTTTGATTGTTCCATTGAAATGTTATGCAAATTGAGCACTAAATATCTATCTCTGGAGAGTTATATTGTTTGTTTTCTCCTTTTCCATGAACTATCACTTGCTTACATTGGAAACAATTCTCCTTCTAAACGTTGGTATATCTTGCTTTGTTGTTGCTGCTGTCATGTATCTGCCTTTTGAAAAGTCTTGAAATCCTGGGTAGGATGTCTAATATATACTAAAAAAATCGTGCTTAGGTCTCTGGAATTGGTCAATTTTCCATGGGGAACATTTGGCTTCTATATTCTGATGTCTTGATCTATTTTTTGTTCATAGTTTACTTGCTTTTTGTGATCTAGCTTTTGAGTTGTTTTGCAATTTCCATGTATCCTGTTATAGTTTTGTTGTTGCGATTATTACTCTATAATGTGATTGCTTGATGAATTTTCTTTACTGTGTCGGAACAGGTAAAAGTTTGTGATATCTGTGGGGATGCTGGTCGGGAGGATTTGCTTGCTATATGTTGTAGGTGCAGTGATGGTGCAGAGCACACGTAAGCTTAAATAGTTTCCTTAACTGGCAGAATTTACAGGCTATCTATTCTATGCAATTCTAAATGTCTGCTTTAACATGATTCTTTATATATCTATTGCTATCAATCAGCTATTGCATGCGTGAAATGCTGGATAAAGCTCCAGAAGGTTATTGGCTGTGTGAAGAATGCAAGTTTGATGAGGAAACAAAGGACGATAATAAAAAGAAATATGGTTCAGTGGTTGGGGATGAAGAAAATGAATCGTATGGCCTAGCTGTCACTGATAGTACTTATGTCTCTTTGAAATCGGATGGAAATGGTTCAGATGTTGAGGTAAATAGAACTAACAGAGGCAGTTTGAGTGTGAAAGTATCTGGTAAAAGACATGCAGATGACATAGAAGTTTCTTCAGCTGCAAAAAAGCAGGCTCGTGAAGCAATTATTGGATCATCAAATATATCCAGTCCCAGCAGGCCAGCTGCACTTTCTCGTGATAGTTCATTCAAGAACCTAGATAAGGGGAAAGTGAAGACTGTACATGAATCTTTTTCTGTCACTCACTCTGTCACTTGCACTTCAGAAGCTGCTTGCTCTCCTAGTACAGGTCCAAGACTGCAGACACCTCGAAGTAATATTTTTATTTGCTACTTCTGTGATTAAGCTCTTTTTCATTAGGCAGAGGGTAGCTCTTCTGTGTTTAAGCTCTTTTTCATTAGACAGAGGGTAGCTTTACGTTGTTTATTAGGATGTTGGTTTTGTTTTCTGGGGTATCTTCATTTTAAGCGGTAACTTATACTTCTTTTGCAGGTGCTTTCTTAAAGTCTAATTCCTTCAGTTTCTCAAATGGTAAACCAAAAGTTAAGCCTGTAGATGATGTTGTTCCTCAGAAGCAGAAATCTGCTAGAGAACAAGCTTCTCTTGACGTGAAGGAAGGGACTGCCAGATTGATTGGAAAATCCATGTCATTTAGATCTGCGAATTCAGGCTGTTTAATTGAGCCAAAAGTAAAGATGCCATCGCCTAGATTTTCTCATGTTCAGGATCCAAAAGGATTGAAACAAGCAAAAGAAAGGAACTTATTTGAAAGGATGAATTCATTTAAATCAGAACGCCCATTGGTTAATTCACCAATGGCCACCTCTGTTGTCTCTGCATCGAAAGTTGATAAGAAACTAGCATCTCGTGGTGAAACTCTCTCTCTTTCATCCGCAAACAACCACCGTGAAAAGAAGGTTGTGCAATCTGACAGTAAATCAATTACATCATTAAAGGCAACTAGTCATGCTGTTCATCGGGATTCAGAAATTCCAGTTCCATTAGGTATGAGTGTTCCATCTTATGGTTGGCTTTTGTCATTTATATTTTTATTTCCCTATTTTTTCTGTGTTTAAATTTTTTTGCTATAATTTATCTTCTTTTGCTGTCCATATGAATCAGGTGAAGTTAGGAAGCAGTCTTCAGGCCTCCCCAGTGTAGTTGGAGCTCAATATGCCAAGAGGATTAGTGGCTTTGGGGAGCAAAAGCCTATCCGGGCTAGCCCAAAGGACGATTACTCATTGAGTTCTGGTNGCCAAGAGGATTAGTGGCTTTGGGGAGCAAAAGCCTATCCGGGCTAGCCCAAAGGATGATTACTCATTAAGTTCTGATATTGGTGAACGATCACATAGTAATGTCACTGAAAGTCTAACAGATGGGTTATCTCAGTTCCGGGAGTTGACTACCCTTGGTGAGCAAATGAAGGAGAGTTCTGGTAGTCGATCAAGGCAGATTACTGCTGGTGGTGGAAGAAATGTTTCCTGTCAGAAATGTAAAGAACTTGGCCATTCTGAACAACATTGCACAGTTGACAGTCCTGGGTCACTGACTCCTGATGCATCTTCTTTAAGAAATTCAAAAGAAGTGATGAATAAAGGTAATAAGTTGAAAGCTGCAATTGAGGCGGCTATGCTTAAAAAGCCTGGATTATACAGAAAGAAGAGAGTTCCCGATCAACCTGAGGAGTTGTCTGTGTTAAGTATGAATGGTGAAATAGCTTCTCAGGGTCCATTATCTGGTTCAAATAGTATCAGAAACATGATTTCTGACGAGGACATGCATGAGGGGCAAGCAGTAAAACGGGACTCCACCACTGACTCTTGTATGCCTAAAACTGTCAACAACATGGAGCAGTTCAGTGTGCTTCCTGCTGAAGTTGTTACTTCCAGAACAGAAGATGTTTGTCCCATTGTGCGTTTTGATGGAAAGTCTTCCAGTAGGGATCTGCATTGTTATACTTTGGCATCGATATCTCCTCTTCTGAAGCTTTCAGCAATTCCAGAGCATGAGTTTATTTGGCAGTATGATTCTTTCCCCTTTTCTGAGTAGCATTCATTTTTATAGCCAGAGAATTTGTACTTTCTTGTACTTTTTCCTTTTTGGCTTTCAATGGACTCTTCTGTGGAAGGTATTTTTGCACCTTGAAAATTGGATTTTGCATACTCATGTTTTTTGCTTGCAGAGGGGCTTTTGAAATTCATAGAAGTGGACAAGTCTCAGACTTATTAAATGGAATGCAAGCACATCTATCAATTTTTGCATCCCATAAAGTTCTAGAGGCGGCAAACAAATTTTCTTGCAAACTTACTCTCAATGAAGTACCTCGCATGAGTACATGGCCAATACAGTTCCAGGAAAGTGATGTCAAAGAAGATAACATTGCACTCTATTTCTTTGCTAAAGACCTAGAGAGGTAATCTCCCTTTCCCTCTTCCCCCTTCTTTGTCTCTCCCTCTCTATCGAAATTGTGCCTTTTAGATTCAAATATATATTTTTTCCTTTTGCCCTATATGCAAACCTGTTGTTTCTTATGTTACAGCTACGAGAAGAGCTACAAGATTTTATTGGATAGTATGATGAGCAGTGATCTAGCTCTCAAAGGGATCATTGATGGTGTTGAACTCTTGATTTTCCCATCCAACCAACTTCCTGAGAAATACCAGCGTAAGAAAAGTCCTGACATACTTTCTTGTAAATGAAGTAAGCAAATTTTGAAACTTATGATTGAGGCTCGTATTGAGACAAAGTGTCTACAATGCAGCCTTTTAGGCTTGTTTTTTGGTAAGGTTTTTTGTTGCGGCGTGTGGATTGGGAACATGCTTCAGGCGTTGGAGGCTTGCACCAAGTAGTGTGTGCCCTACACATGATTGTTAGAATGATTGTTTTCTAATTACCAGCTAAAGCCTATAGCTTATAGCCTAGAGAGTCTTTCGTCTTACGGCTCATCTTGAGATAAGGCTCCAGTGCTACATTCTTTTTGGGTTGAGTTCTCAAGTTTTGTTGCTGAGGTGTAAGCACTGCAAAACATGCTTTGATGGCTTGCCCTAAGAAGTGTGTCATACGCATGATATCAGGGCACGCTACCAATATCCTGCTCTGCCTCCATTATATTTTATCGGGGGCTGTAGGTTTAGATACTTCATATGCCATTTTGAATCTTTGGAGCAGGTTCTTCTTTTCTATTTTTTTCTTAAGTTTTATAGGCAATATGAAATCAGATGTTTGTGATACTCTGCCTTTTTGCTCTGAGACTTGTGCCTTGTTTTGAGTTAGGAAGACAAAAATGTTGCTTACATGTACTTGTATGTCAATGTTTATGACCATGTAGTAGAGCAGATATATGAACAACTTCACTTCAATCTTGTGTTGTCCGCCATTCGTAGGTTGGAATATGCTTTTCTTCCTATGGGGCGTGTTCAGAGGAAAGAGGGCAAGTTGCTTGCAACACATGCCTGGCTCCACAGAACAGTTTAGTTGTCCCCAAGATATCTCCATGGCCACCATCTCTTTGCCTGAGAATACATGTTCACTTGGGCCTATAGATAATAGTTCATCCGCCTGTGACGGGGCTTGCAATGTTGATGTAGCATCTGAGGCCCATGCCTCAATAGCATTGCCCTGTTTATCAGAAGGAATAAATGGGGACTGTGATACGAAAGTATCTTCCCTTGTTACAAAGGATGAATGTATACAAATAGTTGTGGAGCAGCAGGAGTTTAGGCTGGACTCTGATCCCTTGTCTACAATACAGAGCAGTAGTGCGCATTTGTGCCCTGGACTTGGATCCATCTGTATATCCCAGGTATTGTTAATTCCTTCACATTTGCAAATAGATTGAAAATTAAATATCTGTTCTCTCCCCATCTCTGTGGTATGGCCTTACATTTGTTTTGAAACTTTTTTGACTCTTCAGGGAATAGACTTGTAACAGCACTGATTGGATTTGCTATTTTTTTTTTTCAAAACCATAAGGAAATCTGGGCATTGCATCCAGATACTAACTTCTGTTTTCTTGTATGCTCTAATTATTGGCATGTGCTTGGCACAAGATTTGGTTTTAGTTGATTTTAAGAAGTGAGGCCATCCACTGATAAAAGATGTAGCTTTTATAGGTTGACATATCGGAAGTTCGACTGTAAGTACTTAAATCGTGATTTCATTTGCTTGACTTGCTGTTGAATATGTTTCTTGAGATTCTACACGAATACAATAAAGTGATTTGTCATTCCTGGGCCATAGCACATGGAGAATTGCTTTAGTATGAAAATTAGTCTCTATTGCTTGTGAATTATTAATCGCAATATTGGTAGACTATGTTCTTTGATATCTCTTGGTTTTCGATCTTTAGTACATCATTCTTTTGAATCTCTACCTCCACTTAATTTATATTACATAAATTAAATCTTTTGAACTTAAAGCACATCTCCAAATTTGTATTATATGTTTATTCTCTACTTTCGACAATTGATATTATATTATCAACAAATAAGATACACTAAGCAAATTCAAACTTAATGTCCCTGATGAATTCATCCGTAATCAAGATAAAAAGATACCCACTTAACACAGGACCTTGATGTAATTCTATAATGGTCCAAAATTCACTACTCTCCCTTGCAGTGGTTTTCACTAAAATCACCATAGCCTGGCATGTATCCTTAAATCTAGTAGTTTTTTAAGTATATAGCTTTTCCATTGTTGACTTTACAGACACACGCTGAAACTTATCCTCAAATACTGTTATTTCAAGTCTTAATCGTTGTGCTGTCACTCTCTCCCTAAATTTCTCTCAATAATTTGTGCATGTGCCCTTTATTTTCCTGTATAGGTACAAAAATATTCTCTAGTTTGCATTTTCTTTGGCTATCATTAGAGATCTCACAAATGTCTTTGGCTATCAGCTACCTATTGCAACCATCCTCTTTTACCCGAGGTTGAGACCGGTTGTGTAAAAAAAAAGGTACTAAGCACAATGCTGGTGGAGTTTAAATTGTCAGCTATTATTGGTTCTGAATAGGGCTTTTTGGAATCTTAACTCTTTTTTTTTTTTTTGGGATAAGTGGACCTCTGTCAAGTGGCTTGCTTCTGCTATTTTTATATGGAAAGAAGATAAACGAAAATTCAATAATTCTTTTGGTAGCTACATGCTTATGGAAGCAGTGCCATTTCTCATGATTTTTGGGGTGGTGCTTTATGCACTGTTATTTTGAATTCACCCGCCTTCAGTCACCACCACCTTGTTGCATCTACTCTGTAACCATCAAGCGGTTGTGTTCAGAGAAAAGAGAAGAGGAAGGAATTTTGCATTCTTCAGTGGGGGCGAATTTGAAACAACAAAGGTTCCATAGAAGAAACTGCACTGCGTCTGTTTTTGTTATAGGTAGCGGTTCTGCATAATTGCATACCTGTGTGTTTCTGCTTATGTTTTGCTTGCTATCCTTTCAATCAACTTTGTAACGTGCTACTTGGATGCCCATTGGATGGAGGGTTGGGTTCCAATCATATTGTCTTTTATACAAGTATATGTGTGACGTTCAGGATTTCTATGATATAAGCTGACTGCTGCCTCAATTTGATTNCCTTTCAATCAACTTTGTAACGTGCTACTTGGATGCCCATTGGATGGAGGGTTGGGGTCCAATCATATTGTCTTTTATACAAGTATATGTGTGACGTTCAGGATTTCTATGATATAAGCTGACTGCTGCCTCAATTTGAATGGTGTCAGTTGTCACCAATGAAGATTGAACCTCTATAAGTTTTAAAGATGATGTTTCTCGCGTACCAGGACCAGACACATGTGGTGAANTTGCTTGTGAATTATTAATCGCAATATTGGTAGACTATGTTCTTTGATATCTCTTGGTTTTCGATCTTTAGTACATCATTCTTTTGAATCTCTACCTCCACTTAATTTATATTACATAAATTAAATCTTTTGAACTTAAAGCACATCTCCAAATTTGTATTATATGTTTATTCTCTACTTTCGACAATTGATATTATATTATCAACAAATAAGATACACTAAGCAAATTCAAACTTAATGTCCCTGATGAATTCATCCGTAATCAAGATAAAAAGATACCCACTTAACACAGGACCTTGATGTAATTCTATAATGGTCCAAAATTCACTACTCTCCCTTGCAGTGGTTTTCACTAAAATCACCATAGCCTGGCATGTATCCTTAAATCTAGTAGTTTTTTAAGTATATAGCTTTTCCATTGTTGACTTTACAGACACACGCTGAAACTTATCCTCAAATACTGTTATTTCAAGTCTTAATCGTTGTGCTGTCACTCTCTCCCTAAATTTCTCTCAATAATTTGTGCATGTGCCCTTTATTTTCCTGTATAGGTACAAAAATATTCTCTAGTTTGCATTTTCTTTGGCTATCATTAGAGATCTCACAAATGTCTTTGGCTATCAGCTACCTATTGCAACCATCCTCTTTTACCCGAGGTTGAGACCGGTTGTGTAAAAAAAAAAGGTACTAAGCACAATGCTGGTGGAGTTTAAATTGTCAGCTATTATTGGTTCTGAATAGGGCTTTTTGGAATCTCAACTCTTTTTTTTTTTTTTGGGATTAGTGGACCTCTGTCAAGTGGCTTGCTTCTGCTATTTTTATATGGAAAGAAGATAAACGAAAATTCAATAATTCTTTTGGTAGCTACATGCTTATGGAAGCAGTGCCATTTCTCATGATTTTTGGGGTGGTGCTTTATGCACTGTTATTTTGAATTCACCCGCCTTCAGTCACCACCACCTTGTTGCATCTACTCTGTAACCATCAAGCGGGTGTGTTCAGAGAAAAGAGAAGAGGAAGGAATTTTGCATTCTTCAGTGGGGGCGAATTTGAAACAACAAAGGTTCCATAGAAGAAACTGCACCGCGTCTGTTTTTGTTATAGGTAGCGGTTCTGCATAATTGCATACCTGTGTGTTTCTGCTTATGTTTTGCTTGCTATCCTTTCAATCAACTTTGTAACGTGCTACTTGGATGCCCATTGGATGGAGGGTTGGGTTCCAATCATATTGTCTTTTATACAAGTATATGTGTGACGTTCAGGATTTCTATGATATAAGCTGACTGCTGCCTCAATTTGATTGGTGTCAGTTGTCACCAATGAAGATTGAACCTCTATAAGTTTTAAAGATGATGTTTCTCGCGTACCAGGACCAGACACATGTGGTGAATTCATTGTCCGAGTGCGTAAATTAGTATGAAACAGCAACCCGAAGCTTAATGTCAGCCTTGAGTGGAGGTATGGAGTTGCGGGCTTCTCTTTGAGTTAGACAAGTGACTTCCTTCGGTTATTAACTCAGCATTGTCATCATTTCCCTGGGATGTGCACAGGCGTCCAGGACTGGAAAATAGAGTTCTTTTTCTTTTTTCACTTCTGGGGGGTGGGGCTAGTGGAGGTTGTTCCCCTGCCTCTGAATTCTCTTTGCTGGGGTGCAAACACTTTAGCAGAACTGGGGGGGTTATACTTGATGTCTCCCCTAGAAATATGCATAGCATTAACAGAAAGAACTCTTTAGCAATTCATGCTTGTGACCCAGGAGATGACATTAGCAATGACGTGGTGGGGTTTGGGGCATGCAGACTATTCTGATTTGCATCCTACTTTAAGGGATAATCTAACAGAATGAGGTAATGTTTAGATTGGCAGACTCTAAGGGTGGTTACACATAAGCTGTGGGTCAGATTACTGTAGTTCACTAGACTCTGAACGGGTCACCCATTCTCACCCATAAATGTCTTGCTACACGTGTTACGTCTAGTGATGAACTGGCTCCCGTCAAGTGTGGCAATGAGTTTGATTTGATGTGGCTTACATTTAGTTGTGAATGAAGGATATTTATAGTGTTGCCTTTTTGTTTTTGAATAAACCTTCCGTAAATTTGAACAAGTGATCTAACATGCCAAAGGTTGAAGTTTTTTTTTTGGGAGTAAGTACCAAAATGCGAACATATCTTTAGATGCATTCTATAGAGTAGGGAACATTTAAGGTGGACATCTGTATGTATGTTGCCCTTCAGCTGATTGTTTGCATTTTGCAGCAAATAAATCTTGGTATTCACTCTTTTCAAGCACAATTCATAGATGAACAGGAGGTCCTCTTATTTGCTGTCCGTAAAAATATTATCATCTATGTATTCTTTTTTGTAGGAAGGGTATGTTGATCCTGATTGCAAAAAGGATGAAGAGCTGAATGCCTTAGAACAAGTTACCAGACCAACAAGTGGTTCTAATAAAATTGAGATGATGCCGATGCACTGGGACACTCCGCATGATAGGCAGCAAGCATCATCTCATTATTTCAATAAAATTCCAGCCGCCATGCAGGAGGTTGAAGCTGCAGGAGTTATAGGCGAGGAGAATATAACCGATAAGATGAACAGGAGCAAAGATCAAGTGAAATTTAGAGGGATCTTAGAAGAACGTGGAATATTGGATGCAGGTGCAGCTCTGGAGGGAGAGACAGTGATTGGAGATGCAACCATAAAGGAGCTCAACGCTCAGTATTTGAACCACAGAAAACGTCCTCACATAGATTCCACAGAGTTGATGTCACAGGCTGCTGGTGGTGGTAAAAGTCAAATAGTACCGTGGAATGGCGTCAATGCCATTTTGGCTGATGGAAGTGAAAACAAAAAACAGAAGACTGGTTTTGGTGGATTTTATGGATGTAATAATCCTACTGATTCTTTGAGAGATGGCTTTGCATCAATGCATGAAGTGGCTTCCAGTTCCAGTATCAAGGAGAAGAGATATGACGAATCTTGTGGCGGGACAGTGATCCCTGATAACTCTCAAAATGCGGAAAGGTACTTCTTTCCTGTAGATTCACCTCCTGTGAAAGACATTGGCTTAGGTGACAATTCCATGCCTTGGAAAATGTTCTTGCCAGGCAACGAGGATGGGCTTCATGACAGGACTCCTAATCTCGAGCTTGCTTTAGGGGCGGAAACATCGTCAAGGCAGGGAATCCCACCATTTTTAGGTGGGAAAGTAGACAAGAAAAAGAAGCTAGGCCAGCCTCCAGATAAGGCAACATCCAAGGAAGAGGAGGAGGAAGTCTCTGCTGCTCTCTCCCTCTCTCTTTCATTTCCGATTCCAGACAAGAAACAGGCTGCGAAGCCAGTTTCGAAATCAGAGCAGCTGCATCCTGAAAGGCGACTTGTTAATACGTCACTGTTCCTTTTTGGGGGCTTATCGGATAAGTAAACACATGGTGGCAGTCACACTGTACATTATAGCGCCTCACATGGATGTGATAGTTCTATATCAGGATGATGTAAAATGATCTTTCTTTGGGTTTGACCAGAGAGCCCAATTCCACCTGTTCATAAGCTGGCATAGAATCTATCTAGAAATTTTCCTCTTTACCTCCGTTCACTTTGGTTTGCAAGTGCATAGTCCGCTGTTTGTATATAAAGAGAATGAAAGCCGGAACAGTTGGGAATTTTTTAGACCAAAAGGATTTTCCTTTTCTCCGTCTGCATTTACTATCTAGCATTTATTATCATGTAACTTTAGGCAGTGAGTTTAGATTAGATTTGAAGGTGTTGGTCGCCAAGCATGGTAACAGGCGAGGTTTCAAAATTTGGAAGAGGGCGTGGTCGGTGAAAGGGAGCTAGCTAGGTACCGCAGGTGGCCGTTGTAGCTGTTTTTAGTCTTTCCTTTTTTAATCGAAGGATAAACTACTCTTTGTTTACTTGTTTCACCTCCATTGAGAAGTTACAGGTATGTAGTTGGGGTGTGTGCAATTTATTAGAATCAGAATCTCGTCCGAGCTCTAGCCATTTAGAATCTTGTCCGAGCTCTAGCCATCTGTCTAATGTTGTCAGATTTACGGGCAACCCAACTTGCCAAGACTGGAAGACGTTTGAAGACAGTAAGCTGATGACAAGGTTAGGGAGATGAAAGAGGATTTTGTGTTTTTTTCTTGAGTTGATAACAACTGGATTGGTTTAGTTGGGGTTGATTGTTGTATGTTTGAAGGTCCTGGACCTGGTCCTAGCTACGGTTTGAGTTGAAGCATGAAGGAGGAGTATATGTAGTGTAGGTAACGAAAGGGTGGATGGTGCCAATGGCTCAGCTTAGTTTAGCCATGCTTGCTAGGCTTATGATGGTGATATTCTCGAGGTTGGTAAAGAGCGGAGATAAAACCAAGCCGATATATGTAAAATGTATAACATCTGATCTGANAGTCTTTCCTTTTTTAATCGAAGGATAAACTACTCTTTGTTTACTTGTTTCACCTCCATTGAGAAGTTACAGGTATGTAGTTGGGGTGTGTGCAATTTATTAGAATCAGAATCTCGTCCGAGCTCTAGCCATTTAGAATCTTGTCCGAGCTCTAGCCATCTGTCTAATGTTGTCAGATTTACGGGCAACCCAACTTGCCAAGACTGGAAGACGTTTGAAGACAGTAAGCTGATGACAAGGTTAGGTAGATGAAAGAGGATTTTGTGTTTTTTTCTTGAGTTGATAACAACTGGATTGGTTTAGTTGGGGTTGATTGTTTTATGTTTGAAGGTCCTGGACCTGGTCCTAGCTACGGTTTGAGTTGAAGCCTGAAGGAGGAGTATATGTAGTGTAGGTAACGAAGGGGTGGATGGTGCCAATGGCTCAGCTTAGTTTAGCCATGCTTGCTAGGCTTAGGATGGCGATATTCTCGAGGTTGGTAAAGAGCGGAGATAAAACCAAGCCGATATATGTAAAATGTATAACATCTGATCTGATCTGATCTGATCTTCCCACCGGCAAGAGAAAGGAGGAGGCCAGCTGCGGATCAACCAAAGCAAGCAACAGTCCCCTCCTCCTTCCCCGTGTGTGTGTAATAATACACGTTGGTAAATAAATATGAATAAAAATTTTATAACATTTTTTATAGTTCGTTTAGTATTAAGAAAAAAACTAGTAAATGTTAAAGATGAAAAAATAAAAATAAAAATAAAAAATAAAATTGGTGAACGTAGCGTCGTTGGTCCCAGAATTCATTTTTACTCCTACTTGGATGGGATGGGATGAGGAAANTGTTAAAGATGAAAAAATAAAAATAAAAATAAAAAATAAAATTGGTGAACGTAGCGTCGTTGGTCCCAGAATTCATTTTTACTCCTATAAATAAACATTTTGTTTCACTCCCTGGCTTTTCTTCCTCCAAAACAAATCTCGTCTCTCGTCTCTCGTCTCTCCATGGCAACCAGCTTTGCTCCTGTTTCGATATCAGGTAAACTCTAACCTAGAGTAATGGCTCCGATGATTTCTGCGGTCTTGATTAAATACGTTCCCTGGGAAAGAGCAACAACGATTTTAGTTTCTTTTGTAATTTCGTTCCTTGTAATCATCGTATTTGGCTGGTTGGGGTTTCTTCTCTTGCTGGAGAAAATTATTAGCATTTAAGCTGGATCTTATATCTTTGAATATTGGAAACTTATGATATGCATTTATCTATAGTTGACAACCGTCATAGCTTATTAATTTTTCCAAAATGAAATGTTTTCAACATAAACCTATTCCAAACTGAAATGTTTTCAACATAAACCTATTCTCTCTGCTGTAACTAAGGACCTTGGCATTTGTGTGTTTTTTTCGGTCTCCTTACTCGAGGTTATACATGCAATTGGATTTGTACTAGTGGGAAGACGTGCCTTCAATCAGATGCTCCGCTGCAGATAATAAGCAGACCACTCAGCGATGCTGATCCGGACAAGCCATGGAGGAGGAGATGTTTGAAAGAGTCCCTTACAAGGGACTGTCCTCTTTTTTGATTCGCCAGTGATACCTCTCTATGCCACCCTCAAAATAGGCCTCTTCTTCTATAAGACTCCCTTACAGCAATCAACAAACCTCTTTAAGTTATAAGGATCTCATCCTTCCAATCCTTCGCGGCCTCAGTCTAAACGTGATTTTGCGACCACAGGTCGCAATTGTGAACTGCAATAAATCACAACTTATACTAAAGTTATTCTTGTAATGAAAAATTAACATTCTTTTGCTTCTACTCTTTTTGGTTTCTTGCGGAACTGTTCATAACTGGATCTAAATTTGAGTTCAACCTTCCTTGGTGAAGGGGAGGCTGACCCAGTGAAAGTTTACAATTAATTTTTATGAACTCAACAATGGTATGCATTCTCATTTGAATAAAAATTTTCTTTTTACCACTCTTTTTTTTTTAATGGGAAGTTACCCGGGGGAAGTCCCGCATATGGTATACTACATCCCATCTAGGGTGCAGGAAGCACTCCACTGNAATGGTATGCATTCTCATTTGAATAAAAATTTTCTTTTTACCACTCTTTTTTTTTTTAATGGGAAGTTACCCGGGGGAAGTCCCGCATATGGTATACTACATCCCATCTAGGGTGCAGGAAGCACTCCACCGCATCGCCTAGTAGCATGGCGCTTGTATTGCTTTGGCTGATGGTATCTTCACAACAATTAATAGGAAATTACGTAATAGGAAATATTGGCTTATGTAGAATTCAAATCTAGATATTGGATTTTTCACTTAATGATTGGATTTTGAGCCAAATATTACTGGAAATTTTGGAAATGCGGCTTTAGAGATAATCGCTATTTCTTTCACTCTGGATATGTAGATGAGAATTTCTTTATGATGGTAACTCTTTCCATATTGATATAGGTGGAGTCCATCTTAAGGCACGTGAGCTTCGGTCCACAAACTTGAGTTCCTCTGGTAAAATACCAATGTTGACAATTCAAAGGAATTCAAACCAAGGGATTGCCAGCCGGAAGTTAATTGTTCGTGCAGAGTACAAGTATGAAATTTTCATCTCGAGTTTTGTGAATTGTGAAATAATATTGGAGTTTGGAAAGGAAAATCTGTTTTATATAAGTTGATAAGATCTTGACTGTGTTAAGATGAGCTAGAAACTGGAATACAATAACTATACTTCATCTAGATTGTTAATTTCGGGATAACTTATGAACCTCTCCTTTCTGGAGTCTGAATAAATGTTTGGGTCTTCAATTTTTTCCAGGGAAAATGAAAATACATTTTTAATTGCATTCATTGGATGAAATTATTTCTATATGCGACATTGCTACTATAATCTTCTCCTGGTCATCTACAAGGTTTTTTATTTGGTGCAGAATATTTGTTGATTGATGAATGAGGTCTCTATGTATTTGTCCTCTATATTATTCAGGCTGAGTAGTTTTCTGTATCCAACATGTGAAGCCTGGCACTCACACTACTTGCAGTGGGAACTCTTGTTCGGATATGCTTTTTGCCCTCTGGTTGCCTCTTCATTTTGGTTTTTCAGTCATGTATTAGTTATCAAGTGGTGTTGGGGTTCAGTCATACTTTTTATTTCTTCCGGAGTAGTCACACAATGCAGTGCTTGTTTTTCTGGTCAACATGATCTGCAGCAGCCATTAGGCTTTGAGCTGCAAAAAATTTTAGTTGCTGCATTACTTTTACACTAGGGGTCATGCATGCACGGTATCTCTGTGCAGATTGGGACAAAGATATGGAAGGGGAAGGGATTAGAATATATAAATCTAAGTGGGTAAATGTGGTTAGAGAGGAAGTCATAGGTGGTTAAATGAAGGAAAACATGAGATATTCCTATAAAAAAAGAAAAACATGAGATATTACTAGACTTGTAATTAACTATTAGTAAATACCACTAGAAGGAGAGGACACCAAACCTCACCCTCTCCCTTTTATTGGTAGTATAGATTGTTGCTTTTTTTTCTCTTGTTCCTCCGCCCCTCCCGCTACACTTCAACCACCAAAAAAAAAAAAGGAAAAAAAATAAAATTACTGTTATTGTGTGGTGGGTTTTGCCATTAGCACCATGGTATTTTGAATTTAAACACATTAATATCAATCATGAAAATTNTTTTTTCTCTTGTTCCTCCGCCCCTCCCGCTACACTTCAACCACCAAAAAAAAAAAGGAAAAAAAAAAAAATTACTGTTATTGTGTGGTGGGTTTTGCCATTAGCACCATGGTATTTTGAATTTAAACACATTAATATCAATCATGAAAAATTTTTATAGGGATATTCACATATATATGAATATGCTAATTGATTTTAGCTGATCTTGTTTTACTTCATTTTCTTTGTGGTCAGAGGATTCTTATTAATGAATTTTTTTTTCAGCAAACTTCTCCTACTTGTTTTCACTATAAATTATAAAAAATCTGGATTTTATTAGTAAATTTTAATTATTTAGCAGAACATTGGTACTGCGTAAGGCTTGGCCTTCATATGTGCATTGCAATTTGAGTAGTTACCTAGGTAACAATGGGCTACTCCTTGGCTTTAGTACTTTCTCCTTGTTTGGTATAGGACATTGCTTGTTTATTTTTGATTGTTCTGGTACCTTATGGATTGACCATATTCTGATTTACAAGATTCTCATTCTAATGAATTACATGTTTTTTTTCTTCCTTAGAGTCCATATTTCAATAATTCTGTCCAAAGTCTGTGCACGCTTCATGGATGACATATTCCAGTTACTACTAAATACTTATCACCTAGTTATTAACTAGTAGAGTATGCAAACTGCATGGTCATTAAATTTATGTTAAAATCTGCTAGGGTCTTCCAAATTTGAGCTTGACTCATTTGAACATAGAATAGGATTAATGCTAGATGAGATTTAAAAAAAAGGTTACTTTTCCTTCATTGCCGAAGAATAGCTGTACAATTGAGTATAACTTTGATGTTACTAGCATGGTTTACAAAAGTAGAAAACTGTGGAGACTATGTGAAGTAGTGAAATACTATAATTGAACATGGGTATTATTGAATCAAATTCTTTGCTTGTTGGCCAGCCAAGGTGCAAGATATTGGGTTCAGCTCAAAAAGAAATGTAGGTGCAGCTTGTGGTCAGAATAGAAGTGGCTGTCCCCTTTTTGTAGACCTGTCTTCCTATTCAAACAGTGCCTTATGTTAATGACTTGCTCTAAATAGTATTTAGCCTTTGAGACTCCCAATTTTGGTTAAAATGTTTTTGTTTTAGTCATTCAAAATAGATTTATTTGTTTCCCATATGCAGTGATCATAAAGGTGGAGGTGGTGGTGATTTTGTTGCCGGTTTCCTTTTCGGAGGTGCATTATTTGGAACTCTTGCATACGTTTTTGCTCCACAGGTGAGAATATATGTATGTATGTGTCAGCTTCAATGTGTAATCTCCACGCATCACTACACTAGTTCTTTAAATGCGTTGTCGACATGCTTGACAGGCTGATTCAAGCTCTCTGAGCTAGCTATTCATCTGTTCAGTATCTTGTGCAGGGGCGGTATAAATTGCCAAAAAACTGTACCTGTAGTTTGTGCATACTTTTCTGACATTTTCTTTCAAGGATTGCTTTGAAAAAATCTATATGAGTAGGGGGGATGTGGAAAAATGAGTTCTATTCAACTTTATTGGAAAATGAAAGGATAGGGGAGTCCCTGGTGAAGTTATCCATAATTATTTTGTGCTTGAAAATCCTTTCTATTTTTTAAAGGTCTGTATCATGCTTTTGCATGTGAAGCGTGGTTTTTAATGTGTTATTCACTAAAAACTCTTTCTCTGCTTTGCAGCTGGCATTGCCACTGTCTTGTATTTTCATTATTGTTGCATCTGTCCGCCATTATAAAAATTAAATTTCTCCTGCTCCTTGTCCTTCTCCTCTGGCTCTTCAGGTTTTTGGTGATTTTTCTTTCCCGGGAACTCAATTCATTAAATTTTTCTTGTGCTCTTCCCTTTTTACATGCAGTGTTGTACAAATGAGAATGATTAAATATATTCATCTCACTAGCTGTGTCATTGCTCCAAGCTGAAGGATAATAAGAGTAATAGTGAATCAGTTTAGATCAAATAATGCTAGTTGAATTTTTTATCATTGTCCGAAAATATTAATACACTTTTAGTTTCCCCATAACTTTTTTGAATTTTGCTTTCACTAATATTGGTTCTTAGTGTGCAAGACTTTTTCGTTGGTTTTTAGTTTGCACTTTGCAGGTGTTTATCTTCTATTATATTGTGCAATCGTCTTGTGTTGTTGAATTGCGACGGGATTTATTGTTTCAATGCTCCTTTGTGCATCAGATTTCATTACTCTTTGTCACAAGTGATGTTGGTTTGTGGTCTATGCTTTTAGTTTGGCATTTATCTTGTTCTGTCTTTTGTGGTTCTCTTCTTGGATATTTTAGATCAGAAGATCACTGCTAAACGAAGATGAATATGGTTTCCGGCGGGCCAAGCGGCCAATATATTACGATGAAGGTTTAGAGGTGATTAAAACATTATTCACTTGCACTCAACTTTTATTGCTCTGACTGGAACATGAAATTACATTTTTCTAGTCTTTTTATTTTTATTTTTTAAATGGATCCATTTCTCAAATGCAGAAAACCAGGCAGACTTTGAATGCAAAAATAAGTCAACTCAATTCTGCCATTGACAATGTGTCATCACGCTTGAGAGGTGGCAATAATATGCCTCCAGTGCCTGTTGAAAGCGACCCAGAAGAAGCCACCATGTAAGACCAACTTATGAGTGTTTTGCAATAATCATGAACTCTTTGTGTTTCAGATCAACTGATTCAGTCTTGTACCTGGGTAATGCATAATTACTGAAAACAAATAGAGTATGTAAATGGGACACATGCAATGTGGTGCTATGAATTTTGTTGGATTGCTTATAATGTCATGATTTTCAATGTAGCATAAATGAAGCTGCTGAATCTTTTTGTGATTAAAATTTAGAGTAATCTTTACCTTTTTTCTTCCCCGCCATCCTTGGAGCAACTTCTTTTAGATTCTGTATTATTGGATAGACATTGCTTTTTCAGGTATTGGCAACCATGATCATGTGGCTTATTGATCTGCCTGAAATCTCATATTCTGTGGAATCTGTTTCATTGATATGGTGGAAAGTATGTCATAGACCGTACTGATATCCAGTATGTTATCATTGTGCTATTCTGGCGGTGACAAATGGAGGGTTCTTAGAAACGTTTTCTTAAACCTGGCCTTTTTAAAAAAATAACTCTTAGAAATGTGTTTTTGCCCTTCTAAAAGTAGCTTTGGTGGAGGGAAATAGGAGTAGGGTGTTAATCACAAACAGATTTTGGTTGGGTGAAGTAGTAAGAATTCCGTGACCAAAAAAAAAAAAAAGGTAGTAAGAATTCAAGTTAACAGCGGTCCTTAAGAAATAGATGGGATTATTTAATGGTGCGGCTGCAGTGAGAGTTGTTTTGGTGCCAGTTAATTGTTATTTGTCTACAGGGCATGCTTGTTTTGGCTGGTGGTTAGTGATGTTGGAGTTTGTGGTGAAATCACAAGCATCATCTGACATTTGTATCCATTTGGTTGCACTAGCACCCCTTTTGACCTTTGACAATTACAAAGGATATCCTTAAAGGTTTCTGAAATTACTTTGATAATCCATACCAGAGTTTGACCCCCACAGACTTTACTGGAGAATACACAGGTACTACATTGTCCATTCTCCCGTGAATAACTTAATTTCATTGTCAAAAATTGTACCAAATAGGGCTCTCTCCCTATCTCGGTTTTGCTGCTGCTCTCTCTCTCTCTCTCTCCTAACACACACACCCTCTCCATCCCAATCACCCACCAATCTCTTTGTTTTTCCCCTCCCTCCATCACCACCCTCTCCATCTTCCCTTCCCCTTGAGACCCCCTTCCCCCCACCCAAATTTCACTATTAACTATACCATTTACCTCAATATTTTTCAAGACTTGGGGTAACACCCTTCGAAGCAATGTTTGCAACTTAAGAATTTCATTGATAACATGTAATTTCGGTATGCCATTAGGGTATTGAAACAATATATTATGTATGTACCAAAACAGAGGTAATATGTTGAGATGTATGCCATTGATTTATATTCATCCAGTATTGATTAAGCGGAATCTCGTGGATGCATGCTCATTTGCTCAGCTTCTCACTCAGAACCTGATAACAACCTTGACGCAGTCTGGCTGCTTCAATAGTTCAAATGCTTTGTTTATTTCAGCCAGTGAAACTTCGTGAGTCAAAAGCTCATCTAGTTGGATCTCCTGTGGGAAAACAATATAACACTAGTTATTTGGTTTTGTACAATGCATATATGTGTTGTCAACATAGTACCAAGGTGTTGATACAGTGCAGTCCACTAGCTTACTGAAATTAGTAACAGAGCTCCGAGATATCTCATCCAACAAGCCCAATTAGGTAAAGGGGCAAGTGCATCAACTAAAGTTCAGTCCGGATTAACCAGAAATGTAAGCCACTCTTCAATTGCAAAACAACAAACACTAGTTTAGATTTAGAAATGTATATAGTTACCTTGTTAATGCATTTGTCAATAATGGTAGGAAGGTCTGACCGGATTCTTACACCACCATAGATGGAGCCCTTCACTGTTCGTCCACACAAGAGTGGAATGAATTTGATCTCCCCACTTGTGTGAAGTCCTGCACCAATTAACAGCACCGTTCCGAGTCCCTGATGATCTCGCACCACCATAGAAAACAATTAGGCGGCCTGTATGCTACAGCTTTATATCGTGGCATCTATTACTATGTTGGTAATAGTTTGAATATGTGAATCTAACTAACGACCTACCACTTTTGTGGATGCAATTGCCTCGTCCAGCAAAGATGGCACTCCGGTGCACTCAAAGCAGTAGTCCACCCCTAATCCTCCTGTTGCCTCGTTAATTAAGTCGGAAATAGATTTATCAGACGCTTTTGCATTTATTATAAAATCAGTCATTCCAAAGGCCTCTCCTTTTTCACGTTTTCTATCATTTATATCGACTCCAAATATCTTAGCTGCCCCTTGCATTCGAGCTCCCGCTACCACCTGCATGCTGCACTTGTTATGACAAAATTTTCCATACTTCTGGCATAAAAAATAGACTCACTGTAATTGTATCCCCATTGAACAATTGTGAAACTAGCTCTCAACCCAAGTAACAATACTGAAATCATATATAGANAACAATTGTGAAACTAGCTCTCAACCCAATTAACAATACTGAAATCATATATAGAAGCGCATATTGTATCTCTATATTTGTGACTTTGTGTACATACATACATACATACCCCAAGTCCAACAGCACCAAGACCCAGAACAGCGACAGTTGAGCCCTTTTCGACATTGGCTTCCTTCCATGCTGCTCCAAAACCAGTTGTAAAGCCACAACAGAGGAAGCTAGCATGTGGTAGAGGTAACCTCGGATCAACCTTGACGGCGTAGTTGGCATCAATAACAATGTAGTCAGACCATGTCGAGCAGCTGAAGTGTTGGTAGATTTTCTGACCTCCCACTGACATTCTTGATGTCCCATCCGCCAACAGACCACTAAAACCTAAGGGATAGACATGGCATAAGTTTGTCTTTCCTGACTTGCAGTTGAGGCATTCCCCGCACTCCCCTAAGTAGAGTGGCATCACTATATCTCCTTCTTTCAGCCCTGTCACATTTTCCCCGACGCTTTCTACCATGCTGCGTGCAATGACAAGTTTATCATACACACATATATAGATATGGAGTATTTGTTCAGAACTTCATGAGTGAGAATGAAAAACGCATTTAAGGGAAAATGGAATGCAGATCAAAACAATACAGAAGATGGGATCATGGATTCCGAATGCCTTGTGGACCCGAAAATTTGCACCCTTTGCTGCTTGTTGATACTCAGAAATGTAAGTATGATGATCCTAACANAAATGGAATGCAGATCAAAACAATACAGAAGATGGGATCATGGATTCCGAATGCCTGGAATTAATTGTGGACCTGAAAATTTGCACCCTTTGCTGCTTGTTGATACTCAGAAATGTAAGTATGATGATCCTAACAAAAGATAGATGGAGGGATATTTCTAATAAAGACAGATCATGATTGGTAGGATACGCAGTGGGCTTTATAGGGGGTTGGGGGTTGCTACCTCTCAAAATCAATCAGAACTTTGAAGAAAAACTATTGGGATCCGATTTTCTTGTAAAACGCAGCTCAAATGTTGCCTCCTCTGTTATACCTTCCTCCTCCTGGTAAATATTAATTAGAAGAGTAATGTAATTTTAATTTAAAAAGTTTAGTCATTAGATTAATTTTTGAAGAATTAAAATAAAATTTACACCACAAAAAATTGAAGTCAGTTTATTTATTTTTGGAATTTAAATTATCTTATATTCTATTATACTAACAATATACGACGTGTGTTGCACATAAATAAATTTAAATAATATTTTTTGTGTGAATTATATGTGTAATTAAATTAAATAATAAATTAGCCCTTATAAAAGAGTCCAACGTAAGTTAAAAGACAAATAAGAGTAAAAACCAAAAATTAGATGAAAGTATACAGGTGAGTATAATTGACTTTATCATAATAATTAAGGATAAAATACAAAATCAAATTTTTTTTGTAAATGCTGACATTTATATATATATATATATATATATATATATATTTGGAATTGCCCCATCACCACCTTTGCCACCAACACTCCCATCGCCCCAATACCATTGCCACCCCACCGCTACAACTACCCTTACCACTCCCACCATCACCGCCCAACCACTCCCACTGTTGTCACCTAATTTCTCTGCCAGCCACTATCACATATCCTCACCACACCTACCACCAATCACCACCACCACCCATCATCACCCACACCCACACTCCCATCGCAACACCACTGCTACCACATCACCTTCACCAGCCTCACAAATTTGTCACACAAAACCTAGTCTCGGCTATCCATAATACAAATTGGCCCCTCTTCGAAGGTCCCACCCGCGTCAATAATAGCCTCCCCCCAATCCACCACATGTGCAGGATTTGTGGTGTACTTCTTAAGCATGGAGACATAGATCACATTGTGCACTCCTAAAAGATGTGGTGTTCAGCACCTTGAAGGGCCAAATCTACCTTGGCAACAACTTATCCCTCTTGCCAAATCTGACCACTCCCCTCTTAAGCATAACTTTCAAGAAGACATGATCACTCACCTTAAATTCCAGATGTCTCCGTTGTCTATCAACGTAGCTCTTATGCTGGCTTTGAGTCATGAGAAGGCATTTTTGAATAATGTTCACCTTCTCCGAGGTGTCCTTGATCAAGTCTAGACCTGTGGAAGGTCCCTCTCTAACCTCCGTCCAACGCACTAGAGGACGTCATAACCTCCCATATAATGCCTCATAGAGTGTCATCTAAGTACTTGCCTGATAACTATTATTATAGGTAAAGTCCACCAAGGGTAAGTGATATCGCCACCCCCACTGCCCCACCGCCCTATCACCACCACCCCAACCGCCCTATCACCCCCACCACCGCCCCTACCGTTGTCACCCAACTTCTCTGCCAGCCATTATCACCCACTCTCACCACACATATGACCAACCACCACCATCACCACCACCACCACCTACATCCACACCCACACCCACACCTACACCCACTACCACCACCATTACCGTCACCGTCACTGNTTCAGCACCTCAAAGGGCCAAATCTACCTTGGCAACAACTTATCCCTCTTGCCAAATCTGACCACTCCCCTCTTAAGCATAACTTTCAAGAAGACATGATCATTCACCTTAAATTCCAGATGCCTCCGTTGTCTATCAACGTAGCTCTTATGCTGGCTTTGAGTCATGAGAAGGCATTTTTGAATAATGTTCACCTTCTCCGAGGTGTCCTTGATCAAGTCTAGACCTGTGGAAGGTCCCTCTCTAACCTCCGTCCAACGCACTAGAGGACGTCATAACCTCCCATATAATGCCTCATAGAGTGTCATCTAAGTACTTGCCTGATAACTATTATTATAGGTAAAGTCCACCAAGGGTAAGTGATATCGCCACCCCCACTGCCCCACCGCCCTATCACCACCACCCCAACCGCCCTATCACCCCCACCACCGCCCCTACCGTTGTCACCCAACTTCTCTGCCAGCCATTATCACCCACTCTCACCACACATATGACCAACCACCACCATCACCACCACCACCACCTACATCCACACCCACACCCACACCTACACCCACTACCACCACCATTACCGTCACCGTCACTGTCACCGTCACCGATAACTGTCACTATCACCATCGTCACCCAAAACTCACCACCACCATCACTGTTGCCACGTACGGTGGCCACTAGGTCTGACAATTCTAGACACTAGACTTGACAATTCTAGACACGACTCGTGAAACCGAAACGAATCCGACACGGATTTAGCGGGTTTAGGTGTAGTTTTAACGAGTTCGGATAGTTAACGGGTTAACTCGGTAAACCCGTAAAATAAATAAATCAATTTTGTGTTTAACCTATAAACTCGTTTCAACTTGTTTAACCCGTTAACAGTAGTATTATATATTTTTTTTAAAAGTTAGATNCTAGGTCTGACAATTCTAGACACTAGACTTGACAATTCTAGACACGACTCGTGAAATCGAAACGAATTCGACACGGATTTAGCGGGTTTAGGTGTAGTTTTAACGAGTTCGGATAGTTAACGGGTTAACTCGGTAAACTCGTAAAATAAATAAATCAATTTTGTGTTTAACCTATAAACTCGTTTCAACTTGTTTAACCCGTTAACAGTGGTATTATATATTTTTTTTAAAAGTTAGATCTCTCAACTTCCACCTTATCTTACACCTCCAATCTCTTGGACTCATTCAAATTTATTAGTCATTTAATGTTTATTTTTTGTTTTTATTTTTTTGCTCAACCATGATTTATTGTTATAGTAAACAAGTCAAATATGTGTAATGTGTAGCAAGTTGATGATTTTTCGTGTGTATTTAAAATATTCTAATCTATTCTCTTATTTAGTGGGTAACACACGGGTTGTATCAGGTAACACGTCTAATAAATGATTCGTATATGAGTGTAATAGTTGAACTTGGTTATATAAACGAATGAGNTTTTATTTTTTTGCTCAACCATGATTTATTGTTATAGTAAACAAGTCAAATATGTGTAATGTGTAGCAAGTTGATGATTTTTTGTGTGTATTTAAAATATTCTAATCTATTCTCTTATTTAGTGGGTAACACACGGGTTGTATCGGGTAACCCGTCTAATAAATGATTCGTATATGAGTGTAATAGTTGAACTCGGTTATATAAACGAATGGGAAATGGATGGAGGGTTTTTTGACACAAACCCGTTCTACCTGACACGAAACCGTTTCACTCGACACAATTGTCAGGCCTACTAGATACGACTTGTGAAACTGATACAAATTTAACGGGTTTGGGTGTAATCTTAACGAATTCGAATGGTTAACGGGTTAACTTGACAGACCCGTAAATAAATGAACCGGTTTCGTATTTAACTCATAAACTCGTTTCAACCCATTTAACCCGTTAATAGTTATATTATAAATTTTTTAANCCCGTTCTACCTGACACGAAACCGTTTCACTCGACACAATTGTCAGGCCTACTAGACACGACTTGTGAAACTGATACAAATTTAACGGGTTTGGGTGTAATTTTAACGAATTCGGATGGTTAACGGGTTAACTTGACAGACCCGTAAATAAATGAACCGGTTTCGTATTTAATTCATAAACTCGTTTCAACCCATTTAACCCGTTAATAGTTATATTATAAATTTTTTAAAAAAAAGTTAGGTCACTTAGTCTCTACCTCATCTCACACCTCCTACCTCTTAGACTCATTCAAATTTAGTAGTCATTTAATGTTTATTTTTTATCTTTATTTTTTTGCTCAGCTATGATTTTATTGTTATAGTAAATAAATCAAACATGTCTAATATGTAGTAAGTTGATAATTTTTCGCGTGTATTAGAAATACTCTAACTTATTCTCTTAGTTAGTGAGTGACACACAGGTTGTATCGAATAACTAGTCTAATAAATGATTCGTGTATGAGTATAATAATTGAACTCGTTTATATAAACGAATTGGGTATGCATGAAAGATTTTTTGACACAAATTTGTTTCACTTGATATAAAACCGTTTCACTCGACACGATTGTCAGGCGTAATTGTCACCATCATTGCCGNTAAGTTGATAATTTTTCGCGTGTATTAGAAATACTCTAACTTATTCTCTTAGTTAGCGAGTGACACACAGGTTGTATCGAATAACTAGTCTAATAAATGATTCGTGTATGAGTATAATAATTGGACTCGTTTATATAAACGAATTGGGTATGAATGAAAGATTTTTTGACACAAATTTGTTTCACTCGACATAAAATCGTTTCACTCGACACGATTGTCAGGCGTAATTGTCACCATCATTGCCGACCACCACCACTGTCATTGCTTACTTGCACTATAATCGGTACTTAAATTCCTTTCTCTCTGCTCTATATTTGTGATTTGATTTTGGGTGCGAATACATATATGTTTATTGTTAAATATATTTTTTTTATTACTCCATTTCTTTAGATACCAACAACAACTAGCCCCCCCCCTAAAATATTTTTTTTTATTAGTTAGATATATGTATTATGTATTATATATTTATACATATATATATTATGTGTGTCTCCTCATTTATATTAGACCTACATTATTTACCCAAAATAATTAAACAATTAAGTCCATTTAAAATAAAAAAAATTGAACTCACTATTATCTATCCAAACATATTAAAAAATCAAATATTTGACCTATTACAATCCACTCNAAAAAAATTGAACTCACTATTATCTATCCAAACATATTAAAAAATCAAATATTTGACTTATTACAATTCACCCAAACCTATTAAAAAAATAAAACTTTTAGCCCAACATTAAAAACAAAATTTTTGACCCAACATTAAAACAAAATTTTTGGCCCACCATTATTAAAAAACAAATTCTTTGGCCAACGTGACTAAAACCTATCTTATCCTTTTTTTTTCCTCTCTGTATCACTCACTCTCAACTGTCTACTACCCACTACCTAGTCACAAGAAAAAGAGAAGAAATAGAAAAAAACTCAACACATGAGAAGCTCAGTTTTTTGAGTTTTTTTGTCCTTCCTTACACTAACCTATAAAATTATTTTATACATTATATTTACCCCCTAAATTTTTGGAAATTTTAATAATGGTTCTCGTCTTTTTGTTTTTTAATAAATTAGTGGACCACTAACCTTCTAAAATAAATATGGTAGTTTTGGATTGACTCAATGTTTTATTTGTATATTGACGAAAATACAATATTTTTCTTTATCTAACATAATGTTAATTACTTTTTAAGAATAATTTTTAGTTTTCATTTACTACTTTTTTAGTAATGGTAGTCTATAACCTAATAAAATACGAAAATTAATTTACATTTAATTCATATATAAAATTTTAGAGATTTAAAAANGTTTTATTTGTATATTGACGAAAATACAATATTTTTCTTTATCTAACATAATGTTAATTACTTTTTAAGAATAATTTTTAGTTTTCATTTACTACTTTTTTAGTAATGGTAGTCTATAACCTAATAAAATACGAAAATTAATTTACATTTAATTAATATATAAAATTTTAGAGATTTTAAAAAATGTTATATTTTATTGTAATATATAATTAGGTTAAAATGTACTAAAAAAATTATTTTGTGTCTTTTTGGTAAGATTTTGTTTCGGCTAAATAAAAATTAAATTTACTATTTTACAATAATTTAGTGTTGATTCTTACTTTTTTTTTTATTCTTGAACTGAATTTTTTTGTATTAATTTTGACTTAATATTTTTTTATACCAGTTATATTTTGCCTCTATCATAGATATTCATAGCTTCACCGCTGACAATATACATTTTTTTTTTGAAATTTTTTATGTTAAATGGACTTCNTTTTTATTCTTGAACTGAATTTTTTTGTATTAATTTTGACTTAATATTTTTTTATACCAGTTATATTTTGCCTCTATCATAGATATTCATAGCTTCACCGCTGACAATATACATTTTTTTTTTGAAATTTTTTATGTTAAATGGACTTCATATAGTAAATATAATATAATAAATATAAATATGTTACATAGTGTGATTAGTTAGAAGGAAAAAAATTAAAGTGCACAATTAAAGTGTCCATCCTGAACAAAATTTTTGGCTCCGTCACTGACAACTAGTATATATATATATATATATATATATATATAGAGAGAGAGAGAGAGAGAGAGAGAGAGAGATTACCCTACACCTTCGTGTCCAGGAATTCGGGGGAACAAAGGCTGGGAAAGCATTAAGAAAGAAAATGATCATATTAGTTAAAGAAAGAGTAATGCTATTTGTCCCTAAAAATTTGATATAATTTGTTGATATAATGATATGGCTTAATAGAAATTATTAGATCAACATCAATTTTCAATGTTTGATAGGACCTATGGTCAATCCAAAGATTACAATGAATTAGATTAATAAATTATGTGAAATTTTTAGATCATGCTCTTGAAAAAATCATAAGCAGGTGAAATATGAATGAGTAGAGATAGCAATAATTGAGGGGTTGAGTACTAACGACTGGAAAACCATTGCAGCATAGTATATCGGTGTGGCAGAGACTGGCGCATAGCATCTTAATCCTAACTTCGGAGGATTTGGGCGGATCCACCTGTATCTCCTCCACCTTCAGCGGGTCCCCAGATTTATAAACCACCGCAGCTGCACCCAAATACTATATATAATTACAACCACAACCACAACCACAACCACAACCACAACCACATATATGTATATATATGATGTATAATATGGAAGCAGGTGGCAGACGATTAGGTGATTACCTTTGCATGTTATGACCTCTGGGCTGGTCTTCGTCATTTTGATGGGTAGGAAAGGAAATTGAAAGGCTTGGAACAAAGTGTGTTTGGTTGGGGTTTGAATAGGCTACGTACTGCTATCTGTCTCTCTCCCTCCTTCCCTCCCGCTGTCCGATCTACATATAATTTATTTATAGTCGGAGTGGGAGTGGGAGTGGGAGGCACAGGCACAGGCACAGGCACAGGCACAGTTATGATGGAAGAACGAAGGGTTTGTATCTATCTCTTCAAAAATTCCATCCAAGTCAAGTGGTTTGATTTTTTTTGTTTCAATTCTCCTCCGCTCTTCTGGTGCTCCATTGCCGACATTACCTAATTTTAATACGTAAAATTACACTATAGCCCCATGCTTTTGGAGAACTCTACTTCTACTACTGCAACCTAGACGAACAATTAAGGCCAAACATGTGTTTGCTGCATTTCGTTCAAACACTGAGCTCTCAACCTTGGAGTGATAATTCTTCCAATCATACATTTTCTCTATTTTTTTTCATTCATATATTTAATTAATGTGGTTATCATCATCACCNCTACTACTGCAACCTAGACGAACAATTAAGGCCAAACATGTGTTTGCTGCATTTCGTTCAAACACTGAGCTCTCAACCTTGGAGTGATAATTCTTCCAATCATACATTTTTCTCTATTTTTTTTCATTCATATATTTAATTAATGTGGTTATCATCATCACCATGATTGTTGTTTGTATTAATGACAGTGATATTATATATATATATATATATATATCATTTGTTTGTACTTTGGCCGGCTGCCAAGATCATTTGTTTGTACTTTTATATTTGAGTAATGCAAGGGGACCACCCACGTTGTACAACTTGACAATATATGAACTGAACTAGGGTAAAAATGCTCTGAGAAGTTATGGTTAAGTTGGAAAATGAATGCAATCGAAAACGAGTCAAGGTTTTTGTATACCATGCAGAAAATCTTGTATATCGTTCTTAAAACACTCTTCTACACCTTAGCTTGTGTCTGAACGAACAATCATTAATTAATGTAATTTTTTTTCCTTCTATTGATTTTTTTTTGTCTAATTGAGGTGACGNTTGGCCGGCTGCCAAGATCATTTGTTTGTACTTTTATATTTGAGTAATGCAAGGGGCCCACCCACGTTGTACAACTTGACAATATACTAGGGTAAAAATGCTCCGTGAAGTTATGGTTAAGTTGGAAAATGAATGCAATCGAAAACGAATAAAGGTTTTTGTATACCATGCAGAAAATCTTGTATATCGTTCTTAAAACACTCTTCTACACCTTAGCTTGTCTCTGAACAATCATTAATTAATGTAATTTTTTTTCCTTCTATTGATTTTTTTTGTCTAATTGAAGTGATGGAGGTGGAGGTGGAGGTGGAGGTGGAGGTGGTTGGTTAATTAGATGCGTCGACAAAAACTCCAAAATCTGGTCCCTCCCGCAAGCTTACAAACTTGTCCAGCTTGGGAGTTGACAACTAGTCTACCCACCACCTCCTTTCTTTCCAAACTACAGTAGTTTCATTCTTGATTTCAGATTAAACTATTCATTGAGAAGCCATGTGAACGGCCAAACTTACAAATGAAGATGATTCTTTTAAAACACAAATCGTAATGATCCATTGGGAAGGAGGGATGACAGAACCAACCAGAGACCAATTCATTTATTTATTTTGAAATACCAGAAGCCCTGAGTGGCAAAGGTGTATTTGTCGGATCNTCATTGAGAAGCCATGTGAACGGCCAAACTTACAAATGAAGATGATTCTTTTAAAACACAAATCGTAATGATCCATTGGCAAGGAGGGATGACAGAACCAACCAGAGACCAATTCATTTATTTATTTTGAAATCCCAGAAGCCCTGAGTGGCAAAGGTGTATTTGTCGGATCGGATCGACGAAGAAAGTCGCAGCAGCACACAGGACTTGAAGCCTTAGGTGGCTACAATCTTGAATCCCTTCCTTTTACGTCATGTATAGAAAAGTCAATACAGGCAACTCCAACACAAAAACTACTAGTAATAGTCTAAATCAAAACTAATTCGTAGAGCAATTAATGCTCTTCGACCTAATTTATTAAATTAATTAAATATTAANGGACTTGAAGCCTTAGGTGGCTACAATCTTGAATCCCTTCCTTTTACGTCATGTATGGAAAAGTCAATATAGGCAACTCCAACACAAAACACTACTAGTAATAGTCTAAATCAAAACTAATTCGTAGAGCAATTAATGCTATTCGACCTAATTTATTAAATTAATTAAATATTAAATTTAATATTCATTCAATAATTTTAATAAAATTATATCATTAAATCAAGTAAAATTTATAGGTTTAAATAGCAATATTCTAATAATATAGGGACTAAGACTTCTAAACTAATTAGAACTCTAATAATTCTAGTAAGAAGAACTAACTAATGCAAGAGATTGGTTTAATCTCAATCTTCCACAAGTCTCGGTTAAACTATGCTCTATACATTTGGTCATCCCCATCCTTCACTTCAACCTTTACGAACGTATCTAATTTAGGTGATTTGGTAAAAATATTTATAATATAAAATCTTTTCACCAATAATCNTAACTAATGCAAGAGATTGGTTTAATCTCAATCTTCCACAAGTCTCGGTTAAACTAAGCTCTATACATTTGGTCATCCCCATCCTTCACTTCAACTTTACCAACGTATCTAATTTAGGTGATTTGGTAAAAATATTTATAATATAAAATCTTTTCATCAATAACCAAATCACAAATATAATAATATTTGTAAGAGATAAAAAACGACAAACCTCTCACATGTATGAAGAATTTATATTCCCAGTACGGATGTGTTTTTGAACTAAATTTTTTAGCCTTTTCCTTTCTGCAAAACGAACAAATTGTCNCAAATCACAAATATAATAATATTTGTAAGAGATAAAAAACGACAAACCTCTCACATGTATGAAGAATTTATATTCCCAGTACGGATGTGTTTCTGAACTAAATTTTTTAGCCTTCTCCTTTCTGCAAAACGAACAAATTGTCCAAGATTGAAGTGATTCGATCGAAGGTACTTCGATACTTAAGTCAGTAATAAGTTTGAATCAATTGCAGGAATGCAAGGAGAGTTCAGCATACCTTTCACCTTGACTCCTTGTGCCTTTTATAGATCCCTGTTCAGTTAGGGTTTCCACGATTTCTGATTCAAAATGGTACACCTTCCTCCAATTAGGCGACTCTAGTTGGGAAGTTGTTGATATCTCTTTTGTCACACCCCATCCTGGTCTCCCAGGGATGAGACGCGACTAGATTTTTGATACACCTGTTTACATATATATATAATCTAGATTAATAAAATACTAATTAATCTCATAGGTGCAATAATACCACCTANTATATATATATATATATATATATATATATATATAATATAATATAATATAAATTAATAAAATACTAATTAATCTCACAGGTGCAATAATACCACCCATCACCTTAGTCAATAAGCATGATGATAAATCTGTCTCATAACCTGTACCAATTATTTGTTTCCAAGGTTATAGACACATACAAACTCCCAGACCCACATGACATACATCACAAAGTATGACTGTTGAGTCTATTTACAAATATACACTATTAAACTGTTATAATAATTTTTCACAAATATAATATATAATTCAGAAATTAGTCATACTGACACTCAACCTAAGTGATATCACACTATCGTTGTACAAGACTCAATCGACTGGACAGTGGATTGGTCAGTATCCCCCTTTACAGTACCTGAAAAGGAAAAGCTATAAGAGTGTGAGCTAAATCATACGCTCAGTGAGTATACGTGTTGTATATGAAATGAAAACGATAGTAATACACTGAAGTAGGTAAATACTACGTAGATACACGTATCAAACAACAACACCAATCCAATTTCAAAGAATTCATAAGCCACATCACATTCATACTACCCCTCATTGGATGATCGATCCCACATGGATCTGTGTCTCCCAAACCTCGCGGGAACACCATAGCGCTAGCACATCACTGCACACCCAGTGACCAGGCATCGACGCCCCTGTCTCAAACAGTGCGCCACATTCCACAATACACAATACAAAGTACAAAACATCATCCAATCACATAAGCTCGTAGCACATAATCTTGGAGAATTGTTATTAAATTCTATCATTTACTATCATAGTATAATAACATTTTCAAAACATATAAAGGTATACACCCACCTCAAGTGTACAGAGCTACGACGAGCCATCGGACCTACCAGTGAATTCTTTCGGTGTTTTCGTATCTGTTTCAATACCAACTGTCCCACTTGTTCCAGCTAACAATTTATAATTAAAATATCAACATATTTATCACATTGAAAAATTGATCATGCATTAATGCATGCAAGACGATTCAACCCGAAGTGTCCCGGTAACCTCGGTTACCGCACCGTTCACTCACATACTGGTACATTAGATGTAGGGATCATATTGCCTCCCCAAATCTTCAAAATCACTCACATTAATCGTAATTATCACAATTAGGATTAAGTAGGTCAAACACATTGACCAGGGGTCCATTTCCACACATTTCGACCCCGAATTCTAAAAATCGCATTTCCGACATTTCGTGCATTTCGCATCAAAATTTACATTATCACATCATACATTATTTAAAAATGCAGCATGCAAAATTTTAGGTCATTTGGATTAAAACTCACACATGTGATAATAATATTTAGAAATTAGGGTTTCGGTGTTACCGACACCCATGTCTAACTTTTATCGTACATTTTTATTTAAAACCGCTACACTTAAATTCACGTACACGTTTAATCAATGCAAAATAACTCTCTAAATTATGTTAACTCACTTAATTAAACTCAAAAATCAATCCACGAAATTTAAATTAAAACAACCCATTATTTGAATGCGAATAGCCCACCAAATTAAACTAAAATAGTATGTGAAATAAATTAAAATAGCCACTAATTTAAAACATGTTAAAACAGCTCATATATGTACAACATCTATATACTAAAATTAATCACAACCCATGTATAAATTAAGTACCACATACCTTCCTTGCTCACGGTTCAAATAGACCCACGTGTGTACATTATTTTTTATTTTTTATTTTTTTTCCCTTCTTCTTCTCTTGCTCTCCTGCTCACCCTCACTTTCACTCACGGTTTCTATAAAGAAACCAGACTCACACGCACACACAGAGCTTTATATTTTGATCACACACACACACGTCACACACCCACACATACACTTGAAAGGCCCACCACCAATGCATGACACATATATAAAGATATTTCAATCAACTTAATTAATTTCACTTGCCTCTTCCCAAATTCTTAAGTTATTTCAAAATCAACCCAATACCACTTTCATTCACAAAATTCTATATAATAAATAATTCCACCTAATTGTAATTAGTCCATATAATTATGCTAATATGTATGAAATGCATGATTGGGTCTCACAACTTTAGCAATTCCTCCTGTCGTGCCTATAATTTCGTCAATGTGTTTAGCCAGAATGCCTGAGTTATAGACACCCCCTTGGCTATTCATTTACTATTTGAAACAACTCGGTCATGATGAGGACCGACCTCTTCTATTCATTACGAAGCTCTTTGATAAGTTCGATTTCAAACTACCGACTTAATATATAATTATGTCTCAGTCACGTGACTGGTCTTGTCTTGCTCACGTGGGATCATTAAATGCGAGTGCATGTGTCACGTTGGGAGACACCCTCTTCATTTGCTCCTAAAAAATGTCTGACAGACGCCTTTCATCTGTCAGCCGTTTTATGTCCTTAATCCCATCATTGCTCACACCTTTGGGACATCCCCCTTTGTTTTGGCGGCGAGTCTAGGTCATTTAAATATTGTCTTTTAGAATTCCTTCCCTTTATAAACAATTTCTCTTCATCTATCTTTCATTTTGCCTTTCCAGCTTCAGACTTCTTTATCTTTCTCTCTGTACTTTCATTATCATCTTTCTTTCTGCACTTCCTCCATCTTCCTCAATGGCCCCTCTCACGCCTTAAGAAATTCCAGCCTTCAAAACTAAATATAACATTGCAGAGGATGTTAACAATCGGGTGGCTGGTACCGATGAGCCCCTCATTGGAACCAGGGAGAGCATCTCAATCTACACTCGTGCAATCACAGAGGGCGGAGTTCGCTTTTCACTTGACCCCCTGCTCCTTTGGGTGCTGTCAACCATAAAATTGTGCACCCCATCCAGTGCTGCCCTAATTTCTTCAAAATAGTGATGGGTGTGGCCACTTTAAACAAGGTTCTAGACTTGAGCTTAGGGTTGTGGGAGATCCTGTACTATCATATCCTTAAACCGACTAGAGATAATTGTTACCTTGCAGTGAGGAAGAAGAACCGTTACTTGATGACTCATCTCGCAAATTCTAACAAAGGTCATGAGAATGACATTGTCTTTGTTTCTGAAAATTGGGAGTACGTTGTTGGTGTTGTTCCATCCCATCGCTGTCCGTACGAAGAAGGCGCACCAGGTATCTGTATTTTTTTTTTTTTTTAACTCTTCTAGATTAGACTTGTTTGTCTATTGTTTTTGACATAAGCTCTTTTGTATAAAGGTAAGACTGTGAAGGGTAGAATTCTTGAGTCATCTGTAAAAATGGATGAACTTTGAAAAGTTTGGGGCTACAATGATTCTTTGTTCTGCTGAGCTACACACACTTTGATTGGGTACACGCCAACCTACACGTCTTTCATAACTGTGCAGAACCGCCCCAATGCAACACTTGCCAACGTGTTCTCTTAGGTACGACCCTTTTCATAGGTGCGCAACGTGTTCTCTTAGGTGAAGACTTGACTTCAACATCATCTAGATGAATTATTGGAGTTCAACACTTTAACTCATATCTTGATATTGTTCGATTTTTCGTTTTCGGCATTTTTTCTAGCAACATAAATAATGTTAGTCACAGTGCCATTTACAAAAAAGATCAGAAAAAAAAATGGTACATGTATATGCCAAGTGATAGTATTCAGTATTCACAACTTCATAATTATAATAAATAGTAGTAAACAAACGTTTTATAACAGTTATAGTTCTTATCTATCGTTTATAACCAATAAACGTCACGGTTTTTGTGACAGTTTTTATTTGTCATTTAATAACAAATAAAACCACAATGACAGAAATTGTCACTGAAAAAATTCTAAAAAAAAACGATGTGTAGACTAGAGTGACAGGACAAAATAACAATGTTTTAAACCAAATAAAATATCACATTGGCAAAAATATACTTTTTTTTTTTTTTATTGGCATCATATTGTCAGAGTGACAGAATTGTCACTTTAACACGCACGTCAAAATGTTACAATGACAACTCAAATCATAGTAACACCAAGTAGTATTTGATGCTATTGAATGTCATTNATTAATGAAAACTGAAGATGAAGAATCAGTCCCTCAATTATCTGGCGGAGGATGAGGATCGGACGACGACGACGACGACACGAAGATTCGAATCTGATCCAAGAAACTGAGATGCTGAGGTCTATCCATCCGCTTTACGTATCCTTTGGCCTCTTTCTCGGAGTAGTTACTGTACCCTTTCTCTCCATTCCTCTTCCACATCTCCACCGCATAACTCCTGTGCGCGTAATACGCCTCCGCCTCCGCCTCCCCCTCGCCGGACTCAACTTTGATTGGCAATCTCTCGTAATGGCCTCGGCTCGTGCCTTCCAACTCGTCCATGCGAACCAGCGCCCGAGTCGACACGGCATACAACTCGCCCCAAACTCGGTCGCCTGAACCAGGGAAGTTGAGCAAGAAAGGCACCCTGTAGGGACCACAGACCAATGGTAACTTCTCAAGGGTCCGATAGACGCCGAGGTATGAAACGTCTCCGGTGGCAACCATGTCCTGTATGAGGCTGTGGTTGGAGAAACCATGCTTGAGGGTTCCATAGGTGAATATTAGTGTCGNACATTAAAACCCTTTTGCTTCTCTTCTCACCTTAGTCTTTTGACGATTTCTGAACTTTGTTCCTGAGCTTGAATCATATATTCAAGGTCAAATACATTTTTTATTGTATAATTCTTAATGACCCAAATGTTTACTACTTATCTTTATTGGGTCAAAAATCCATCATAATGGCCACCAAAAACCTTATGTTAATTAGTTTGATTTGGATATAGGCCTGAGCNATGAAACGTCTCCGGTGGCAACCATGTCCTGTATGAGGCTGTGGTTGGAGAAACCATGCTTGAGGGTTCCATAGGTGAATATTAGTGTCGTCTTCTCCACCTGCTCGTCCTCAGCCCCCATCCAAGCTGTATTTGAAATGGATCTGTAGAGAGAGAGAGAGACAGATAGTCGAGGGTGTGNATTTTTGTTTTGAGCTATGATAATTGTAAATTTATAATAATATTTTATTTTATACATGTTTCCAATTGTAAAATGTCAAAATTGAAGCCCCACAAAGAGCACAAAAAGAAAAAACAGTAGTGGGTATAAAACAAAGCCAGAAATCATAGATTGGGTCAACATATATGTGATTGATATTCTCTGTCAAGTTGGTAATTGAGATGCGCATCAATTACCTCAGACATTTTTAATCTTTGAATCAAAAAATACTAACAAAAAAAAATGAAAATATTCCCCGTGAAAGAATTTTCCCTGACACAAATTATTAAAGTAGTTATCCTAATAATAAGTGATTAGAGAATCTATCTATATCTACGTAACATAATAAAAAGGAGATTCTCATCCTAGATTTATTATATTATATTAATGAAAACTGAAGATGAAGAATCAGTCCCTCAATTATCTGGCGGAGGATGAGGATCGGACGACGACGACGACGACACGAAGATTCGAATCTGATCCAAGAAACTGAGATGCTGAGGTCTATCCATCCGCTTTACGTATCCTTTGGCCTCTTTCTCGGAGTAGTTACTGTACCCTTTCTCTCCATTCCTCTTCCACATCTCCACCGCATAACTCCTGTGCGCGTAATACGCCTCCGCCTCCGCCTCCCCCTCGCCGGACTCAACTTTGATTGGCAATCTCTCGTAATGGCCTCGGCTCGTGCCTTCCAACTCGTCCATGCGAACCAGCGCCCGAGTCGACACGGCATACAACTCGCCCCAAACTCGGTCGCCTGAACCAGGGAAGTTGAGCAAGAAAGGCACCCTGTAGGGACCACAGACCAATGGTAACTTCTCAAGGGTCCGATAGACGCCGAGGTATGAAACGTCTCCGGTGGCAACCATGTCCTGTATGAGGCTGTGGTTGGAGAAACCATGCTTGAGGGTTCCATAGGTGAATATTAGTGTCGTCTTCTCCACCTGCTCGTCCTCAGCCCCCATCCAAGCTGTATTTGAAATGGATCTGTAGAGAGAGAGAGAGACAGATAGTCGAGGGTGTGAGAGAGAGAGATAAATAGTTATATAATTGCAGACTTGAAAGAGAAAGCGGAGGAAGGGAGTGGGACCGGACCAACATTGTTTTTAAATAGATGTGACGAATGGTTGTGGTTGTGGTTTGTGACATAAAAATTTGACCGCGTGGGTGGGTGGGTGTGGTGCATATCGTTAGGTTTATTTCTTTCTCCAATAAGTATAGTAGTCTCCACAAAATATTATATTTTATTATATCTATTTTAATGGTGCATTTAATAATAATATTATTTTGGCATATTAATTTTTTAAGGCAATGATTTGGTTGTTTGTAACTCCATCTTGTACATGCCAAAGTGATCTTACCCGGCCAGTTTGTGGAGAAAAAGATATGTGGCATTGCAAAGCCACCTAGGCATTCGACGGCTACCCCAAAGATCTCTTGGCTAGTATTTCAAAAACACATTAGTGCATTATTAAGACATATAGATATTATAGTGTGAAGAGTTGATGGCTGGCGGTTAACTTAAGGAACATGTGTTTCTAACCGTGGTGAAGTGACCAAGAAAAATGGTCTTGACGCTTAGAAATATGGCCTATAAATACAAGAGGGTTAGAGCTAAAGAAGAGGATCCAACATCAATAACACAACCAGTCTACGGAAAAGACATAAAGAGAAATGTAGTAGTTTCCTTTCAACTGAAGGGATTGAAAATGATTCAAGCTTTTCCATAGTCTAAACAATCGACTAGGAATTATCAAGTTCAATAATTCCATTGGCTTTAACAAGATCTCAAGTAAGGAAAGAGTTTTTGATTTGTCTCAAGATAAACAGCTTCATATAAGCATAGGGATGAAAAGGAAATAAATATAATCCTGTGTTTATGCTTATATATGACTTTCAATTTGTTTCTTAGTCATTGTTGTTATGCTACACCTAATCCTCCTTAAGCTTATAACTTTCTGTTCGTCATGTCTGAACCATATGTATGTATATCCGTTGGTTGTTGAAATCATTTTCTTTTAAGCATCAGCAAAATCGAAGCCCAAGTTTATTGATTTAAGGAATATTTATTGGACTTGAGCAATGCATAGCCGTGGAAGTACATGTTCATGATCGAGTTCCTGCACTAAAGTTCGTAGCCCAACCACATATGAGAGAGAGAAAGAAAAATAAGAGAGTGCAGAGAAATGGTGGAAAATTTCACTTTTTTTTTTGTTTAACGGCAAATGGTGTTTAAATCAATTTACATGCACCTCAATTAATTCTTTTTTTGGGTCCAATTAAAAATATGTCATTAACAATGAGACTAAAATATTCATGAATGATAAATTTTTCATAATATAATCTCAAAAAATTTAATAAATTTAAATTTAAAACATTTAAGTTTACATTTTATCCATGTTATCACGATTTATCAACACGCTGCTGCAGCAATCAGTTTCCTTCATCATGCATGCTTTGTAAAGTTTGAATAAAGGTTGTAAAGCACGTGGCATGCCATGTACCTCTGCTTTAGCTGATTCATTATCTCAGATATAAAAACATTAATTAATTAATTAATTAATAGTCTCAAGTGGCCTGGCCAATAGGAGAAGCAACATACGTTAAAGTCGCAACATACAACAGATTGAATGAATTGTTGTTATTATTATTATTATTAATAATAAATAAATGCCCCATTTTTTTTTCCAGATAGCGAAAAGAAAAGGAAATTAAGACGGAAGCCAGTTCCTTAATATAAAGTATATAAACGCATCTTTTGGTTTGGGTTCGGAGACAGCTTCGGCTCTAGACTTTTTGGGCAGATAAGCACGATCCATTACCCATCCCATCCCACCCACCACCCACCACTACAAAAGAAACCCCTCTTTCCGTCTCATTTTCTTCTTCTTCTTCTTCTTCTCTATCATCNAGTAAAAAATAAGATCAAATGGTGTAAAATTTAGGTGTATAATTAAAGTAAATTATGCAGAAATATCAAAGAGGTTGCTGGAGGGGTTAGAGGTTTTAAATGTAAATATGTAGTTATGACTAGATATACATATTGATAAATAAATGGTGAGAGAGATTGGGGGGAGAATAGTTTGTAGGTAGCTTAATTAGCTACTTAATTGGAGCTGTGAAACAAATTAATNTCTCTCTCTCTCTCTCTCTCTCAAGAAATTTCCTCTTAATCAAAACTGGCTATAGATGGTAAAGAGTCCACTTTCAGAGAAATTGNAGATTGGGGGGAGAATAGTTTGTAGGTAGCTTAATTAGCTACTTAATTGGAGCTGTGAAACAAATTAATATGTCTGTATATATGATGATGCATGGTTGCAATCCTTAAGAACAATGTAAAATGTATCTTTGCGAACGTATCTTTATGATCTGTTGTCTTGGCTACTTGCTCCAAAGCATGTCTGTCTGTCTGGTTTTGTATAACTTATGATTTTCTTGGTTCCTTCANTTTTTTTTTTCCCTCCTCCTTTACATAATGGTCAGTCAGAGTGAAAATTTTGAAGTTTGTATTGTAAAATCGAATCTCAGGGTGTTGATGAAGAAGTTGATGATAAGGAATGGCCGTCTTGGCTGAGGCCACTTCTCCGGACAAGCTTCTTTGGTCAATGCTCGGTCCACGCCAATGCTCACAAGAGTGAATGCAATATGTATTGCCTTGACTGCATGAATGGAGCCCTCTGTTCTCTCTGTCTGCTTACCTTTCACACACACCACCGTGCCATTCAGGTTTCATTTCTTAATCAACATTCATTAATTAGTGCTTCCGTTGTTGAAAATCCACTTTATTGGATTCATTGTAAAGCATTAAGTACCCTTTTCAACTTCTCTAATATAACGTATATATGTATATATTTTTATTTACTCTTTTATGTATATATATGTATGTATGGGTTTGTTTGTCTATCTCCAAAGGGGTTGGTTGGTTGGTTGGTTAGTTCTGAACTGTGCCGTTGCACTATTCTTTTTTTTGGAGAGGGGCAGATAAGGAGATCCTCATACCATGATGTGATCAGAGTTTCTGAAATTCAAAAGTTTTTGGACATAGCAGGGGTTCAGACCTATATCATCAACAGTGCCAAAATCGTCTTTCTGAATGAACGGCCTCAGCCAAGGCCTGGTAAAGGCGTCACCAACACCTGCCAGGTCTGTCAGCGTAGCCTCCTTGATTCCTTCAGTTACTGCTCTCTTGGTTGCAAGGTATACACATACAAACTCACACTGACTATACTACACCTTAGCTTTCACATTCACACCCTATCTAGTAATGACACCAGTAATTCAATGCAAAACTATAAAAACTCTCGAACATGATTTATAAGTTAAGACCCAAAAAAAAAAGGGTTCTGCATGGTAGAGAGCTTGTGTCGTGGATATTAATGGATTATGGTTGATTTTTCTTATTTGGGTAAATATACAAATGTTACAGATAGTTGGGACATCAAATAATTTTAAAAAGAAGAGGATGTGCATGGGCATGGGTGGCTCAGACTCGGAGGAGTCGATGAATATTGGCGTTGGGTCTGGACGTGTTAAGGATAGAATTCGGAACTTTACACCATCAACGCCGCCTCAAGCTGCCGTGAATTACAGAAGTACCAAGAGGAGGAAGGGAGTTCCCCACAGGGCTCCAATGGGAGGACTTACCCTACAATACTGGTAGAGTACGTAATTAAGTAGTACAATTTGGCTGCTGCTTCTCTCTGTTTCAACTATTCTACACACAGCCGGCCGGTTTGGAAAATCAAGACATGAAGTTGTCTCTTGTACATAGAAAGATGCAATAGAGTACCCGTATATATACAGATCAATATAATTAAGAAGAAGAGATGGGAGTAAAAAATAAGATCAAATGGTGTAAAATTTAGGTGTATAATTAAAGTAAATTATACAGAAATATCAAAGAGGTTGCTGGAGGGGTTAGAGGTTTTAAATGTAAATATGTAGTTATGACTAGATATACATATTGATAAATAAATGGTGAGAGAGATTGGGGGGAGAATAGTTTGTAGGTAGCTTAATTAGCTACTTAATTGGAGCTGTGAAACAAATTAATATGTCTGTATATATGATGATGCATGGTTGCAATCCTTAAGAACAATGTAAAATGTATCTTTGCGAACGTATCTTTATGATCTGTTGTCTTGGCTACTTGCTCCAAAGCATGTCTGTCTGTCTGGTTTTGTATAACTTATGATTTTCTTGGTTCCTTCACAAGTTAGTTTCCAATAGTTCAGCATGAACTGGATTGTCCATATTAGGGTTAGGGGCCGAAGTAATTTAGTGAATAATTTACCTAAAATCCTCCACATGGCAAATATGTTTCCACCACCGTCATGTCATCGTTAATCCTTTAATTTTCATAAAACAAGGAGAGCTGTGAATGATAGCATGTAACTCACTCACCCTAAGTTTGCTTGGTAATTAATTACAATGTCTAGATCTCGCTCTCTAAGAGATGGTGAATTCGAGAAAGAGGGGTGAGATGTTGGGTTTGTGACTTGAGGAGTAGTCCTCTAGGACTTGCGTGCTATGCTACTTGACCTAGAGTAGCTAGCTAGTCCGGCCGGGAAGGGAAGGGAAGGGAACCCGTGATGTGGACAGAGATTGGTTTCTTGTGAACCGGTATTAACGGTAATAACAAACCTAGTTGTCAATTGTAGTTGACAGCGACGGAGAGTACACTGTACACCCCGACCTTACCAAGTCATTCACCATATGAATGCCGCCACGTATAACTCTCTTTCCAATAAATAATTCTCGTCTAGGGAGGGAGGGAGTCCTCTCTAATCCTAATGCGTGACCCACCATCACCGTGTACATTGATTCCTTCCCTCTTTCCAACAAATGTACTCAAACTAAATTTTAGTTTTAAAAGAACAAATATACTAGAATCGATCTCTACGTTTAAAATAACTTTCTGGTTTATCTAAATCTCTATGTGAATATATATATATATATACATATATATTCTTATGACATATCATATCTGTTCTTGTGTCATTCTTCTTGTTTGATTTAATAACTCTTTCTTGGTCTACTTACTTGCTCCACCAACAAACCAACTTGCCTAAGCCGTGATGTCAACTGAATTTATTTATTTTACCAAATCTTCATATGATGTTATGCGTATGCATATACCTATGAAGAGGAGGAGGTGACCAGACTCTTTAACTTCAAGCTTGCATGGTGACCCAATAATAATTTCATAGCCTTCAATTATTTAGCTAAATTATTAATGTTGTTCTAGCTAGGTCAGCCGCACCACCAAGAATTAAATCAGCTTACCTGCTGCATTAGCACCACTTTGATATGTCACGCTGTTGTTTGTATATATATATATATATATAGACTTCTTGCGCATCTCTAGACCACTCTATCGTGAGTTTCCCAGTGTTACCTTATGACAGCCACTATTTATTGCTTTTAACCAATAATAAATTAAGATAAAGATAGTCATAAGTCGTCATGATTCTAATATTATATTAACAATCCATTTGTCCAAAGGTTCCTTTTATGTGGGTGCAACAGTTGGATCAATAATGTTATGAGATTCTCAAACTCCCACTAGAATTTATTTGTACACCCATGTTTCATTTATATTAAAAACTTCCTGGTTTGTTGTGTGTAGCTGGTTGTCCAGTGGAATCATTCCGCTAGTCTGGCTGGTGAAGTCATGACACTTATTATAGGTTAATTCAAGGATGGATGATCAACTGCTGAAGCTACATGATTTTCATCTGCTAACTCAAAGGAAGGGCCGAGAGAACAATAGTTACACAGCGTCATTGGACGAGAAATAGGGCCATGGCTGTTTTTTTGTTTCTTCTTCTGTTTCTAGATCTTCTGTATATTCTGCTGGAAAAGAGAGAGGGATGGGTTGGGAAGATGATCAAACAGGTTTGATCAGAGTGAGAGGAAGATGGGTTAGTGGGTCTTCAAAAGAATTTGGTGATCAGGTATCCTCATCAATTGCAGCCGTAATCAATCTGGACAATCATCACCGATTAGACAATTTTAGATATAAATTTCAAACTTGAGAAAACACTATGACACAAGTGGTAGTGGAAGATCAAAGTGTGCGCAGAGGCAAGAGATTGTCAGAACCATCAAGGACTTTTGGTATCTTGCCATTATTTCCCATGGTCCGAACCCAACCCTAATATGTTATAGGAAAGGTTTCCGTTACCAAGCCAATTATTATTTTCCTTCCTTGTGTGACTTTCCAAGGGAATAACCCACCCAAAAATAAAAAAAAAGAACACCAAAATAACTCAATCGCCAAATTAATTAGTTAAGAAGTACACATTTCAGATTAAAATGACTCTAATACCCTTAATTATCTATTTACTAAGGTAGCATTTTGGTAAATGCTTGTTTTCGTTTTTTTTTTTATTTTTGTTTTCATTTTATGCTAAAAAAAAAATAAAAACATATTTGGTGGATTTTTTATTTTATTTTTAATTACTCTATTTTAAAAACAAGGCTAATATATAAAAACATCCTTTTGGATGTTTTTGAAAACATCAAAAAGAAAAAACAAACGCGCAATGGTGAAAGGATTTAATGGGGTCTGGGCATCGANAGGGAAGGGAAGGGAACCCGTGATGTGGACAGAGATTGGTTTCTTGTGAACCGGTATTAACGGTAATAACAAACCTAGTTGTCAATTGTAGTTGACAGCGACGGAGAGTACACTGTACACCCCGACCTTACCAAGTCATTCACCATATGAATGCCGCCACGTATAACTCTCTTTCCAATAAATAATTCTCGTCTAGGGAGGGAGGGAGTCCTCTCTAATCCTAATGCGTGACCCACCATCACCGTGTACATTGATTCCTTCCCTCTTTCCAACAAATGTACTCAAACTAAATTTTAGTTTTAAAAGAACAAATATACTAGAATCGATCTCTACGTTTAAAATAACTTTCTGGTTTATCTAAATCTCTATGTGAATATATATATATATATACATATATATTCTTATGACATATCATATCTGTTCTTGTGTCATTCTTCTTGTTTGATTTAATAACTCTTTCTTGGTCTACTTACTTGCTCCACCAACAAACCAACTTGCCTAAGCCGTGATGTCAACTGAATTTATTTATTTTACCAAATCTTCATATGATGTTATGCGTATGCATATACCTATGAAGAGGAGGAGGTGACCAGACTCTTTAACTTCAAGCTTGCATGGTGACCCAATAATAATTTCATAGCCTTCAATTATTTAGCTAAATTATTAATGTTGTTCTAGCTAGGTCAGCCGCACCACCAAGAATTAAATCAGCTTACCTGCTGCATTAGCACCACTTTGATATGTCACGCTGTTGTTTGTATATATATATATATATATAGACTTCTTGCGCATCTCTAGACCACTCTATCGTGAGTTTCCCAGTGTTACCTTATGACAGCCACTATTTATTGCTTTTAACCAATAATAAATTAAGATAAAGATAGTCATAAGTCGTCATGATTCTAATATTATATTAACAATCCATTTGTCCAAAGGTTCCTTTTATGTGGGTGCAACAGTTGGATCAATAATGTTATGAGATTCTCAAACTCCCACTAGAATTTATTTGTACACCCATGTTTCATTTATATTAAAAACTTCCTGGTTTGTTGTGTGTAGCTGGTTGTCCAGTGGAATCATTCCGCTAGTCTGGCTGGTGAAGTCATGACACTTATTATAGGTTAATTCAAGGATGGATGATCAACTGCTGAAGCTACATGATTTTCATCTGCTAACTCAAAGGAAGGGCCGAGAGAACAATAGTTACACAGCGTCATTGGACGAGAAATAGGGCCATGGCTGTTTTTTTGTTTCTTCTTCTGTTTCTAGATCTTCTGTATATTCTGCTGGAAAAGAGAGAGGGATGGGTTGGGAAGATGATCAAACAGGTTTGATCAGAGTGAGAGGAAGATGGGTTAGTGGGTCTTCAAAAGAATTTGGTGATCAGGTATCCTCATCAATTGCAGCCGTAATCAATCTGGACAATCATCACCGATTAGACAATTTTAGATATAAATTTCAAACTTGAGAAAACACTATGACACAAGTGGTAGTGGAAGATCAAAGTGTGCGCAGAGGCAAGAGATTGTCAGAACCATCAAGGACTTTTGGTATCTTGCCATTATTTCCCATGGTCCGAACCCAACCCTAATATGTTATAGGAAAGGTTTCCGTTACCAAGCCAATTATTATTTTCCTTCCTTGTGTGACTTTCCAAGGGAATAACCCACCCAAAAATAAAAAAAAAGAACACCAAAATAACTCAATCGCCAAATTAATTAGTTAAGAAGTACACATTTCAGATTAAAATGACTCTAATACCCTTAATTATCTATTTACTAAGGTAGCATTTTGGTAAATGCTTGTTTTCGTTTTTTTTTTTATTTTTGTTTTCATTTTATGCTAAAAAAAAAATAAAAACATATTTGGTGGATTTTTTATTTTATTTTTAATTACTCTATTTTAAAAACAAGGCTAATATATAAAAACATCCTTTTGGATGTTTTTGAAAACATCAAAAAGAAAAAACAAACGCGTAATGGTGAAAGGATTTAATGGGGTCTGGGCATCGATCTTCCATAGCAACAAAATATGAATTTTTTTGCTTGGGTATATAAAAAGTCATCCCTCTTGTTCACCTTTCATATTTCTGTCGTCTCTCTATCTCTCTGACTCTCTTGTGTTGAAGACGAAGTCGAAGCCACAGCCACGAAGATGAAGACGAAGGATCCAGACGCCATCTCCCCTACTCTCCCTCTGTTGCTCTCACTCACTCTCTCCCTCTCTCTCTCTCAACCTTCTCTATCTTGATAGNTATACTAGAATCGATCTCTACGTTTAAAATAACTTTCTGGTTTATCTAAATCTCTATGTGAATATATATATATATATACATATATATTCTTATGACATATCATATCTGTTCTTGTGTCATTCTTCTTGTTTGATTTAATAACTCTTTCTTGGTCTACTTACTTGCTCCACCAACAAACCAACTTGCCTAAGCCGTGATGTCAACTGAATTTATTTATTTTACCAAATATTCATATGATGTTATGCGTATGCATATACCTATGAAGAGGAGGAGGTGACCAGACTCTTTAACTTCAAGCTTGCATGGTGACCCAATAATAATTTCATAGCCTTCAATTATTTAGCTAAATTATTAATGTTGTTCTAGCTAGGTCAGCCGCACCACCAAGAATTAAATCAGCTTACCTGCTGCATTAGCACCACTTTGATATGTCACGCTGTTGTTTGTATATATATATATATATATAGACTTCTTGCGCATCTCTAGACCACTCTATCGTGAGTTTCCCAGTGTTACCTTATGACAGCCACTATTTATTGCTTTTAACCAATAATAAATTAAGATAAAGATAGTCATAAGTCGTCATGATTCTAATATTATATTAGCAATCCATTTGTCCAAAGGTTCCTTTTATGTGGGTGCAACAGTTGGATCAATAATGTTATGAGATTCTCAAACTCCCACTAGAATTTATTTGTACACCCATGTTTCATTTATATTAAAAACTTCCTGGTTTGTTGTGTGTAGCTGGTTGTCCAGTGGAATCATTCCGCTAGTCTGGCTGGTGAAGTCATGACACTTATTATAGGTTAATTCAAGAATGGATGATCAACTGCTGAAAGCTACATGATTTTCATCTGCTAACTCAAAGGAAGGGCCGAGAGAACAATAGTTACACAGCGTCATTGGACGAGAAATAGGGCCATGGCTGTTTTTTTGTTTCTTCTTCTGTTTCTAGATCTTCTGTATATTCTGCTGGCAAAGAGAGAGGGATGGGTTGGGAAGATGATCAAACAGGTTTGATCAGAGTGAGAGGAAGATGGGTTAGTGGGTCTTCAAAAGAATTTGGTGATCAGGTATCCTCATCAATTGCAGCCGTAATCAATCTGGACAATCATCACCGATTAGACAATTTTAGATATAAATTTCAAACTTGAGAAAACACTATGACACAAGTGGTAGTGGAAGATCAAAGTGTGCGCAGAGGCAAGAGATTGTCAGAACCATCAAGGACTTTTGGTATCTTGCCATTATTTCCCATGGTCCGAACCCAACCCTAATATGTTATAGGAAAGGTTTCCGTTACCAAGCCAATTATTATTTTCCTTCCTTGTGTGACTTTCCAAGGGAATAACCCACCCAAAAATAAAAAAAAAGAACACCAAAATAACTCAATCGCCAAATTAATTAGTTAAGAAGTACACATTTCAGATTAAAATGACTCTAATACCCTTAATTATCTATTTACTAAGGTAGCATTTTGGTAAATGCTTGTTTTCGTTTTTTTTTTTATTTTTGTTTTCATTTTATGCTAAAAAAAAAATAAAAACATATTTGGTGGATTTTTTATTTTATTTTTAATTACTCTATTTTAAAAACAAGGCTAATATATAAAAACATCCTTTTGGATGTTTTTGAAAACATCAAAAAGAAAAAACAAACGCGTAATGGTGAAAGGATTTAATGGGGTCTGGGCATCGATCTTCCATAGCAACAAAATATGAATTTTTTTGCTTGGGTATATAAAAAGTCATCCCTCTTGTTCACCTTTCATATTTCTGTCGTCTCTCTATCTCTCTGACTCTCTTGTGTTGAAGACGAAGTCGAAGCCACAGCCACGAAGATGAAGACGAAGGATCCAGACGCCATCTCCCCTACTCTCCCTCTGTTGCTCTCACTCACTCTCTCCCTCTCTCTCTCTCAACCTTCTCTATCTTGATAGTGGTGATGGATTTTGGGGAGTGGTGGTGAGGTTGGTTGGTGGTGGTGGGTTTTCAAGGATGAGGATGGGCTTGGATGGTGGTGGGTTTCGGGGATAGACGTGGGTTGGGTGGTTGTGGGTTTCAACCGATTGGGGCGGTGCTGGGGTTGGGTTTCAGCTGATTGGGGTGTTGTTGGGGCTGGGTGGTACTGGCTTTCAACCGATTGGGGGTGTCGTTGGGGCTGGGTGGTGTTGGGTTTCAACCGATTGGGGTGGTGCTGATGGGGGTGATTTTCGATGGTGGTGAGTTTCGAGGTAGGGGTGGTGAATTTCAGGGGTTGCTGGGTATTTAAAAGGGGTTGGGGGTGGGTTTTGGTAGTGGTTGGTGTTTGGTGGTGGTGATGAATGGTGAATTTTTGCTATAATACAAAACATATTTTTTATTTTTGTTTTTATAATTTTTTAAATATAAATAATTACCGAACATGTTTTATATTTTTGATTTTATCACAAATAAAAACAAAAATGTGTTTTATTTTTTTTTATATAATAAATATAAAAACAAAAATGTTACCAAACGCATCTTAAATTAACTAAAGTGAATTAAGAAACAAAATCAATTCATTAACTGAATTGCTATTTCTACATATCATAACTTTTAAATTGATGCAATCCTTCTATATTTAGATTTCAAAAGCAACTATTTTTTTATATTAAAATATTATAATTTCCTAAAATGTTGTTACTTTTTAACCCCAAAATTTCTAAAAAATTCAAAAACCTCATGAATTTGGGTTCGTAAATAAAAGAGTGATATAATTAAGAAATAATGTGACATCAAAAAAATATATCAAATAGTGAATTCACACATTAAAGAGTGGCATAATTAAAAAATAGTGTTACATACTTAAAAAAAATAATTTGACATCAAAGAGTTATATAATTTTAAAAATAATGTGATATCAAAAAGTGATATAATTTTAAAAATAGTGTGATATCAAATACAAGAAAATTGATGACCCGTCTTGTAGAAAACCAATAATGGGTATCAGTAACTGTTTGAAAATGATGAATATGAAAAATAAAGATATGAAAAAGAATGATTACAGTTTGAATTAATATACAACAAAAACGTTAACTGCAAATATATTTTTGTAATCTTTTTAAAATTCAAATGATTAATAGCCCATTAAAATAAGAAACCACTCGGTCAATGAAAACAGAATAAAAAAAAACCACTAAATATTGCATCAAATAAGTAAGGGCATTTAGGTACTACTAAAATATGAAAATTTAAAAATTTATACTTAGCCACCAAATATTTTATAAACAATATACTTACTAACTTAAAAATTTGGGCCATAGACTTTTCTAGGAATATTTTTTAAAAAGTGTACCTGACACAAATTTCCCANAATTTAAAAATTTATACTTAGCCACCAAATATTTTATAAACAATATACTTACTAACATAAAAATTTGGGCCATAGACTTTTCTAGGAATATTTTTTAAAAAGTGTACCTCACAAATTTCCTAAAAAAAAACAGAAACAGAAACAGAAAAAATGCCCAATAGGCTTCCAGCAGGTGAAACCACCAGTCTTCAAAGAGAATGAAAAACCCACAATCAGGATTTGGGGGTAGGGATGACAATGCCAAGTGTCGAACTGGTTGATAAATTCTCATTTTTGGAGGTGATGCATAGAATGGCCGTCTTAAAAGTATAATATTGGATAAAATAACAAAAAATTGTATCTTCTATTTTTGCATATTCATCACAAAAAAAAAAAAAAGCAGCAGCTGTAACAGGCACTCAGCTCAATGTTACTTATATCTTCACATACAGAGCCAAACTTTGCATGACATCTAACTAAAAAATTTCAATTAGATATTGGAGGCTTCCTTGCCAGTATACATAATGTACAAAGGGAGAACTTAAAAATCATAGAAAATCAGTCCAAAAAAATAATTGGGGGAAAATAACCAAGGTGGCCATCACAATGTATTACAAGCTAGAGATCTGATCAGAACCCATGTCAGAATGAGCGGATGAGCTTTCATGATGGAATGTAAATGACTCTGCCAACCCAACAGCGTCTTGGACCCTTAGCCGGGTTCCCTGTTGCCCAACAACTACAGCTGCAACCCTAGCTGCTAATGTACCCATGCCTTTCAAATCTGACACACCCCTTAAAATACCATATAAGATGCCTGACGCATATGCATCACCTGCCCCACAAGTGTCCACAGGAACACACAACGAAGGAGGAATATAAACAGGTTCCCCTTTCACACCAATGTAAGAGCCTCTTGGCCCATCCGTAACTGAGACTACAGGAACAAAATGGCTTAGGTACCTTGTAGCAGAAATGGGGCTTTCCTTTGAGGAGAAATGACAGAAAGCTCTGGCTTCATTGCTGTTTGCAAAGACAATGTCGGCATAATTCCCCATAATTTCCCTGAAGAAGAAAAATAAAGTAACAATATACATCGTCAAATGTGTGTAAGAAGAACAAAGAGAGACAACTAAGATGGCAATGTACCATGACCAGGAAACAGTATTTGACCAGGTTAATACTCTTTTCTGCGTATCTTAGCTTTCCTGTGGATGCTTACTAAAACAGGTTTCTTTAACTATGCAGTGCACTGTCAAAAAAAAAAAAAAAAAGACTATGCAGTGCAACAAACATTCTAAGACAACGTTTATGTTTTGTCATATAATGTCAATTGATGAATTTGCAACTGAAACCTGCAATCCCAAATCAATTTTGATTCTTGATTAGGAAAATAAAGATTCCAATCCAATATAAAATTCTTGATTTGAAAATTATGCTCATTGGTAAAATTTCCATGGCATGTCTATCACTTTAGAGGAGAAAATTCCTTTGAACGAAGGAAGGACGTTATTTGCAAGGCCAGCCATGCTAGTTTCTGGTTCTCATAATTCACTGCTATATCCCATAGCCATATTTCTTCATGCCCAGGTAACATATGGGACCTGTGCAATTCACATTATATAATGTTTTCTGCACAGTGAGCTTTTAAGTGTCATTAGATTGAAAAGAACAGGGCAAAAACAAGTCATTAGCCAGTTTGGTTCCTGCTAAGTGAGGTGCTCCAAGGATGGATTAGGTATAAACTCACCTTGGCTTGCAACGCTACAGTTGTTCGCCCGCACTATGAAACGATCTCTATTGAATTGAAAAGAACATAAATATCTCAAACCAAGTCAAGTTAAAGATTACCAGAAATCATCATAATGTCTCTCAATGCAGGAGACATCCGACGCTGTGACAGCAACCAGAGCACCACTCCTGCGGGCATCTTCACATGCTTTTTTAATTGTTTTGATTGTATCAGGAAGCTCAAGTAAATAACCTTCAACTACAAGTATTCTTGTTTTACCAATACAGCTAGCCAGGCAAGGATCATAGTCAACCATCGAAGATGTGCCCTGACATGACAAATGTAGGCAAACTAGATTAGGATTGCTAGCATTCTTTAGCTTCCTGAATCATTCAGTATCAAAATCAAATAATGGCGTGAAGTTCTCTTAGAATAAACAGCATATCAAAACTTTTCAGTACTTCATGAGGAGCACCCTAATAGAAGAAACAGTGGAAAGAATAATAGTCTGACATTCATAATCAGCAGAGGAATGACTTAATAAAAAAACCATGAGCAGAAGTAAGCTATATTTTTCGGACATACAACAACCAAAATAATATCAGTCCAATCGCATAGAAAAAAGAGGAAGAGATTAAATCTTTTCACCCTTTTAATTGGATGGGGGAATAGAAAGACTAATATTTCGACTCCTATCCCTCCCACTCTATCGCGTTATGTAGGGATTCTCCAAATTGGGCCTGCTTCTTCTTTTCAGAAATGGTGGCGAATATTTCTTGCCCTCATCTGCCACCTCATCTACGCAGTCCACATACATTCTACAGCTTAACTTAATTTGACTGAAAAAAAAATCATGCATTTTCAGTTTCTCTAAACTCCATTGAAATATTTGCAAACACGTAATTCCCCTTAAAAAGGTAGGTGGATAGAGATTATTTAAAATGTAAACCAAGTTACACATGGGGAGAAAATAAAACACAAATTGCTCATGTTAAATGTCTTCTTCAGTACCAGGAAGGCAGATATGTATTTGCTTTCGATGACTAGGTCAAACTTTGGGATCAGCACAAGAAAATAAGCAGCAGCAAGTTTTAGTAAGAAATCATGCAGCAGTATTGACAACAATTAACTGCTGTAACACAGTGCAGGTTAGAAAACACAGATTAGGGTCGATAGAGTGTCTAATAAACCTGGATAGAACAAGGTGGCATGTTCATCTAATTCCTTACGAGCAGGTCATATAGACAAGAGAACAATTTGTTAGGAACCAAATTTCAAGGTAATGGTGAATCGTGCTCATTTAGAAAAAAAATAACTCGGAACACATAAGAAAATACTTGCATTTGACAAACAAAGAATGATTACAAGAACAAAGTTACATAAAAATTGCATTCACTGAAATTAAATATGACCTGATACGCAAGCATCGTACGCTGAGCATCTGGAGTTGTCAGCACTATAACTGTTCCTGTTGTCCCATCTTTGACTGGTGCAGAGAGAAAATTCACATTTGCCCGACGCAATTTTGCTCTACATAATACATGAGAAGCTTGTACATAAAAATGGCACTCGCTATGAACAATACAATCTCCTAAATATTACATAGCCTCTTTCATGTAAACTAAGCCTGTAAGCTATCGTGCTATACCCAAACTAAACCTATAAGCCCCTACAGTCTATTTAACATCTTTCATGCCTGTTAAGCAAAAAATGTTGTCTTAAACATATAAAATCCATCCAAATCCTCTCCAAAACAACAAAGCCAAAAATAGAGCCCTACCTGTAGAACTCACCAAGTGGATCACTACCAATGCTGCCAACCATAGCCACATTCAAGGCAGGCCCTCCAATGGGCTGACCACCAAGTCTGGCCAAGGCCACAAGACTATTAGAAAGAGATCCACCAGCAGCAGCCTTGTAGCTGCACCCATCCATTGCCCGCAAAATTCTACCCCTCTCCTCATGATTCACAACCTTCCTTGTACCCTTCTCTATACCCAGTCTATCCAAAAATTCGCCATCAACCACGCCAGAAAAATCTACCTAGAAGTTCAAAAAGGAGAAATAAACAATGCACGCTGTAATAATCAAGTACAGCCCAGTACAGAGAAAATGTGAGTACTATGACATTAAAATGGATAAGACATTTTAAGAATTTTAGACATTTGAAGAAGTGACAAATTATATGCAACTAATGCATTGAAAGGATATAGCATTTGTTCACCAATAATTTAAGACCCCCAACGCAACAATTTGGTAAGCAACTACTACATGATAAATCGAGCAGAATCTTCCAAAAAAAAACAACAACGTGAAGCATGTGAAAACAGATAAGAAATTACTGGAGTACATTTTGTCCAAATGGAATCCAAGATATTCAAAAGTACAACTAAACTATATCCCAAAGTCAGAAGAAACTTCAGTTCAAATAATCTGCCATCTTCCAAAATAAAAAACTTCCCATTTTTATCAGAACTCCTAATCAAAGGGAAATGAATTCGCAGCGGCACTTTATGAAATTAAACTTGAAGCAGAAAGAAAAAAATACAAAGGGATACCACCTTCCGTCCGTTCTGCTCAACACAAGGCGACGGAAGACAGAGAATTCAACGTTACAAGTAATTCAAAGAATTACGCCGTTATTTGAATTGTACTTCCTATCATAGATATTTTCCAAGGAACCAAAGGGAGGGAGTAATTACGCAAAGAAGCAGACAATGTAGAAATACCATGGCTTGGCCGAGACCTAACACGTCCCATCTCTCAGGCAAACTAGAAGGCCTTGGCCTTGTGCCCTCCTTGGAGCTATCAACGACAACTTCTTCATCCTCGTCGTCGTCAGGATCCCCATCTTCTTCTTCGCCGGCAACACGGTCCTCCCCTCCGCCAATAGAGCAGGAAGAGTAAGAAGACGATCTAGATGAAAAGAGCCTATGAAGGGGTTCGTTTGCTATCGACATGTAAGGTAAAAAGAGGTTAGCGCAATTGTGTGAGATGGTAATACCAGTCCCAGGGTCATGGCGTGGGATCTTAGTAAAAGGCGGAGTGGATGACGAAGATGAAGGTTGGGAGGAGAGGAGAGAGAAAAGAGGCGGATTTCTGATGTGAGAAGGAGCGGCAAGAATGGAGGAGGAGAATGAGAAGTGAGAGGCAGGAGAGAGGAGAGAGAAAGACATATCGGTTGGGGTTGGGTTTAGGATGGAGAAAGAGAAACACGTTTCTCCATCCACCTCCACTGCCTTCGCACCGTGCGCCTTCTTGGCCTCTGCATCTAAATCTAGTCTATTTAGGCAACGCCAAGTTCGGCTTTGTCTTCCTTTTTTTACCGCTTCTGCCCTTTTTTGACCTGCTTATTTGCTTTCTTTGTGCTGCTTTTTGCGTAATTCCAAACCAAATCAAGCAATAAATTTATTATATTTTTATTTGGACAAGTCATATTATTCCCAAGAAATCCTAATTTTTGGAAACAACATATTTTGTTTCAATTTTTTATTTCTCTTAAATCTATTTTATTTTTACCTATAATTTTAAAACTAATTTTGTATTTAGAAATCTTCTATTTTTTTATAATTAAATACTTGGAATTCGAATTTCCAACATTAGGTTTGTAATGAATGTAAATTTTTCCAAATTCGATTTCAAATTAAATCTAATTAATTGAATGTTGATTGAAATTCTTACATAATTATCTAATTCTAAACCATATTCAAATACGAACCCGTTATCTCCTATATGATAATTTTGGATTTAATATACTATTATTCGAGTTGAACATGGTCCAATCCGAATTATGTGTGTATATTAGTGTTCTAAAACTTGGCCTGACGGGTTGACCCGGTATACCAGTGTCTAAACCGGGGCGGTTCACCTATTGGATCGTTTATGTATAAAAACCGGAGTAAACTCGGTGGATCGAAAAAAAATGCGGAGAACCCATCAACCCAGGCAACTTTAATCAAACCAGCCAATTCATTAAATTTAGTATAAAATAAAGAATTTTGGCCCTTTTGGGCATTTTGCCGTAAATTGTTTCCAGCCTCGGTCTCTTTCTTGGCAATTGGTGGAGTGGTGGACAACTGGAGCCTGAGTCTCCTTCTCTTTCTCTCGTCTTTGCGGTCGACAGTAGTGTGCACTACGAGCACAAAAGGAAGTAAGCCATCCAGTGAGGCACTCGATCGAATACTTGAAATAAAAGGAACATTCGATTTCAAAGGAGAAAGCTGCTTCAAAGCTCCATCGAGGCATCGACGACGACCACCAGAAACTAGCAGTAGGTCCTTTCATACTCTCTCAATCTATCTGCTCTCTAACTCTTGGTGTATGACTCTGCTACATCTGATTTTTGATTTGTATTTTGTATACATTGAATTTTTGATAATTAATAATGCTATATTTTATACATTGAATCTTTGATAATTGATAATGCTATATTTCATACCTTAAATGAAGCTTTGATTTTTTATATATTTGTTTTCTTATCCTTTTGCATTGTTGAAAATCCAAAGTTGATTGTGGTTGTAATTGTGATGGTGATGAAGCCACTGAAAAACCTAGAATTATGGGCTTTATTTTTAATTATTTTCATTTGTTGATGTAAGAACTTTGTAAACTTAATCTATATTTTTAATAATAGTGGGATGTTGTTGATGCTAGAAAATTTTAAACTTGAATATAGATATATGGTGGTCTTTGATGTTATAGAATGAGATTTTGTTGGTGGTTTTTTGGTTTTGGATGCTCATATCAAAACATTATTGTAAATTTTTAGACTATTTATTATTATTTTTTATTTTTTATTATTTTACCGGTCTAATCAGTGACTCAACAGATTAAACTAGTAACTCATTGATCTAGTCCCTTTACCGAGTTGATATTCGGGCCGGGTTTTAAAACTATGGTGTATATATCTATATAATAAAGTAGTTAATTTCGTTTGTTTTGAGCATTTCGCAGCTCATATCGTTTGAGAATTATTGATCAGACGATCTTAATTGGACTTTCATTCCTCGTAAAACTTTAAAAATTCTATCTCTAATATCATTTTCTTTCTCTCTCTATCTTATAAACTCAACTTTCATACGTATATTAGTATATAACTATATCTCTCTCTCCCTTACAGATATTTTAAACATACACTATTCCATCTCTCATACTCTCTCTCTTATATATATATGAAATAGAATGAAAATCTAATTAGGATTTTCAAGACAAATAATATTATCTTATACTTTATCTCTTAGCATTCTTAGCATTATTTATTTGTCTTAACAATCCTTATTGGACTTATTTACTCAAAATATTTGTATGATTTTATAGATAAAAAAATATTTAAATATTTAAAAAAATTATGAGGTTGTAGATATTCAAAACTAAGTTAATTACCGATAAAAAATAACAAGTGATATTAATATCACCGAAAAAATAAAAATTCCAAAATCAAGTTAATCACTAATAAAAAATAACAAGTGATATCAATTGCACCAAAAAAACTAAAAAATTTAAAGTCAAGCTAATTACCAATAAAAAAATATCAATGATCAATAAAAAAAAATAAGTGAAACCAATTGCACCAAAAAAAATAATATTTTAAATCAACTATTAATTTTTTTTTCCTTATTTGTATTGTTTTCTCCTTGCTAATGTTCATATTTTTTAAATACTTGAATTGTGCAAAATAGACACCAAAATGATAAAAATATCCGTTAAATCAATTTTTTTAAGTAGTTAAACTTTGATTTTGTTGATTTAGTTTAATTGCAGCGTGAAAATATTTTTGTAGCATTCGAGAAGTCATAACTGCAAATTATTTANTTGGTTTTGGATGCTCATATCAAAACATTATTGTAAATTTTTAGACTATTTATTATTATTTTTTATTTTTTATTATTTTACCGGTCTAATCAGTGACTCAACAGATTAAACTAGTAACTCATTGATCTAGTCCCTTTACCGAGTTGATATTCGGGCCGGGTTTTAAAACTATGGTGTATATATCTATATAATAAAGTAGTTAATTTCGTTTGTTTTGAGCATTTCGCAGCTCATATCGTTTGAGAATTATTGATCAGACGATCTTAATTGGACTTTCATTCCTCGTAAAACTTTAAAAATTCTATCTCTAATATCATTTTCTTTCTCTCTCTATCTTATAAACTCAACTTTCATACGTATATTAGTATATAACTATATCTCTCTCTCCCTTACAGATATTTTAAACATACACTATTCCATCTCTCATACTCTCTCTCTTATATATATATGAAATAGAATGAAAATCTAATTAGGATTTTCAAGACAAATAATATTATCTTATACTTTATCTCTTAGCATTCTTAGCATTATTTATTTGTCTTAACAATCCTTATTGGACTTATTTACTCAAAATATTTGTATGATTTTATAGATAAAAAAATATTTAAATATTTAAAAAAATTATGAGGTTGTAGATATTCAAAACTAAGTTAATTACCGATAAAAAATAACAAGTGATATTAATATCACCGAAAAAATAAAAATTCCAAAATCAAGTTAATCACTAATAAAAAATAACAAGTGATATCAATTGCACCAAAAAAACTAAAAAATTTAAAGTCAAGCTAATTACCAATAAAAAAATATCAATGATCAATAAAAAAAAATAAGTGAAACCAATTGCACCAAAAAAAATAATATTTTAAATCAACTATTAATTTTTTTTTCCTTATTTGTATTGTTTTCTCCTTGCTAATGTTCATATTTTTTAAATACTTGAATTGTGCAAAATAGACACCAAAATGATAAAAATATCCGTTAAATCAATTTTTTTAAGTAGTTAAACTTTGATTTTGTTGATTTAGTTTAATTGCAGCGTGAAAATATTTTTGTAGCATTCGAGAAGTCATAACTGCAAATTATTTAAATTAATTGTCTTTGCATCTACAAACAAATTCGTTGAACAATGTTAGTTTAGTTATTTTTTTTTTCTATTTTTTGGAAATTTGATTTGTAGTTCAATATGATCTNTATTTTACCGGTCTAATCAGTGACTCAACAGATTAAACTAGTAACTCATTGATCTAGTCCCTTTACCGAGTTGATATTCGGGCCGGGTTTTAAAACTATGGTGTATATATCTATATAATAAAGTAGTTAATTTCGTTTGTTTTGAGTATTTCGCAGCTCATATCGTTTGAGGATTATTGATCAGACGATCTTAATTGGACTTTCATTCCTCGTAAAACTTTAAAAATTCTATCTCTAATATCATTTTCTTTCTCTCTCTATCTTATAAACTCAACTTTCATACGTATATTAGTATATAACTATATCTCTCTCTCCCTTACAGATATTTTAAACATACACTATTCCATCTCTCATACTCTCTCTCTTATATATATATGAAATAGAATGAAAATCTAATTAGGATTTTCAAGACAAATAATATTATCTTATACTTTATCTCTTAGCATTCTTAGCATTATTTATTTGTCTTAACAATCCTTATTGGACTTATTTACTCAAAATATTTGTATGATTTTATAGATAAAAAAATATTTAAATATTTAAAAAAATTATGAGGTTGTAGATATTCAAAACTAAGTTAATTACCGATAAAAAATAACAAGTGATATTAATATCACCGAAAAAATAAAAATTCCAAAATCAAGTTAATCACTAATAAAAAATAACAAGTGATATCAATTGCACCAAAAAAACTAAAAAATTTAAAGTCAAGCTAATTACCAATAAAAAAATATCAATGATCAATAAAAAAAAATAAGTGAAACCAATTGCACCAAAAAAAATAATATTTTAAATCAACTATTAATTTTTTTTTCCTTATTTGTATTGTTTTCTCCTTGCTAATGTTCATATTTTTTAAATACTTGAATTGTGCAAAATAGACACCAAAATGATAAAAATATCCGTTAAATCAATTTTTTTAAGTAGTTAAACTTTGATTTTGTTGATTTAGTTTAATTGCAGCGTGAAAATATTTTTGTAGCATTCGAGAAGTCATAACTGCAAATTATTTAAATTAATTGTCTTTGCATCTACAAACAAATTCGTTGAACAATGTTAGTTTAGTTATTTTTTTTTTCTATTTTTTGGAAATTTGATTTGTAGTTCAATATGATCTGGATAACCTAATCATTAAATTTAGCAAGATATTGAAGAAATGAACACTCATTGGAAAAAAGAGCCACCATGAAAAAATAGATGGCAGGATAATTTTGTAATAGTGTTAATTTAAATTCATAGAGATTTTCAAATTGTATTTATTTGATATGATTTTTTCATTTCAATTCTTATATTTCTTTTACTTGAGACATTATTGGATGCCCAATTTTCTTGACACAGACTTTNTAAAACTATGGTGTATATATCTATATAATAAAGTAGTTAATTTCGTTTGTTTTGAGCATTTCGCAGCTCATATCGTTTGAGAATTATTGATCAGACGATCTTAATTGGACTTTCANGGATGCCCAATTTTCTTGACACAGACTTTTTAAACATGCTCACTCCCATCTCTCATATTCTCTCTCTCTCTCTCTCTCTCTCTCTATATATATATATATATATAGAGAGAGAGAGAGATAGAATGAAAGAATTTTGCGGCTCAGATCATTTGAAGATTATTCATCCGATGATCTTAATTAGAGTTTCACTCATTTTAAAACTTCTATCTATCATATAACTCTCTCTTTCTTTATTTCATATGCTTAACTCTCATACGTGTATATATATATATATCATAGACATTTTAAATACACACTCTCCTATCTCTCATACTCTTTTTTTTTTTTTTATANTATATCATAGACATTTTAAATACACACTCTCCTATCTCTCATACTCTTTTTTTTTTTATTTTATGAAAGTTTAATTGGGATTGTCATGAGAAACAATGTTATCTCATACTCTCTTTCTGTCTCTCTCTCTTAGCATTATTTGTCTTGAAGATCCTAATTAGACTTAATTACTCAAAATATTTGTATGATTTTATAGATGAAAAAAATATTTAAATTTTAAAAAAAAAATTCAATTATAGACATTCAAAGCCAAGTTAATCACCAATAAAAAATAACAACTAATACCAATTGCACCCAAAAAAAAATTAAAGTCAAGTTAATCACCAATAAAAAAATCATACAAAACAACAATAATCAAAACCAACTGTCAATTTTTTCCCTTATTTGCATTGTTTTTCTTTTATTAATGTTCATATTTTTTTTGAATAGTTAAATAGTGCAAAATAGACACTGAAACAACAAAAAAGTCAATTCAATTAAATTTTTTTAAAGTGGTGAAATTTTGATTTTGTTGATTTGGTTAAATTGCAGTGNTTCTTTTATTAATGTTCATATTTTTTTTGAATAGTTAAATAGTGCAAAATAGACACCGAAACAACAAAAAAGTCAATTCAATTAAATTTTTTTAAAGTGGTGAAATTTTGATTTTGTTGATTTGGTTTAATTGCAGCGCGAGAATATTTCTGTAGTATCCAAGAAGTCACAATAGCAAAGAATTTAAATCAAATATCCTTGCAGTTACAAGTAAATTCGTTGGACAATGTTAGTTCAGTTGAGTTTTTTTTTATTTTTTAAAAACTTAATTTGTAGTTCAATGTGAACTAAACAATANTCCAAGAAGTCACAATAGCAAAGAATTTAAATCAAATATCCTTGCAGTTACAAGTAAATTCGTTGGACAATGTTAGTTCAATTGAGTTTTTTTTTTATTTTTTAAAAACTTAATTTGTAGTTCAATGTGAACTAAACAATATATTCATTAAATTTAGTCAGAGGCTGAAAAAATGAATACTCGTCGGAAAGAAGAGTCACCATGAACAAATGTATGATAGGATAATTTTGTAATTATGTTAATTTAACTTCATGGGAATTATTGGATTGTGTTAATGTTATAAAATTTTTCTTTATTTAAACCCTTACACTTCTTTTATTTAAGACATTCTTGGATGTCCTGCTTGACAAATTTTTTGTGTTAAAAGTAAGTTCTGACATAGATAAAAACTAATATATATATATATATTATTTAATTGAAGGCGGACGACCCATTAACATTCATTCTTTCGGGATAAAGAAAGCCCAAGTGGAGGGCCTTGGCATCCACAAAAATTCCATTAACTTAGCCCACGCAACCTAAGGTTGGGCTTTAATTGAGGCCCAGGGCCTACCCACTTACATCTTTGGATTTGATCGGATACGTCATCTTTGAAGGCACAGCAATCCACGGAGAGCAGCACGCAGTGGAAGGAATAACAAGTAAAGAATGGAACAAAATGGAGAAGGCAAAATGGAATTAACGAAAGAGAAGGACAAGAAGAATAAGATATGCAAGAGGTGTAAAGTGGATTACAGTCCGTCGTTAAACGACCCTATTTCGTGCCGATTTCATCCTTCTTTCTTCGTTTGTCGTCGTCACGACGACCAGAAAAGGTAACCTAACAGCAGATTTCTTATAAACCTTCCCTCTATTTGATTTTTACCTTTCTTTTTTTACTGTTCATAGATGGTTATTTACTTCCGTTTTGTCTTACTGGTAGATTTTGCTGGATGCCTCGAGAAAAATGAGGCATTTGTGTTTCTTCTAATTCGATTACTACTTATTTACAATAACGTCTAATCGAAATCAGGACGATCAATATCTCTAATTCACATATTCATTAACTTTGCCATGTGAATTGGGAGTTTCAGATAGTTGTAATTTTGCACTGGAGACTAAAGGAAACTCCAACATTATTTCTCACCTTAAAATTTGCTAGATTCTGTGGGATTAAATGGCTAATTCAAGCTATGATGTTTATGTATAAGTTTACTCGTCTGATTAAGAAGTATGGATTAGGATAATTTGTTTCNGATGTTTATGTATAAGTTTACTCGTCTGATTAAGAAGTATGGATTAGGATAATTTGGGCCACTGGCTAAACTGATAATTCTATGCAGCAGAATTTCAAATATTGCAAGCGCAATTACCCATAAAACTATTGTAAGAGCAGGGGATAACTTAAAATCAGGTTGAACTGTCCNGCAGCAGAATTTCAAATATTGCAAGCGCAATTACCCATAAAACTATTGTAAGAGCAGGGGATAACTTAAAATCAGGTTGAATTGTCCATTAAAAATGTAGACTTTCTCTATTTCTTCTGCTTTAGGAAGTTTTTTGAGCCCACAGTGATATACAAAACCCAACACCAGGCCTAAATGCAGCAAATAAACCTGACCACGCAATATAACTTGACTGGTATAAGACCAAATAAAACATTTGGTTCAAAGACATTACCCATTTCTTGCAAGTACTGAAATTACACAATGACTTTGACATTAGAAGTCTGACAAAACACAAAAATAATTATTCTGCAACTTGATCTGAACATAACAATAGGCAGTAGGACGTACAATGGGGAGTAAGCCCTGTGTTCTGTAATCTCATTCTGCTATATGATTGGGTCATGATGCAAGATAGTAGGTCATACAATGGGGAGAGGATATGAACAGAAGTTATAGCGAGAAAAGGGCCAACCAATTATGTACTCCATTCACTCTTCTTGTGTCTTTGGTTTTTCGATGAGAAGTCAGCATGTGCCTGTGGTGTGGAGGGCAGGGTAATCTTGAGTTTTCTCAGCTTAAGTTGCACATTGGTTCTTCCCATTAGGTGTGAACATAAATTCATCCGAGGTATCTTTTTCAAGTTCCAGTTCTCTGTCATTTGCCTAGGATGGCATTCTTCTTAGGTACNTTCTCAGCTTAAGTTGCACATTGGTTCTTCCCATTAGGTGTGAACATAAATTCATCTGAGGTATCTTTTTCAAGTTCCAGTTCTCTGTCATTTGCCTAGGATGGCATTCTTCTTAGGTACTCTTNCCCCCATGTGTATGGTTTGGTTTTTAATTTTTCAAAGGAGACATTTTGAACTGCTTTTTTTTTTTGGTTTCTTCCTAAGCATTTTTAAATCAGTCTTATCTGATCTGTCCTAGTTTGATTCTCGAGGCATTATTTATTAATGTACATTCATGTGGTTGCATTGCATGTAAGTTTTAGAAATGCACCATTTTGGTTGTATAGTTGTACAGCACTACTTTAATTTGATTTTCTTGGTTGGTTGCATAAAAACGGAATGAGACCTGCGACACACTCGATCAAGTGTTGGTTTCACTTTCACCCCACTGATCATCATTCTTGCCACTGTTTTAATCAACTTACAAATGATTTCGAGTGTGAAACTTGTAAGATATCGAATCACACCACATCGTTGTCAGTTCCTTCCTTATCAACTCAGCGTTCATCGCGTAAGCTTCAATCTTTAACAGGCTGGAGGAACTTCAAATCAGAATTAGGGCTAATTGAATTGAATTGAATCACCGGTGTATTAGGCTGGTTGGGTTTTGTGGTGCAACATGCAAGCTAGTTATGGATTGACTGAGGAAGTGTAAGACATACGCCAAGATAAAACAAGTCTCACCTAATTTGATCCATAATGTAATTATTATTATTATTATTATATTTGTCTAGCAACTGCAGGTAGGAAGATGAGGAAGCTTAATATGTGGGTCGATTGATGGTCTACTTCCTACCAATTCTTTGGTGGTGTTCTTTTGCCACGCCCAAAAGCTTTAAATTTAATAATTGCTCTATTATGTCGGACGGACATACATTCTTCTACGGAAAGTCTACGATAGAAAATTTTGGTATTATATCAAAAGTTATTATTTTTAATGACAAAGTTATAAAGTTGAAAGATAAAGTTACAATTAGTTGAGAGAAGTGATCATAAGATAAGATTTTTTGTAACTTGTAATTTGGTCTTTGAAAGTTGTAATTTTTATGATCGATCGTAATNGATAGAAAATTTTGGTATTATATCAAAAGTTATTATTTTTAATGACAAAGTTATAAAGTTGAAAGATAAAGTTATAATTAGTTGAGAGAAGTGATCATAAGATAAGATTCATTTGAACAGTTGTAACTTCTAATTTGGTCTTTGAAAGTTGTAATTTTTATGATCGATTGTGGTNACACTCGATCAAGTGTTGGTTTCACTTTCACCCCACTGATCATCATTCTTGCCACTGTTTTAATCAACTTACAAATGATTTCGAGTGTGAAACTTGTAAGATATCGAATCACACCACATCGTTGTCAGTTCCTTCCTTATCAACTCAGTGTTCATCGCGTAAGCTTCAATCTTTAACAGGCTGGAGGAACTAATCAGTTTCAAATCCGAATTAGGGCTAATTGAATTGAATCACCGGTGTATTAGGCTGGTTGGGTTTTGTGGTGCAACATGCAAGNAAATGATTTCGAGTGTGAAACTTGTAAGATATCGAATCACACCACATCGTTGTCAGTTCCTTCCTTATCAACTCAGCGTTCATCGCGTAAGCTTCAATCTTTAACAGGCTGGAGGAACTTCAAATCAGAATTAGGGCTAATTGAATTGAATTGAATCACCGGTGTATTAGGCTGGTTGGGTTTTGTGGTGCAACATGCATGCTAGTTATGGATTGACTGAGGAAGTGTAAGACATACGCCAAGATAAAACAAGTCTCACCTAATTTGATCCATAATGTAATTATTATTATTATTATATTTGTCTAGCAACTGCAGGTAGGAAGATGAGGAAGCTTAATATGTGGGTCGATTGATGGTCTACTTCCTACCAATTCTTTGGTGGTGTTCTTTTGCCACGCCCAAAAGCTTTAAATTTAATAATTGCTCTATTATGTCGGACGGACATACATTCTTCTACGGAAAGTCTACGATAGAAAATTTTGGTATTATATCAAAAGTTATTATTTTTAATGACAAAGTTATAAAGTTGAAAGATAAAGTTATAATTAGTTGAGAGAAGTGATCATAAGATAAGATTCATTTGAACAGTTGTAACTTCTAATTTGGTCTTTGAAAGTTGTAATTTTTATGATCGATTGTGGTGTTTTAGGATTAAATGGTGATGGTTATGCTTATGCATATACTATTATTTATTAGGATTCTTCGACTATAACACCATAAAATAGAGAGAGGCTCATTATATAGACAAATAACCGCTTGGGTGTTAGCCTTTCTGTGCCTTACCTTCTCATTATGGAGGTCCAGTGGGCCCTTCTTAATCAGTGCAGTGTTGATGGCTTTAAACAAATCCTTTTCCCTAAAACTTGAGTTTTATAGACAACTTGTAAGAGAAAATTTTATAAAGGACCAAATTAGCTTATTGGTCTATCAAGTGTGTATTCAGTGCTATTTGTATTTGCACCCCTCATTTTGTAAATTTATCATTTTAGTCCTTCCAAACTTCAATTGTGTCATTTTATTCCAATCCAAAACAATGGTTAAATCTGACCAACAAAATTGAAGGATTAAAAATTAAAGTAATACAAATTAAAACTTTAACAGACCAACGTGGTGGTGCCTTGGGTGACTACTTCCGTTATTCAATTTTAGTAGAGATTTTATGATTGGGTCAAAGCAAGACAGATGAAAACTTGAGAAATTGCTGTGATAAAATTAAAAAATCAAAGTGACACAAATTATATGTATACATATATATAGAATAATGGTAAGTATGCCAAAAATCCTATACAACACGGGGCTTTGGATGGTAGTATACATATCTATAGAAGGAATATGCTTAATATACTTTACACTTTTGGCAACGGAATCAGAGTTTAGCATGGGAAAATTGAAATTATGAGTAATTTGTCTCTTCTTTTTTAAAAGCTGGAAAGATAAATCAATGTAGAGAGAGACAGAGTGTGTGTGTGTGTGTGGGGAGGGAGGGAAATTAAATGATATTGTTACGACCGGACCCTTTCATCTTTTTGCTGAAAAGCTGGGTTGGCATGTTTCACTGGTCGTCTTTAACTTCCGAAAAACTATCACCCGGGGCTAATTTGGTCCACTTCAATTGTTTTTACACCNACTCTTGAACAGACACTTGCAATTTATGTTGTGTTTGCCTTGAGATTCATTGCTGAAACTAACACACCTATATGCACGAACATAGCGACAAGAGGACACTCCTAAGAAACCTGGGGGGTCGGGGCAGGATGGTTGGGGACCTCACACAGCTTTTTTAGCTTGGCTGTCTGATGTCAATATTAACCACCAAATTTCCCAGAACGAATTTTGATGCTAAGGTGGGTTTATGACAAGCAGCTTTGCCAAGTAGGGATCTAAAATTAAGACGAGAAGTATTTGTCCGTTTCCATGCAATTTCGTCATGGAAGTAGTTTAACGGACAGAAAAGAATCACAAGGACACTGGCATGCATACTTCTGTCAATATGAGACACATAGCACTATGTTCAGCAATGATGGTGAAATTTTGGATTCCAAAGTTTCCTTCCTTGTTTATGGTTTAATGAAAGATCATGGCTCTTGAATCTTGATAGAGCACAATGGAGAAGCATGATTCATGTCACCGATCTTAAAAAGTTGGGATAAAGCTTTGATGAGTTGAGTTGAGATGACTTCTTGTCCCTTGCTTGGAATGAAACACCCCTTTATTGGAAGCTATATTAAACAAATTTTGTTGTTTATTTCAACATGTTTTTTCCTGATGTTTGTTTTTTTCTCCTATATGTGGGGAATTTTTTTTTCCCCTGAATAAGTGAATGTAATTGTCCACCTGGATATAATTGCACATATGTAAGTCCTGTTTCCCTTTTATTTGTGATTCTTGCTATAATTTAACAGAAAGAGATTTACTACTCAGGATTTCTGCATGTTATTTTGTTGAAGGTACTATGAACTGGGACCTGATGATCCTCCCTATGCTGCCAAATTCTATGATTGTTGTGGAGCAGAGGACCCTGAAGCATCCGGCTGCACTACTGGTTTCCATGTTTCTTATGATGACGACCAATGAAGTATTGCTCTTCTTCATCACTCCACCTTGACGGTAAATTAGAGGTCTAGAAAATTTGAATATCCTCCTCTGTTTATAAATTTTTTCTGTCTCCATTAAATAGCAGTGTTACGAATACATTCCTAGCCAAAGATGTATTTGGGGATGTTTTTATCTCGTTATTAGTTGGATGGGTTAGGAATATCCTGAGTCGAACTTAAACTCTGTTGTGACAGCAAAATAGAGAGGGCACCCTCTGCACAGGACAATGTTTTTCATTCCATCCTTGATTTGGGAGTTTGAGTTTGAGCTGCGTAGGTACAATATGTGCATGCACGGGCAGGTTTGTGTCCTTTTTTTTGTTCGCTTTCATGAGTAGGAAAAATATTTGTTTGTCCATGTGTCAACACAGTGTGGTTGTGTGTTTGGTGTGTTAGTATGCGTTTGCGTTTGGTGTATTAGAGAATGTGTGCGCGTGCATGTTTACTTTTTTTATTGTGTGTATGAGTGTGTGCATAATTTTTTTTGGTGTATTAGTATGTACATTTATTTAGGCTATTAGTGTATGCGTTACACAGGGTACGGGTCTGTTAGCACAGTGTATGAGAGTGTGTTTTGATGTGTTCTAAAACATTACTTTTTTGGGTCAAAAGGCGATCCTAGTCCGTCACAAGATCTGGCCGTGTGTAGTAAATGGTCATGGACAGATATTTTAGAGCAGACGTGTGTAGTGTAGGTGTAGGTGAGTAGCTCTTACTTTTATTGGGGATTTACAGGATTCTCGTGAGGATGATGCCACTTTCTGGTGGTTGGGGCAAAGCGAAGGAATAAATGACTAATAGAATATTCGTCAATTTTCCAAGAGGAACATGCCCTTTTTTTTTTTTTTAAATTATTATTATTTATTTTCCTTAAAATCAGGCAGATGAGGCTGGTGTTACAGCTTATCTTTGCTGTCCCCACTGGTGCATGCTGCTGTCAATTTGATTTTGAACCCACCCCCCATGTGTATGGTTTGGTTTTTAATTTTTCAAAGGAGACATTTTGAACTGCTTTTTTTTTTTGGTTTCTTCCTAAGCATTTTTAAATCAGTCTTATCTGATCTGTCCTAGTTTGATTCTCGAGGCATTATTTATTAATGTACATTCATGTGGTTGCATTGCATGTAAGTTTTAGAAATGCACCATTTTGGTTGTATAGTTGTACAGCACTACTTTAATTTGATGTTCTTGGTTGGTTGCATAAAAACGGAATGAGAACTGCGACACACTCGATCAAGTGTTGGTTTCACTTTCACCCCACTGATCATCATTCTTGCCACTGTTTTAATCAACTTACAAATGATTTCGAGTGTGAAACTTGTAAGATATCGAATCACACCACATCGTTGTCAGTTCCTTCCTTATCAACTCAGCGTTCATCGCGTAAGCTTCAATCTTTAACAGGCTGGAGGAACTTCAAATCAGAATTAGGGCTAATTGAATTGAATTGAATCACCGGTGTATTAGGCTGGTTGGGTTTTGTGGTGCAACATGCATGCTAGTTATGGATTGACTGAGGAAGTGTAAGACATACGCCAAGATAAAACAAGTCTCACCTAATTTGATCCATAATGTAATTATTATTATTATTATATTTGTCTAGCAACTGCAGGTAGGAAGATGAGGAAGCTTAATATGTGGGTCGATTGATGGTCTACTTCCTACCAATTCTTTGGTGGTGTTCTTTTGCCACGCCCAAAAGCTTTAAATTTAATAATTGCTCTATTATGTCGGACGGACATACATTCTTCTACGGAAAGTCTACGATAGAAAATTTTGGTATTATATCAAAAGTTATTATTTTTAATGACAAAGTTATAAAGTTGAAAGATAAAGTTATAATTAGTTGAGAGAAGTGATCATAAGATAAGATTCATTTGAACAGTTGTAACTTCTAATTTGGTCTTTGAAAGTTGTAATTTTTATGATCGATTGTGGTGTTTTAGGATTAAATGGTGATGGTTATGCTTATGCATATACTATTATTTATTAGGATTCTTCGACTATAACACCATAAAATAGAGAGAGGCTCATTATATAGACAAATAACCGCTTGGGTGTTAGCCTTTCTGTGCCTTACCTTCTCATTATGGAGGTCCAGTGGGCCCTTCTTAATCAGTGCAGTGTTGATGGCTTTAAACAAATCCTTTTCCCTAAAACTTGAGTTTTATAGACAACTTGTAAGAGAAAATTTTATAAAGGACCAAATTAGCTTATTGGTCTATCAAGTGTGTATTCAGTGCTATTTGTATTTGCACCCCTCATTTTGTAAATTTATCATTTTAGTCCTTCCAAACTTCAATTGTGTCATTTTATTCCAATCCAAAACAATGGTTAAATCTGACCAACAAAATTGAAGGATTAAAAATTAAAGTAATACAAATTAAAACTTTAACAGACCAACGTGGTGGTGCCTTGGGTGACTACTTCCGTTATTCAATTTTAGTAGAGATTTTATGATTGGGTCAAAGCAAGACAGATGAAAACTTGAGAAATTGCTGTGATAAAATTAAAAAATCAAAGTGACACAAATTATATGTATGCCAAAAATCCTATACAACACGGGGCTTTGGATGGTAGTATACATATCTATAGAAGGAATATGCTTAATATACTTTACACTTTTGGCAACGGAATCAGAGTTTAGCATGGGAAAATTGAAATTATGAGTAATTTGTCTCTTCTTTTTTAAAAGCTGGAAAGATAAATCAATGTAGAGAGAGACAGAGTGTGTGTGTGTGTGTGGGGAGGGAGGGAAATTAAATGATATTGTTACGACCGGACCCTTTCATCTTTTTGCTGAAAAGCTGGGTTGGCATGTTTCACTGGTCGTCTTTAACTTCCGAAAAACTATCACCCGGGGCTAATTTGGTCCACTTCAATTGTTTTTACACCTGCTAAAGTTATGAGAGACAGAGAAAGAGAGTGAGACCATGACCAGTGAGTTTTCAGAAANTATCACCCGGGGCTAATTTGGTCCACTTCAATTGTTTTTACACCTGCTAAAGTTATGAGAGACAGAGAAAGAGAGTGAGACCATGACCAGTGAGTTTTGAGAGAGAGAGAGAGAGAGAGAGATTACTTGTGTGGCCACTCTAGTCCAGAGACAGAAGAACACCAACCCAAATAATTCTTCTGTAAATTCTTCTCTCCCATCAGTACTACGAACTCTGCTTACCATACTTGGATACATCTATGATCTGAGAAACCTTCTCCCCTACATTCTCTTGTATGATAATGCCAGCAATATAGCAGCAACCCCCCACCCCCTCCATAGTCCACACACCCATTCAGCGAATTTTGATTCTTCTTCCATCTGCAGCGACATCNTTTTTTTTCCCCTGAATAAGTGAATGTAATTGTCCACCTGGATATAATTGCACATATGTAAGTCCTGTTTCCCTTTTATTTGTGATTCTTGCTATAATTTAACAGAAAGAGATTTACTACTCAGGATTTCTGCATGTTATTTTGTTGAAGGTACTATGAACTGGGACCTGATGATCCTCCCTATGCTGCCAAATTCTATGATTGTTGTGGAGCAGAGGACCCTGAGGCATCCGGCTGCACTACTGGTTTCCATGTTTCTTATGATGACGACCAATGAAGTATTGCTCTTCTTCATCACTCCACCTTGACGGTAAATTAGAGGTCTAGAAAATTTGAATATCCTCCTCTGTTTATAAATTTTTTCTGTCTCCATTAAATAGCAGTGTTACGAATACATTCCTAGCCAAAGATGTATTTGGGGATGTTTTTATCTCGTTATTTGTTGGATGGGTTAGGAATATCCTGAGTCGAACTTAAACTCTGTTGTGACAGCAAAATAGAGANGTTACGAATACATTCCTAGCCAAAGATGTATTTGGGGATGTTTTTATCTCGTTATTAGTTGGATGGGTTAGGAATATCCTGAGTCGAACTTAAACTCTGTTGTGACAGCAAAATAGAGAGGGCACCCTCTGCACAGGACAATGTTTTTCATTCCATCCTTGATTTGGGAGTTTGAGTTTGAGCTGCGTAGGTACAATATGTGCATGCACGGGCAGGTTTGTGTCCTTTTTTTTGTTCGCTTTCATGAGTAGGAAAAATATTTGTTTGTCCATGTGTCAACACAGTGTGGTTGTGTGTTTGGTGTGTTAGTATGCGTTTGCGTTTGGTGTATTAGAGAATGTGTGCGCGTGCATGTTTACTTTTTTTATTGTGTGTATGAGTGTGTGCATAATTTTTTTTGGTGTATTAGTATGTACATTTATTTAGGCTATTAGTGTATGCGTTGCACAGGGTACGAGTCTGTTAGCACAGTGTATGAGAGTGTGTTTTGATGTGTTCTAAAACATTACTTTTTTGGGTCAAAAGGCGATCCTAGTCCGTCACAAGATCTGGCCGTGTGTAGTAAATGGTCATGGACAGATATTTTAGAGCAGACGTGTGTAGTGTAGGTGTAGGTGAGTAGCTCTTACTTTTATTGGGGATTTACAGGATTCTCGTGAGGATGATGCCACTTTCTGGTGGTTGGGGCAAAGCGAAGGAATAAATGACTAATAGAATATTCGTCAATTTTCCAAGAGGAACATGCCCTTTTTTTTTTTTTTAAATTATTATTATTTATTTTCCTTAAAATCAGGCAGATGAGGCTGGTGTTACAGCTTATCTTTGCTGTCCCCACTGGTGCATGCTGCTGTCAATTTGATTTTGAACCCACCCCCCATGTGTATGGTTTGGTTTTTAATTTTTCAAAGGAGACATTTTGAACTGCTTTTTTTTTTTGGTTTCTTCCTAAGCATTTTTAAATCAGTCTTATCTGATCTGTCCTAGTTTGATTCTCGAGGCATTATTTATTAATGTACATTCATGTGGTTGCATTGCATGTAAGTTTTAGAAATGCACCATTTTGGTTGTATAGTTGTACAGCACTACTTTAATTTGATTTTCTTGGTTGGTTGCATAAAAACGGAATGAGACCTGCGACACACTCGATCAAGTGTTGGTTTCACTTTCACCCCACTGATCATCATTCTTGCCACTGTTTTAATCAACTTACAAATGATTTCGAGTGTGAAACTTGTAAGATATCGAATCACACCACATCGTTGTCAGTTCCTTCCTTATCAACTCAGCGTTCATCGCGTAAGCTTCAATCTTTAACAGGCTGGAGGAACTNTTACAGGATTCTCGTGAGGATGATGCCACTTTCTGGTGGTTGGGGCAAAGCGAAGGAATAAATGACTAATAGAATATTCGTCAATTTTCCAAGAGGAACATGCCCTTTTTTTTTTTTTTAAATTATTATTATTTATTTTCCTTAAAATCAGGCAGATGAGGCTGGTGTTACAGCTTATCTTTGCTGTCCCCACTGGTGCATGCTGCTGTCAATTTGATTTTGAACCCACCCCCCATGTGTATGGTTTGGTTTTTAATTTTTCAAAGGAGACATTTTGAACTGCTTTTTTTTTTTGGTTTCTTCCTAAGCATTTTTAAATCAGTCTTATCTGATCTGTCCTAGTTTGATTCTCGAGGCATTATTTATTAATGTACATTCATGTGGTTGCATTGCATGTAAGTTTTAGAAATGCACCATTTTGGTTGTATAGTTGTACAGCACTACTTTAATTTGATGTTCTTGGTTGGTTGCATAAAAACGGAATGAGACCTGCGACACACTCGATCAAGTGTTGGTTTCACTTTCACCCCACTGATCATCATTCTTGCCACTGTTTTAATCAACTTACAAATGATTTCGAGTGTGAAACTTGTAAGATATCGAATCACACCACATCGTTGTCAGTTCCTTCCTTATCAACTCAGCGTTCATCGCGTAAGCTTCAATCTTTAACAGGCTGGAGGAACTTCAAATCAGAATTAGGGCTAATTGAATTGAATTGAATCACCGGTGTATTAGGCTGGTTGGGTTTTGTGGTGCAACATGCATGCTAGTTATGGATTGACTGAGGAAGTGTAAGACATACGCCAAGATAAAACAAGTCTCACCTAATTTGATCCATAATGTAATTATTATTATTATTATATTTGTCTAGCAACTGCAGGTAGGAAGATGAGGAAGCTTAATATGTGGGTCGATTGATGGTCTACTTCCTACCAATTCTTTGGTGGTGTTCTTTTGCCACGCCCAAAAGCTTTAAATTTAATAATTGCTCTATTATGTCGGACGGACATACATTCTTCTACGGAAAGTCTACGATAGAAAATTTTGGTATTATATCAAAAGTTATTATTTTTAATGACAAAGTTATAAAGTTGAAAGATAAAGTTATAATTAGTTGAGAGAAGTGATCATAAGATAAGATTCATTTGAACAGTTGTAACTTCTAATTTGGTCTTTGAAAGTTGTAATTTTTATGATCGATTGTGGTGTTTTAGGATTAAATGGTGATGGTTATGCTTATGCATATACTATTATTTATTAGGATTCTTCGACTATAACACCATAAAATAGAGAGAGGCTCATTATATAGACAAATAACCGCTTGGGTGTTAGCCTTTCTGTGCCTTACCTTCTCATTATGGAGGTCCAGTGGGCCCTTCTTAATCAGTGCAGTGTTGATGGCTTTAAACAAATCCTTTTCCCTAAAACTTGAGTTTTATAGACAACTTGTAAGAGAAAATTTTATAAAGGACCAAATTAGCTTATTGGTCTATCAAGTGTGTATTCAGTGCTATTTGTATTTGCACCCCTCATTTTGTAAATTTATCATTTTAGTCCTTCCAAACTTCAATTGTGTCATTTTATTCCAATCCAAAACAATGGTTAAATCTGACCAACAAAATTGAAGGATTAAAAATTAAAGTAATACAAATTAAAACTTTAACAGACCAACGTGGTGGTGCCTTGGGTGACTACTTCCGTTATTCAATTTTAGTAGAGATTTTATGATTGGGTCAAAGCAAGACAGATGAAAACTTGAGAAATTGCTGTGATAAAATTAAAAAATCAAAGTGACACAAATTATATGTATGCCAAAAATCCTATACAACACGGGGCTTTGGATGGTAGTATACGTATCTATAGAAGGAATATGCTTAATATACTTTACACTTTTGGCAACGGAATCAGAGTTTAGCATGGGAAAATTGAAATTATGAGTAATTTGTCTCTTCTTTTTTAAAAGCTGGAAAGATAAATCAATGTAGAGAGAGACAGAGTGTGTGTGTGTGTGTGGGGAGGGAGGGAAATTAAATGATATTGTTACGACCGGACCCTTTCATCTTTTTGCTGAAAAGCTGGGTTGGCATGTTTCACTGGTCGTCTTTAACTTCCGAAAAACTATCACCCGGGGCTAATTTGGTCCACTTCAATTGTTTTTACACCTGCTAAAGTTATGAGAGACAGAGAAAGAGAGTGAGACCATGACCAGTGAGTTTTGAGAGAGAGAGAGAGAGAGAGAGATTACTTGTGTGGCCACTCTAGTCCAGAGACAGAAGAACACCAACCCAAATAATTCTTCTGTAAATTCTTCTCTCCCATCAGTACTACGAACTCTGCTTACCATACTTGGATACATCTATGATCTGAGAAACCTTCTCCCCTACATTCTCTTGTATGATAATGCCAGCAATATAGCAGCAACCCCCCACCCCCTCCATAGTCCACACACCCATTCAGCGAATTTTGATTCTTCTTCCATCTGCAGCGACATCTACTTTCCCTTCCATCATGTCTACCAAATCCAAGTAAGTGCTTTTCTTTTTTTTATCTTATCTGGATCTGATTCGGGCATTCTCATGTTTACCTTTTTTTCAGTTTATCCTTACTGGGAAATAAGTTCTCTTAGTTTTCTGTGTGGTGGGTTGGATCCATCTAGGTTAGAATTCTCATCTTTCTTTGGCCCCCAACCCCACTCTCTGTGTGAGCGTATGAAAGTGTGTAGGTTTTTTTTTTCCCCCTGAATTCGGTTACATTTGGCTATAGATCGAATTTCTTCGTTTTCAGTCTTGATCCCATTTCATTAGGGCTTGATGATTTTGATCTGACGTTGAATCAATTTGTCCCTAATTTTCAGGTGTAATTTATGTATGGTGTTTTCTCTCTATAATTTGTTTTTAGAATTTGTTACTTCTGTTTGATGCTGAATTTCTGTTACGAAGTTTGCATCTTTGGCGTAGATGCGTCTATATTTGTTTGCCCTGTACACTCAACTTATCAGGTTGTGGTTTTATGTCTCGCATCGCATGTATTATGAAATCGGATTCGATCTTGTTCTGTAATTTTTAAGATTTTTGGGTTTGCATAGATCTACTTCCTCTGAAACTGCCAACAACAACAAAGCATCACCAGCAACTCCGAGGGTCAGCAAACTGAGCAGGGGAGTGATTAAATCTGAGACTGATTCACCCTCTCCACTGCAGAACCCACGCCTCTCAGTGGATCGGTCACCTAGATCTGTTGCTTCGAAACCTACGGTAGATAGAAGGTCCCCAAAGCTCAGCACCCCGTCTGATGTAAGTTCCTGCAAATTTTCAATATTGATTCAGAACTGTGTTTAAAGTTACTATAATGGAATAAGAATTGAAGGTCCAGTTTCTCATTCTGCTGTTTTGGTTGCTTTACATTCAATTTTGGATTGGTTTTCAACTTGTGGCACCCAAATCAATGAAGACACTTTTAGCTTGTAGACGGAATGCAACAAGTGAATGAGGCCTACCAAATCTTCCGACACTAATATGCATAATGATCTGCATTGTGATTTTCCAGAAACAACCGACGCGGGTGTTGAAGGGCTCAGAATTACAGACTCAACTGAACCTTGCTCAGGAAGATCTTAAAAAGGCAAAGGAAAAGTTAGTTTCCGCTGAGAAAGAGAAAGCGCAAGCACTTGATGAATTGAAAGAGGCCCATAGATTGGCCGAAGAAGCAAATGCAAACCTCCGGGAGGCTTTGGTGGCTCAAAAGCGAGCGGAAGAGAATTCTGAGATTGAGAAGTTCCGGGCTGTTGAGATGGAACAGGCAGGCATTGAGGCGACTCAAAAGAAGGAAGAGGAGTGGCAGAAAGAGCTTGATGCTGTGAGGAATCAACACGCTGTGGATGTGGCTGCCCTTCTTTCCGCCACTCAGGAGGTCCAAAGGGTGAAGCAAGAACTGGCCATGACCAGCGATGCCAAAAACCAAGCGCTTAGCCATGCTGATGATGCAACTAAAATTGCTGAGATTCATGCTGAGAAAGTGGGGATTCTTTCAGATGAGGTGGTCCGCTTGAAGGGCTTGCTCGATTCCAGGCTTGCAACAGAGGCTAATGAGCACAAATTGGTGGCAGAGCTAAAATCAGAGGTAGAGACTTTAAAGCAAGAACATGATAAAGCAAAAGGTTTCCAGGAGAAGGTGCTGGAACAAGAAGTTTCTTTGGACCAACTTAATGTTGAGTTGGAGGCTGCAAAAATGGCTGAATCTTATTCCCATAATTTAGTTGAAGAGTGGAAAAAGAGAGTTGAGGAATTAGAGGTTCAGGTTGAGGAAGCAAATCGGTTGGAGAGATCTGCATCAGAATCCTTAGAATCAGTCATGAAACAGCTAGAGGCAAGCAATGATTTGTTGCATGATGCAGAATCTGAGATTGCTTCTCTTAAAGAGAACATGGGATTATTGGAAATCTCTACTGGAAGGCAGAGAGAGGATCTTGAGGGATCAGAACGTCGTTTGGATGCTGCCAAGAAAGAAGCTTCTGAAATAGCAAAAAAGGTCGAATCGCTTAAGTCTGAGCTTGAAACTGTGAAAGAGGAAAAAACCCAAGCCTTGAACAATGAGAAGCTCGCAGCTGCCAGTGTTCAAACACTATTGGAAGAGAAAAACAAACTCATAAATGAGTTAGAGAATTCAAGGGATGAAGAAGAGAGAAGCAAGAAGGCAATGGAAAGTTTGGCTTCGGCCTTGCATGAAGTTTCTTCAGAAGCGAGAGAAGCCAAAGAAAAGCTATTGTCTGGTCAAGCTGAGCATGAAAACTATGAAACCCAAATAGAATATCTGAAGCTTGTTTTAAAAGAGACTAACGAAAAGTATGAAAGTATGCTTGCTGATGCTAAGCATGAGACTGATATTCTTACTTATTCGATCGAACAATGTAAGCATGACTTCCAGAATTCCAAAGTTGAGTGGGAGCAGAAGGAACTTCATTTGATTAATTGTGTTAAAAAATATGAAGAAGAGAACTATTCTTCTAAAAAAGAAACCAGTAGGCTGGCAAATTTGCTTAAAGAGGCTGAGGAAGAAGCTGCTGCCACAAAAAAGGAAGCTGCTCAGGTGAAGAATACCTTGAAGGAAGCTGAATCTGAGGTGATTTATCTAAAGGAAGTTCTTGGGGAAGCAAAGGCTGAGAGCATGAGGTTGAAGGAGAGTTTATTGGACAGAGGAAATGAATTGCAGAGTATTATTCAGGAGAATGAGGAGCTTCGAGCTAGGGAAGCTGCTTCTCTCAAGAAGGTTGACGAGTTGTCTAAGTTGCTTGAAGAAGCTATGACCAAAAAACAAGCTGATGAAAATGATGAGCTTACAGACAGTGAAAAAGATTATGATATGTTACCAAAGGTGGTAGAATTCTCTGAACAGAATGGGGATGGGAGAGCAGAAAATCCTAAAATGGAGCTCTCACCTCAACAATGTGAGCAACCTGTCAAAGTGGCAGAGGACAAGATCTTGCATAATGAGGCAGTTAAGACCGGTACCGAAGTCGAGACTTTGAATGGTAACCCAAAAGAGGATGACAACAAAGAAAAGGAAGATGATGATTCGGTAGAGGTTGAATTTAAGATGTGGGAGAGCTGCAAGATAGAAGAGAAAGACTTTTCAACTGAGAGAGAACTAGAGCAGGAATCCTTTGAGGAGGAACTGGACTCAAAGGCAGCAGCTGGTGAGAGCTATGACCAGATAAATGGGTTATCTTCAACAGAAAACCTCGACAATGGTGGAAGTTCACCAACTAAAGAGCAAAATCAAAAGAAGAAGAAACCTTTGCTTCGTAAGTTTGGAAGCTTACTTAAAAAAAAGGGCACTAGCAACCAGAAGTAATAGTCTAGTTGTTGCTTGGCTTGTGCCTTTCCAGTAGGGAGGTACATTGGATTCTATCTTGCACCCGAGTGTATTTGAGTTTATGCTTTTTGCTTCCTTTTTTTTCAGAGTAGGGGATGATGTTAAGGGGTCTACCGTCTAGAATTTTTTATTTTTATATTTTCTTGATGTTGTTCCCCTTGATGGGAATATCTTATGTGCAATTGAGATTTCTTTTCTTTTTCAGTTGTTTTCGAATCTCTTCTCATCAAATTTCATGGAAAGGAGTGATAGCTTAAAAATGTATTTTAATGCCCTTTCGTCTATTTGTCATGGATAAATCATTGTGTATAGTAACACATTCAGTTATGTAGAAGCGCTATGGAATTTACACTGTTTATTTCCTGGTGGTGTTTCATGAGAAGATTATTGCTGTATCAGGATATTTATTGATACTGAAGTGAATTCTCTATGCTTTTTCTCTGTTCCTGCGAGCATGAAGTTCATCCACTTGAGGGTGGTTGAATGGTTCAATACAAGTTACCATATTCTGTTCTACGAGATTGTGTTTTATTCAGGAACGTGCCTGGATTACTTGCAAATTAAAATTTCTAGTTCAAAAGTGCTAAATTTCAAGTTGGATAAAGAAGGACAGCTCAAAATGTTCCAACAATTTGGGAAACCTGGAAAAGATTTGGAACAATCTGCAGAATCTGTTATACTAAAGGGGTTTCAATACGACTCATTGAAATTCCATGTGTTTTTTGGGGGGCTGTTCTCAGAAATTATTGGCGTACACATTATTACCAACTGGTATGAGACATTCCNAATCTGTTATACTAAAGGGGTTTCAATACGACTCATTGAAATTCCATGTGTTTTTTAGGGGGCTGTTCTCAGAAATTATTGGCGTACACATTATTACCAACTGATATGAGACATTGCNCATCCACTTGAGGGTGGTTGAATGGTTCAATACAAGTTACCATATTCTGTTCTACGAGATTGTGTTTTATTCAGGAACGTGCCTGGATTACTTGCAAATTAAAATTTCTAGTTCAAAAGTGCTAAATTTCAAGTTGGATAAAGAAGGACAGCTCAAAATGTTCCAACAATTTGGGAAACCTGGAAAAGATTTGGAACAATCTGCAGAATCTGTTATACTAAAGGGGTTTCAATACGACTCATTGAAATTCCATGTGTTTTTTAGGGGGCTGTTCTCAGAAATTATTGGCGTACACATTATTACCAACTGGTATGAGACATTCCTGGAAATATATGCTCGTTGCAATGCAGTATTGAGTGTAATGTCATGGGTGGCATGTTGCAGGGAGGGACAAGGTGCCCGAAACCACCTCTAGAGTCGAGACAGAATAGAATGTCGCGTGAATGTTGAAATTACTTCCAAAAATAGATTGTTCCTTATTACAGGTTGCAAAATTGATAATTGATGTTGCTAATGCTATGCTGTTTTTATAACTAATGTTTTTGCTGTTAGGTTTGATGGGATTTAGTGGATTTGTTTTGTGTGCAGTATATATCCTAATCCAAATGTCCGTCCACCTTGAAGATGTGCCTGTACCGCATAGTTTCGTTAGATTTGGGAAAGGGAAAATGACAAAGTCACATCACATAGTGTTTGATCAACCGTTTACACATACATGCTTGTTTACAATTATAAAAACCATACCTGTTGGGTAACCTCCTCCAAAATGGAGGTTTCCACGGAGAGAGCAGATGAAAACTGTATTTGGGGTTGGATGATTATTTATAGCCTACCAGATTGGTTGCCTACTGTATTTGGGGTTGCATATGGAAATCACCAAGTACAACATTTCTGAGGGGCTATTGACCCAACCCACCCACCCAAACATTTTCTTATCTTAGGGACTGCATGCCTATTATTGCATTTGGTTTGGGTAATAGCAAAGATCTGTATCATATTATTAATGTGAAATTGATAAAAGAATGGTTTTCTTTTAACAAGAATCTAGTAGTTGCCCCGCCCCGCCCCAAATGGGCTTTTCTTCCACAATAGCTAAAGAGCTGCGTAGGATCAATGTGCGGTTGTGGCTCCAGACGGACTCCTTATCTTGCAGATTAAGACATAGAAATGGTAAGACGAAATACGCGTTATCAACACAACCAACTCTCTCACCTGATCTCATCAAACCTACTAGCTACTTTATTAAAAGATCCTTTCCTTTCATTTCATTTGGCGGTGTGTGGCACGCTCGCTAGCTCAAGTGCTACCCACCGCGTCGACTCAACCAACATACAAAATATTAAAACTTAACTCTTATTTATTTATCGTCTGTATTTTTTTATCTAAATTTGTCATTAATTTTGATACGATTTCTCACATGAGCCGAAAATTAAGGTATAGCATAAGAAATTCGATCAAATTTAANCCTGGAAATATATGCTCGTTGCAATGCAGTATTGAGTGTAATGTCATGGGTGGCATGTTGCAGGGAGGGACAAGGTGCCCGAAACCACCTCTAGAGTCGAGACAGAATAGAATGTCGCGTGAATGTTGAAATTACTTCCAAAAATAGATTGTTCCTTATTACAGGTTGCAAAATTGATAATTGATGTTGCTAATGCTATGCTGTTTTTATAACTAATGTTTTTGCTGTTAGGTTTGATGGGATTTAGTGGATTTGTTTTGTGTGCAGTATATATCCTAATCCAAATGTCCGTCCACCTTGAAGATGTGCCTGTACCGCATAGTTTCGTTAGATTTGGGAAAGGGAAAATGACAAAGTCACATCACATAGTGTTTGATCAACCGTTTACACATACATGCTTGTTTACAATTATAAAAACCATACCTGTTGGGTAACCTCCTCCAAAATGGAGGTTTCCACGGAGAGAGCAGATGAAAACTGTATTTGGGGTTGGATGATTATTTATAGCCTACCAGATTGGTTGCCTACTGTATTTGGGGTTGCATATGGAAATCACCAAGTACAACATTTCTGAGGGGCTATTGACCCAACCCACNAGTTATGTAGAAGCGCTATGGAATTTACACTGTTTATTTCCTGGTGGTGTTTCATGAGAAGATTATTGCTGTATCAGGATATTTATTGATACTGAAGTGAATTCTCTATGCTTTTTCTCTGTTCCTGCGAGCATGAAGTTCATCCACTTGAGGGTGGTTGAATGGTTCAATACAAGTTACCATATTCTGTTCTACGAGATTGTGTTTTATTCAGGAACGTGCCTGGATTACTTGCAAATTAAAATTTCTAGTTCAAAAGTGCTAAATTTCAAGTTGGATAAAGAAGGACAGCTCAAAATGTTCCAACAATTTGGGAAACCTGGAAAAGATTTGGAACAATCTGCAGAATCTGTTATACTAAAGGGGTTTCAATACGACTCATTGAAATTCCATGTGTTTTTTAGGGGGCTGTTCTCAGAAATTATTGGCGTACACATTATTACCAACTGGTATGAGACATTCCTGGAAATATATGCTCGTTGCAATGCAGTATTGAGTGTAATGTCATGGGTGGCATGTTGCAGGGAGGGACAAGGTGCCCGAAACCACCTCTAGAGTCGAGACAGAATAGAATGTCGCGTGAATGTTGAAATTACTTCCAAAAATAGATTGTTCCTTATTACAGGTTGCAAAATTGATAATTGATGTTGCTAATGCTATGCTGTTTTTATAACTAATGTTTTTGCTGTTAGGTTTGATGGGATTTAGTGGATTTGTTTTGTGTGCAGTATATATCCTAATCCAAATGTCCGTCCACCTTGAAGATGTGCCTGTACCGCATAGTTTCGTTAGATTTGGGAAAGGGAAAATGACAAAGTCACATCACATAGTGTTTGATCAACCGTTTACACATACATGCTTGTTTACAATTATAAAAACCATACCTGTTGGGTAACCTCCTCCAAAATGGAGGTTTCCACGGAGAGAGCAGATGAAAACTGTATTTGGGGTTGGATGATTATTTATAGCCTACCAGATTGGTTGCCTACTGTATTTGGGGTTGCATATGGAAATCACCAAGTACAACATTTCTGAGGGGCTATTGACCCAACCCACCCACCCAAACATTTTCTTATCTTAGGGACTGCATGCCTATTATTGCATTTGGTTTGGGTAATAGCAAAGATCTGTATCATATTATTAATGTGAAATTGATAAAAGAATGGTTTTCTTTTAACAAGAATCTAGTAGTTGCCCCGCCCCGCCCCAAATGGGCTTTTCTTCCACAATAGCTAAAGAGCTGCGTAGGATCAATGTGCGGTTGTGGCTCCAGACGGACTCCTTATCTTGCAGATTAAGACATAGAAATGGTAAGACGAAATACGCGTTATCAACACAACCAACTCTCTCACCTGATCTCATCAAACCTACTAGCTACTTTATTAAAGATCCTTTCCTTTCCTTTCCTTTGGCGGTGTGTGGCACGCTCGCTAGCTCAAGTGTTACCCACCGCGTCGACTCAACCAACATACAAAATATTAAAACTTAACTCTTATCTATTTATCGTCTGTATTTTTCTATCTAAATTTGTCATCAATTTTGATACGATTTCTCACATGAGCCGAAAATTAAGGTATAGCATAAGAAATTCGATCAAATTTTAAAATAATTAATTTGAATGAAATTACCACATTCTAACAAAAATATTATAATTCAAAAAATTAAATTAACACAAACCACTTAATAGACGTAAATAGTATCCATAAGAGAGCCACTAACGAAGACTTTGTCTTTTTAAAATTAAAGTTTCAAATTTCATTCTCCTCCCTCTTCCTAAAAAAAAAAAATTGGTAAAAGGTTCAAGTCTCCTCCTCGAGGTTTCCCTTCCTAAAAACAAAATCAAAGAATTATTAGAATTAAAAGAAAAAAAAAAGTTAACTCACACCTTTGCTTTGCGACCATTTTTAAACATGTTCTTTTCTTTCTTTTTCTTTTCTTATTTCAAACTTGAAGCTCTCTGTTCGGCATCTTATCTCTGAGTGATTTGGAAGTGTCATTATTAGTAAGTAAATCAATTTGGGTTGACGGTAGGAAGGTATGTGGGTGGAGCTGATTTGTGGTCTGGTAATCTACAGATTGGTCCGTCGCTTCTTCTACGATGATGATATTTTCGAGCTCGAATTGTCCGATTCCAATGTCCTCTTCTCCGTCGCCGAAAGGTAAATTTGCCTTCCCTCTTTCTTTCGACCTTTATAGATCCTGCTTACTTCCTACGGAAATTTGTACATGGGAAAAAAAAACTATAAACGTTTAATGTAAAGACTCCGTATTTTCAGTGTTTGACATCAGAAAATTGTTTAAGATCAAAAGAAAAATCAGAAAATTCTTTAAATACCTCTTAGCTCTGCCGAAGGTGAGTGAGATCGGGTGATGAAAACCTTTTGCTGGCTATTTGTAGGCTTGAAAAGCTATATGGTGGTAAAGCCTACGTAGGGCTTCGGATTCCCGACGCTGATACAGGTTCGCGACAGAATATTGATATGGTTCTCGTCACCAAAGGGTAGGTACAGCTTTCTATTCACTATTTGGTTGCCTTTAAATTGAGTTCAGTTTTTTTCTTTTTTGCTATAGATTTCCGTTTACTGGAACCACTCCGTTAAGCTTGGTGAGATCATTTTCTTATTAGTTGATTGGATTATCTCATTAACATTTAAGAACGAAATCAACATAAAAAATATACAATTCAGAATTCATTTCCCGTTCTTATAGTCAAGTATCCAGAATTCTAATTGGGTTGTACATTGTGTGGCTCGATTTACAGTGAGGCAGTGGTGATATCTGTTAATAATATATCGGGATTCGTATCTATCGATAAGGACAAAAGTTGGGTTTGCACCGGCGGACATAAGCACAAAACAAAGCATCATCCAGATCCTGTAAGTTGTGATTCCATTTTTGCTCATGTGATTAATTTATTTACCACTGTTCCTGCGATTTTATCCCCTGATTAATGCTTTCATAGAATTGATAATCCGCTTTGGGCTTCCAGCTGTTTTTTTTCCTGTTCCCCATGATTTAAATAATTAATCGAGTGTGATTAGTTTAAATTTGTAAGGAACGATTTGTGATATCTTTTTGGTTCACTGGCTATGTGTATGAAACGAATGTCATTAAACTCGTTTCTTTCTCTCCTCTTCCTGTGCAATCTTAGCTATTCAAGTTCCCAAGTGAAACATATTTTTTAGGATCTTCCATATGAAACTTAAATTTCAAGAAGCAGAGCACCAAGTTTTAATCATAGTCCTTGTCTCTTTGACCTTTGCAAAAGCCATTATGATCATGTAAATCCTCGGAGGGAGTTGCATCAGTATTAAATTTTAAAGCCACCCTAGAGTGTGTTGACGCACTTCAGGTAAAAACCTTGCTAGGTAAAAAGTCGAAGTTAGAAAGAAGTTACATTTTGCAAATTGCAATTACTATGTTACTGAAAGTGCAAAAAGAAAGTACTTACCTGGTCTATCTCTTGCTTTCAAAGTTGTTAAACTAACCTTGAAATTAACTCCCTCTCTCTCTCTCCCCAAAACCAAAAATAAAGTTCATCCAAGTCTAAATGCATTCGGCTGTGGATGTTATGTTTCCAACTGGTTCACGAATTTCCCTGAGATCTTTCTACCCATTCTGGGGAATGGACACCTATCAATCAATCATTACCTTATTTGGGGGATTGACACCCCTAAAAACTAGTTAAGTGAGAGAGTAAAACTAGTGATTTTGTCAATATGCCCTCTTGGATATTTACATCTTATATGGTAAAGGTACTGAACTTTTCTGGTGCTCCAGGCAACAGATTTTGAGGGAGGCTTACAAAGATTGTGATAGTCCTTTCTTTTATTTTTTCTTTTTTCTTTGGTGGATGGGAAGTGCATTACAAGGAATTTCTAGTGGATAGTTCTTCATTGGAAGATACTGATTTTCGTGCTACATGGTGTTTTCTCTGCAAAATATGAGAACTGGGTTGAGGATGTAATATAGTGTATGTTTCAGGTGGCAGAGATTAAACAACAAGCTGCCATTCTTGAAGCATATCTTGAACAAAGGGGAGTTACACTTCCAGAAGGATATTTATCTTGCAGAGTTGTATGTCCCAACCCAAATTTCCGGTATGCCCAAGAATTCTCGTTTTGGTGTGTTTAGATAGTGTCGTATACTCCTTTAAGAGGGGAATTGTTAACATAAATTTTCTTGTCTTGAATTTTATTGCTTTGTTCTTCTTCAATGAATTAGTGATCTCATTGCCCAAGAAAAATTTGTCCCCAGCACTGGAATCTCTATTGGCCTTGCAATGCTTATATTGCTTAATTTGGCTTAGAGGTCTTTGACGAGTTTTGGTTTTACGTGGTGGGAACTATGTTACATATTTAAGCTGATCAGAAACAATATGTTTCACTGCTGAAAGTTTATCATCAGAGTTCGATATGCCCCCATAGCCAAGTTTTCATGTATTGATGCTATGAACTTACAAAGAAAATTGGGCTCGTGAGAACTCGGAGGAAATATTTACGTTGTCTTAAGCTGTGGACACAGACATGGTTGATTGTCTCTAATTGACAAGAAATAAATTATGAATGGAAAAATTAGGGGTGGTATTGTTATTTAGGTTGCAACATTATTTTGATCATTTATTGCATAAAGATTTATAAATTTGAGTCTCTTGGGAGCTGACACTTTGTATCTCCTAATTTTTATGCTTTTGTAAGTACTAGTTGATGCACACGTGAGTTGCACGTAAACCATTTTTGATTATAATTGAATTATAATAATGCATATATAAGTATCATGTGTTCATACATCTATAATTGATTTTACATAAAATGTAAACAAAGTTAAAAAGGTCAATAAATATAGAATGTAAAATAAAAAATGTAAAAAATTATTAAACACAATTAGAAAATTTACATCTCATATATCTTTCTATTAAATTTCATTTATTTAGTTTGAATTAATTCCTTATGGAGTGCATGCAAATGAAAAACACAGTTTCTCTTTCTTTAAAAGAAGAAATGTCTTAATAACAACAAATAAAAAGTCAATGTTAATAACAATAATGTTATTTGAACCTAATTTGCTAACATCATCCATCAAAACTATTAAATTGGTTGTGGGTCATAACAAATACTGGAGTTCACAGTCAATCAAATAATTATGAATGATTAGGTCAATAAATTAAGTTCAAATAACATTGCTTATAACATATAGATGCATTGAAACAAAAAATAGCACAATTCTCAATCCAAAGGCTTCTAATTATTTGTCTACTAATCACTACTCATACTCTCAATCTCAATTGTCAATTTCACTTTATTTTTCCTGCCTTCTTTCTTCTCTTCGTGGTCATAGGCAATGTAGAGAAAAATTAAAAAGTTCAACCATCTTTATACCTTGACATAATATTTTATTGGACTATTTTTGCTTTCTTTTTTTTTTCAACCACCATTATTATTTTTTATCTGGGCGTTGGTCCTTTTTTGTTTTGAAAATTTCATAATCCAATCAGCATATAGACATAACAAATATTTAGGAGTCGATAATCTTCACTTTTTTGGGGGGAAAGAATGACCTTATAGCTTTTACATAAAGGGCACATGGATAACTGATGGACTGAGTTTTATAAGAATTGGTTATTTACAAAAAGATTAGGGTATTTTAGGTAAAACCTTATTCGTTAGTAGACTCTTCTACTAACTTGGGCCAAATTTTCAACTTAAGTAAACTACACTTTTGAGTTTTCCATCTTCTAGAATCTTCTCAACAATCTATCGTGTCATTTGNTATTTACAAAAAGATTAGGGTATTTTAGGTAAAACCTTATTCGTTAGTAGACTCTTTTACTAACTTGGGCCAAATTTTCAACTTAAGTAAACTACACTTTTGAGTTTTCCATCTTCAAGAATCTTCTCAACAATCTATCGCATTTTTCCCTCACCCTTTACAGTATCCGTCACTTTTTTAACCATCTCATCCACAGTTTTAACTTCTTCTGAAATTTGAGTTGTTTGCGCATAAAAAATACGATATAAGAAATATAATCACCACTAACAACTATTCATGGTCTCTCAAGACTCATAAAACATGCAAATAAGTATCACCATTTTACAGGAGTAGATATAATTTGTTCAAGAATCTCGTGAATTTCAAGATCCATTATCTAAGCAAGGTACATGACCAATTCGATTATCTAGCTCATCCTATAAGAGTATTAGAAAAACACTAATTACATTGTGGGAGAAAGTGAAAGAAAAGTAAAATTGAATATTTTTATCCAATGCGTAATAAACAAGTGGATTCTGACTTACCAAGGATTTCCAAGAGGCCAAAAAAGAACAGGAGCTCTTGTTTGAAAGCTGCATTAGATCACAGAGTTGCTATATAAATAAGGTGATCTAGTGCGTTTGCGTGTGTGTAAAATATGAAATCCATGTACATACAAGGAGATGGTCCCTTTCAACAGGTGATCCAGTGCACCAATTATTATAATGAAAACTGATGATCTTTGAACAAAGAGATTAATAATAGACATGAGGAAAAAAAAAAAAAAGATTACAGGAGAAGAGAGAAAGAGACCTCATTGGTTTTTTCACATAGTTGAGAAGCCTTTCGCCACAAAATTTTTGTTGATTGCACCTTTAAGTTGTTGAAGCTAAAGAACCTGGTTATCAAAGAATTCCTTCAACCAAAAGCACTAAAAACAAATTCGAATCAAAGGCAACAAAGCCGTATGAGAAATACTTGCATTATCTATTACCTCACAAAATAATATTTTCGTGTTTAAAACTCACCCAGCTTCTATGTCTGCTTGTTTATTTTTGTTTGTTGGGATGTATTGCAAACTTCCATTCCTCAAAAAATATCATACGTGCTAGAGTTTTGAGATTGTTGAAGGATACTTGAGAATATGAAATGCTTCTAAGAGTATGTAACAATAGCTACATAAAGAGTTCGTAACAGTCACAAAAATTACAACTACTNATACGTGCTAGAGTTTTGAGATTGTTGAAGGATACTTGAGAATATGAAATGCTTCTGAGAGTATGTAACAATAGCTACATAAAGAGTTCGTAACAGTCACAAAAATTACAACTACTGAAAAACTGTTTGAATTTGTAAGGTCACCCTTCTACCTTCCTTTAACAAATGATCAACTTGATATTAAATTCTTATTTAAATATATATATAAACTGTAGCATTAGATGTGTAGGATAAACATGACATAGTTGTATTGTTGGAGGGGTAAAAGTGAAAAAAAAATGTTTTTCATGTATGCTAATATTTTAAATTAGTATAGATAATAAATGATCAACTTGACATTAAATTCTTATTTAAATATAGATATAAATTGTAGCATTAAATTTGTAGGATAAACATGACATAGTTGTGTTGTTGGAGGGTAAAAGTGAAAAATAAATGTTTTTCATGCATGCTGATATTTTAAAGTAGTATAGATTTTGTTGTCAGTGCGTAAAAAATGTAGGATCCTATCACTAATTGAAGTTGTCCGTGGGAATGGAATGGGCCATGAAAAAAGCGTGCGTGAATTTCTGTTAATCGATATACTGGCAGCCAGTGCATGATGATCCTACCACTGTGGGAAGGGTAGATGTATGTAGCCTTACCCTTGCATACAAAGAAACTGTTTCTATGACTTAAATCCATGAGATCTAGATCACAATGAAGTAACTTTATCATTGTGTCAAGACCCACCTGTAAGTCAATACACTATAGTGGCAAATTTGATGTCAATAAGTGATCTACGCATCCATAACATATAAATAGTAGGCTGGTTTGTTAAAGTCTGACTTTAGTTTTAATGGTCATTATTTTGGTTTGCTTGATTGATTAGCTAATTCTAAAATTTGTCAAATTCATGCAGGACCGTTCATTCAAACAATTTTCCATCTGAGGTCATGACTTATGATCAGTGGATACAATTGAAACCAGAGCCAAAGTACACATTTTCTGGCTGGATTAAGGGTGCATTTCGTGGTGGAAAGAAGGAAATGCAGGAATCAATACATCAACAGCTTATTTTCATCCTCAGCACAGCTCCAGTGTGGGATAGGTCTGTTGCCTGGTGTACCTTATATATTTGATTTTATGTGTTACCAGGCCATTATATTCTCTGTATAAAATGTATGTTTTGTGGTGGAGAATGACATCATGATGGCTGCTTTGTGCTGAAACAGAAAAGTGCAGCCTGCCTTACTCCAAACAAGTAGACTTTGCAGTTTCAAATATAAATAAATGCTGGAGACTGGAGCTACTTATGAAAGGAGGGAATAATTTTAAGGAGATGCTACTTACAAGACATAGTTAAAAATATTTTTTTTTTTAGAAAAGAAAGCAAGAAATATTTTTAAGGAAAATCCGATTAGTTAGGATTGAGGTTCTCTTGTGTTCACTTAGTTGTTGAATAGCACAGATCAAATAATAGTAACTAAGGGTTTGTTGAGTTATCAATCCAAAAAGAGTTTAGAGCTAAATAGAAAAAATAATTAGCTGCAAAGAAAAGAATACAGGAAAATATAAGAAACCTAATGGAAAATATGGACTGAGGTTCATGTAAAATTGCATCGGCAGTGAATGAGGAGTTAGTAAAAGAAAGTAGTTTTAGCATGCTATATTTGTAGGCCCTTGAGATTGCTTTTTCATAGGTAATTCATTGATGACCAATCAACTCCATCTCTTGGGCTCTACTGTGCATTTTGATGATTCTGACTTTTGACTTCTGATTTCTGTTCATGCGGTTAAATATCATTGATTAGTCTCTTTTTTTTAATTATTTACCTTGAACTGTTATCACATGAAAGTTGTTTCACTCCATGCAGGCTGGTGCTTAAAGGTAACAAATATCTCCTAGGTGAATTTCTGGAATTTAAAGGGAAGCAAGATGATACCCAGGGGTTGAGAAATATCAGGAGATCGAAAGTTGGCCGTTTAATCATCCAAAAGACAAGCATGTTTGGTTTAGGTAACTTCCTGTTATTTGTTTCTTCTCCTAATATCTGTGAATTATGCTTTTCTGCTGGAATGCTTCCTTTTTAGGAGAGGAATCAGAGTAACTGAATTCAGGATTTTGGTTGGGGACATGAGCTGTATAAAATATGCCATGCATGTCAATCTAACATGCTTGTATGTCGATTGTTTGGCCCCTTGTTTGAAAGTGCAGTAGCTGTATTAAATGTATAGTATTTTATGGAACATCATGCACTCCAGCAGTTTCCAACTTATAAGCTATTTCATGTATATGAGAATGTTACATGAGGAGTTAAATTCCCTGTTAGGGGCTTTCCTTCACTCCCTGCTTGCTTCCAGACATCTTTGTTTGCATATATCCTCTTAAGTAATAGTACAAAGATAACAGGAGGACGAAGATTCACTCATTGCGTGATTGAGCAGGATCCCCTCCTGTGGCCCCTGCACCTTTAATACTTCTTTCTCAGGTTTGCCCCCACATTAGTACTTGTTGGGACTCTTGTGATGTGGAGGCATTAGGATTCAAAATGAGCTGAGCCAAATAGATAACATGTTTAAGTTCAGCTCAAGCTCGGCGGTGTTTTTTGGATTCTTGCTCAAGCTCAGTTCAGCTTGACATTGGCTTAGCTTGATAACTCAAATTCAAGCTAAAGCTTAGGCTTGAGCTCAGCTTGACTTGGTTTGGACTTTTTGGCTCCTCTTGATGATGTGAACCACGAGCTTTTGAAACAAATGGACTGATACACTCATTTTGGATCGAGTGAATTTATCAAATATACAATATAAGATGATGATGATGAAGAAAATTGATTCACGAGATCAAGGGAGTAGAAAACTTTTGATTGGCTAGCATGGTGTGCCTCCATAATGAAGATGTAAGACCTCTATATAGAACTGTCATTGTGGTTTCCTTGATAGCCGAAGTCCTCAGGGTGAAGCAATCCCTTGTGATTGGTGGGGGTGGTTGATGATTTGTTGAAGTTGGCCAATTAAAAGCCATATTCTCGAGGAGGATAAAATTCACTCTTTGATTGGTGTAGCACATTTGACGACTAGCTGGTGGTGGTCCAAGATTATACTTTTTGATTGGTTGAAATTTTAGATGTTGGAATTTGAAACATTAGCACGCCATAGTCAAAAAGATGTTAAAGCAAGTTAGGCCAAAACAAAAAAGTGTGTGTGTATGAAAGACGCATATGTATAAGATCCTTGTAATTTATTTTAGTTTACATTTGTTAAGAGAACTTGTATCCCACATCGAATAATTAATACTATTAAGGTTGGTTTATATACTTAAGGGTCACTCCACCCACTGTCAATAGGTTTTGAATTGCATGTTGTAACATGATATAAGAGCTGGCCTTAGGTGGTTAGTGGATCAAATATCTTACACATTTGAATTTTCCGCTATGCATGTTTGTTAATTTGTTTATTGACCCCACTTGTGAACTTGGATCCCACGTGAGGGAGTGTGTTAAGAGAACTTGTATCCCGCATCGAATAGTTAGGACCACCAAGGTTGATTTATAGACCTGAGGGCCATTTCACTCATTGATAATTGGTTTTAGGTTGGAATTATTCATAGGTGTGCCTTATTTTTTGGGCCATGAAACTTTATTTAGCTAAAATGTTTAATAGACTTTCATATGTTTATTGAGTTGTTTCATTTACGGGGACAAACGGGTGGCATATTTCTGCTGTATCCTTTGAATAATTCTAAACAACATTGTGGTCCGTCAAATGCAGCTCATTCAAAGCTCCAAGTTCTGTACTCTCCTCGAGACTACAGAAGTGACGAGGCTTCAGCTTCTGAATGGAAGGAAGTAACTGTTAGATCAAGTACCGAGGTGCTATTTCAGCCACAAGATTCTAGTAAAGTCCGCAAGTTCAAGCTTTCTTCGATTGTGTCCATGTCGCTGAGCGCCTGAAGATTTCCAACTCAACATCTTTCTATTGCAATATGTTGTGTAATAAGCTAACAAGGGTGAAAACTATCAAAGGAAAGTGAGGGATGTCAAAATTACTGTTGTTATCAGTGGATTCCAATCTTTGTTTTGACATATAATGTTACCAGATATTACTTGTAAGTATGTTGCATATATTTCTGGTGGAAAATGCTTTCGGATTAATTAGTTTATCAGGGCGGACTTTTTCTATACCAATATCCTCCCCAAAAGAGTGGGCTACAAAATTGGCATACCGATTGATTTCTGCTAGCTAGAGCTTTCATGTGGTTTTCGGGAGAATGGTCTCAGCATTATTCCTTATGTTCACAAGCAAAGCATTACAAGCTCCTGCTGCTCCAAAATCAGAGTTTTTTTTTTGATGAATTAGCTTTTAGTAGGTGAGAGCACATGCATGCATCATAGTAAAGATAACTTTTGCATAGATGAAGCTGTCTATTTTACAGAGATTTGAATGCAGCTCAGGCAGTCTGTTCTGTCTGATCTTTGTATGAGGAATCAAAGAATGAAATGCCCGAGTTAGCCGGCCAATGTCTTCCGCAGGTAAACAACAAACATTAGCAACTCTAAGTTTTATTTATTTCTCTTTTCAAATAGGCAGAGCAGTTGGATGAGAAGCTAATACACAATCCTTATAGAAAATTTTGCTAGATTGCTTGTATGATTTGTCACGGTCTTGCAAGTTCATGAACATTGTAAGCAAGGTAGCTGGGTTAGAGACAATGTCCACCAGAGTTGTCTCATTTTTTTCAAATCCGTGTTGCCAATTGATTTGCAATCAAATTCACCATGAAAGCGATTTTAGTTACTATTATCAAAAGTTGTTGATACAATATTCTCACAAGTATATGAGAGAATGTCTAAATGGAAAGGTTGGTGAAAGAAGTCTAGATCCATTTCCAGATACTGTGAACCAGTTTAAGGTAATACCAATTTGAAAGGTCAGTTGATTTTTAGTCTACAACGCACTCTAAATATCCGTTTTAAAATGATATATTCTCACAGGTAAAAAACAATAAGAATTACAAACGCACTTGATACAATCATTAGCTTGTTTAACCCAAAAAAAATATACATATAATTTTTGATTCATCTTAAAATAATCTCAAACGAACATGCTTCTAGGTGGATTCCAATAATCATTCTGGATATCAACGNGCACTTGATACAATCATTAGCTTGTTTAACCCAAAAAAAATATACATATAATTTTTTATTCATCTTAAAATAATCTCAAACGAACATGCTTCTAGGTGGATTCCAATAATCATTCTGGATATCAACGATAGAAAATTATATATGGCCCAGGAATGGTGTCTTAGAAACCTAATCAGAAGTCATATACAATGCACGTCTATTTGTTTTTATCTAATAGGCAGGTGCATGCATATCAATTAACTTGGAACTCCATTGTCAAAACCCAGCATCAGTTTGTTTAGTTTCTTGTTGCTTATCCTTTGTTGATAGACTCTGTTGTCCTCGGAGCTGCTGCATATAGATGCAAAACGAAAGTGAAATTTGGATGTACATAATCATGGATCTGACAAACAACTAATAATACATGTATTACAATTGTTGAAAGAAAAATAGTTATCAGCATTATAGCTAGATCGAGTTTAGCCGCCTTAGTTTATTACATTTGCTAGATTACTTGATTATGCTAATTTCAAAATGATACGGGAAGCCTATTGGAGGGAGATTATCATCTCTTATGGTTCCAATAGGCTCTGATATGGAATCTGCCAGACGGTTGATACTAGAGTACAGATCCAGTTGATCATATCAGCTGGTTGTGTTTCTTAGTATTATAATAAGCATTTAGTATGTTTTGATTTCAATAAGGAGCATTGCAGTCTGCTGTTTTCTACTTATTCAATGAGGGATTTAATTTTCTTTTCCACTTGAGTTGTAGTGCCAATTCTTCCTGTGAATGAACTCAATTATAGTAACTAAATTTTTATTTATAGCAAAAAACAGAAGAAAACATGGTCATCAGCATGATAAAAGATATTGTTGAGTTGATGAGAATATAACCTTGATGGCCCGAGAAAGCTAGTATCAGAATGACAGCTTAATTATTTTCGGTTGAACCTTGGAGCCGTGATTTCGGTGAAAAATAAAAGACTAAAGCTTAGGAACGCAATTAGAGTAAGAACTGACCTTTGAGGTGGTGATGATGCAGAGGTTGGCAAGAGCATGTGGGCGAGCCTAATGGCATCTTCGCTGCAGTTAATGACATGGTTGAAGCATAGATATCGTCCGTATGCTGCGATGTCCTCAAAGACACTGATGTGTGCATCCACCAAAAACCTGAGGTCCACAGTAACAAACACACCATTCTCATACATCTCAGCCGCTCCTTTCAAATAAGGATTGATGACGGTGAGATCAGGACCCATCAATAGACCTCCGTTTATGGACACCATGTTTACCCCTCTGTCCATTGCTAAGGCCCACGCTGTCTTCTCTGCCAGTGTCTTTGACAGCCCGTGCCACAGCTGTCCACATGAATTAGGTCAATCCCGGAGGTTCAACTCAATAATTCTTTTTTGAAACTTCTAGACAGAGTCCAAAGATTAAAAACAAATTAATGAGCCTTTGCTATACCACAAGTCATTCAAAATGTCATATAAGAGAGAAGTTGGAACTGTGATATACCTTATACTTCTTGCAAAAATTTATGTCACTCCAATTTCTTTCATCCGTGGTTGTGTTATGTGGGTCCCTCCAGATTACAGCCGTCACAGAGGATGTGAACACCACCTTCTCAATGGTGTCTGTTTGTGCACAAGCTTCCAATACATTGTGTGCAGCTCTAACCTCTACTTCTCCCATAAATTCCTGCACCAACATTGTTGCTGCGTGTTAATGCACATCAAAGTTTATAGATACCCAAGTAAAGTTAACAACCAAAAATGGTTTTTCTTTAGTCTTTAATTTGCTTATCAAATTTTTTAGATGTATGACAATGCCAATTCATACAGGAAAGTAATAGAGTAACATACATCGTAGCTGGGCTGGTCTGAGGGCGGCTCGAAGGAATAAAACAAGGCAGAGCATCCCCTCAATGAGTCTAGAATGCTGTGATAATCCAAGGGGTCTGAGTGAAATACTTTCAATTTCTTGTTATCACAAGATAGTCCCTCTCCCTCAAAACAATGCAATTCACCTGCACAGCAGCACACCTTCCAAATTCACATACAAGTACATCCCCAATCCAAAACACAGTTACAAAACTAGAACTTGCGATACTAATAACAACACCCTATTTATGGTGTGCTAAATTGGGCGGGCGGAGGCGGACAACGGAATGAATTAGAATAGTACTACTACTATTAGACCCAAAAAGTTTCACCTATTTGTTATTTTTTTTTTGGGAAGAAACAGTTGAAAAAACAGCTGTGCCAGAGTAGTACAATTCGAATCTCGGGGGTGAATGGCCGGCCGCCCGCCCGGTTTAACTAGGGAAAGCGCAAAATTGTGTTTTGTGGAGAAGAAAGGGACGAAATGAATGTACCATAAATAATACCAAAGAGAGAAAGGGGGGTCCCCAGGAGGGAGGATGGATATAGAGGGAAAAACGAACCTTGGTTCTGGACAGTGGCGTGTACAGTGTAGCCTCTTTGCAAGAGCCGATGCACGAGGGTCGAGCCCAGGCGCCCTGATGCATCCATTACACAAACAGCCGTAGACGAGGCTTCCCGCAAAGAAGCTGGTGCCATTGTATTGAGAGAGAGAGAGTAGAAGGAAGAGGTTTGAATCTGAAGTGAAGGTGAAATGGGGGAAGGGCTAGGTGGGGGTGTGCTGCTATTGCATATTATATATAACAATAATTAGAGAGGAGAGGGAGAGGGAGAGGGAGAAAGAGAGCATTGAAAGAGTGTGGGGTTAGAAGATGTAGATGGTTGGAAAGGTGGCAGTTAACCAGAGGTAAGAAATTTGGGAAGGAATACGCGCCTGGATTTTTTAATGGAAGATTGCATTCATTTAATAACAAATTAGCACAAGAAGAAGAAGGCGAAGGCGAAGGCGAAGACGAGAAAGAATAGGTTCAAAATAATTGGACTTTGGTAGCAACGGAAAGTGTCTGTCTGTCTGTCTGTCTGTCTTCGATCGATCGATCAAGANAAAATAATTGGACTTTGGTAGCAACGGAAAGTGTCTGTCTGTCTGTCTGTCTGTCTGTCTGTCTTCGATCGATCGATCAAGAGAGAGAGAGAGAGAGAGACGTATCGGTATCGGTATCGGTATCGGTATCAGGAAGAAAGAAATATGAGAGAGGGTGGCTATTATTAATAGTTTGGCAGTGCCAGGAGTTGACGGACGGTCGTGCGCAAGCTGGACCCATCAGGGGGACCCACAATTTTCACTTATAATTGTTTTGTTCTGTTTGAGTTTGACCCAACAAACTCTGTTAATTGTGCTGGCCTGCAAATCTCACATGCAACTAACTGACCAAGTCCAGCTGGAACCCGTACAGCCTGATCCGTTTTGGCCCAATAAATTAATGCCCCATTGAAGATTCCAGATCGTCTCTGCCACTCAAAATAAACAGCTACAACCAGCTCCATCAAAACCCAAAGCAATACAATACAACTGTAATCTAGTTCATACTTTTGACTACTATACTTGTATTTGATCAAATGTAATAAATTTGGTAAGTTTGTCCCTTCTCGATACTCATCTTTTATCGCCCGTATCATTGTCTAACTGATTGTCAATGACCCATTTGACAAAGAGTTTATAAACACAACCGCTTTTACACTAGGCGGGGCCACAACACAGATATAGACAAGACATGAAGTTGATTAAATGGCCAGCTCAGGTCAACCCCCCATCCAGAAAACAATCCCTTGCGTTGACCGACACACATTCAACACCAACGCTCAGTATCAAGTAAAAACGAAATTGTAGCAAAACACAATTTTACAAGACATGTTGTTTTATGCTTCAACGGACGCAGTCAAAACAACAAGACCATGTGTGCACTTGCAATATGGTCTAGTAGGTTGATAAACCAACAACTTGCATGACAATAGAGTTGGGGTTCAAGCTATGTCGCCCCCTCTACTCATTATATAGTTTACAAGAAAACCAACACTAAATTGCTTTAAAAAAAATTTATGCCTTGCAAAGAGGGGTTATTTAGACCAATGTAAGGAGCCAAAAATGAGTAGGGCAAAATACAACAGTTTTGTTTCTGTTCTTACAACTCTCCTCCACACAATCTGAGCAAGCAACTGCCACACAAATGCTCAGAACTACAAACACAAACATTATAGCAATAACAGGGGCTCAAAAAGAGAATTCCTCTGGCAACTCTTGAAACTTGCTGGATAAAAAGGTCTTGTACCTTCCTTGGAGATATCCACCTGCAGAATTGTTCATCCAGTAAATAATGCTAGTTCACCATGAGAAAGAAGCAGTTTTGAAAGGACAATGAAGTTACCTTTAGGTTGAAATTTTGGAATGTTTTCCTTTAGGGTCGATTGCACCAAATTAATCAGATCCTTGCCTATGGAAGCAGATCGAGGAAATAGAAAAAATCATCAACTCTTTTGAGGTGGATGGCAAATTTTAAGTTCAGCTTCCACATTACAACTGAATATAATAAACATTTTGCCAGTACTTGAAGCGGTACCAACTAAAAATCATTGTGCACTTGCAGATAACAAAATGGTGTGGCCTCAGTTTGAAAAGCTACTGTGTCAGGGCCAGGTTTTTTTGTTTCCAATAAAAATTCTCCTGGAGGAAAGGAAGAGGTGGGTTCAAGCAGCACTAGTCCTGCCACCCCCTTAAAAAAGACAGCGATATTATAAACCAAGTTTGATATTTTCAATCCAAAAGAGACCTCTTCAGAGCACACTGAAATAACGTTTTTGTTGTCCAAGAAAATGAAAATTTTTAATTGAAAAGCGAGGCCAATTCATTAGAAAAAGGGTAGCTAATAAAACTGTTACTAAGTGATCAAATTTCTAGATCAACTGTTACAACTAAGCTGGGGCAAATTGACTAAATATTTTCCCTTACCAGTTGTCCGCTTCTCTCTGTCATTGATATTAATCAGGAAGGATGAAATTTGGTTTTCTTTCAAGTGCAACAACAGTGTAGAAGGGCAATGAAAAACGACACTAAAAAGTAATGAAGACATAATTATTCAAACTTGGAAAATGCATTAAAAGATGGATACGGTTTTCGTGTTTGACCTTGGACAGAAGAGCCTGTGCAAGCTCCAATGGATCAACAGAGGAAGAACCCTTGCTGTATGCAGGTACAAACTTCCTATCCTGATATCCTGCCAGGAAGTGATAAGCAGCCTGACCAGGAGAGAGCTTTGAAACAGCAGGGATAGCTCCGGAGCTGAGTCAACACAAAGGAATTTCTTGAGCATCCAGGCCAACTGACACACAAAAATATCGGGAAAGGAAGCAAGTAGGAAAGAGTTAACCCACGAAAGATGGAAAACAGTTCCATATCCCTAAATGGAAAAGCTTAACATCATGGTGAGTCTCCAAGATAATCACGTGAGGTAATTATTCAAGAAGTCACATACTAATTTCCAAAAGAATTGAAAAACAAAAAATTAGAATAACCTTCATATTTAATAGATAGACCTTACAAGCCATGATCCATATTGACCCAGTTTGCCCAAAGCAGGTGCCTTCAAATGCCAGAAAAAAGTTGAATAGTCCTCAAAATATATTGCAGCAGCAGGGTAAATGAAGTGTTTGATGATTGACCCAGTTCAGCCATCGAAATTCTGAACAAAGGAGGCTATTACATCACAAATTTATTGACCAATAATCCAGCATCAAGTTGACAGCATCTCTTCAAGAAATCAGCCCAAAAAACATTCAAAATCCATTGCTAACTTTAAGCAATGTAGCGAAGCAAGAGCAGACATCAGAAAGGGGACATGTGACCCCGCCTCTCAATTAAACATATAAAACTTGCACGGTGGGTATAGTACAGAACATAGCAGTATTCACTTCATTAAAATTTGTCATATTTAGCAATCAGGAATATGAACACACTGGTTCACATATTTTAAACACGGGTTCCTCAAACAAGGGTAAAAATATGTAACTGCCTTTTACCACACAAACACATTAACAAAAATAGACGAGTTGATAGGCTACTATTTGCCATCATGCAAACAAGGCATATTGTAACATTAATGGCACATTACCGTCTATTGCACTGTAAGTTCTCTTTTCTAGTTATGTATAAGTAAATCAACCTTTTGAACTAATTGCTCCAGAACAAAATGATATCTTCGTAACAGCTTATATATTATCACACTTTGATTATCTTGGCTTCTTGAATCACCAGCGTTTATTGCAAATAATTTAATGCACACCACAAAGAATAGCTTAACTACCAGAAGCAATGGGCAGTCCTATCTTTATAAGATTGACTCAAAAAATCAGAGCCGCCTTAGTATATATGCTACCTATCAGAAGATGCGATGACGACAGCAGCCGGAAATTTTAGTAATCCCGAATTCCCAGTTGAAATAAAGGTGAAACTCCTTCAGAAGAAAGAATTGCACCAGCATCGGCTGAAACAAAAAGACCTGAGCAGCTCTGGATGGCATCTTCTGAAGCAAGCAAAAGAATCACAGAATCGCCAGAGACAAGAAGCCTAAAATTAACAACCATCAGACATTAATACAACTTTCTAATCATAAGAATGCACTAAGAATGCCGAGCATTTTTACCTAGCAGACAGAAGAAGGCCTCCCCGTGAAGATATAATAGGTCCAGATAAGGCAGACAACGCTTCTTTGGTTCCATTAGCATCAGCAAAGGCTTTACCGCATAAATAAGAGAGGACCTTTCAATATCAGCTGCAATAAATCCATTACTAGCTTGACTTCCTAGCCCGAGAGCATCTGCAGCACTTGTACTGCATGGAAGAACATGTTAAATTGGATTAATCTTGATGAGAAACAGGAAAACTTCATTAAGTTAGAAATTAGAGAAATGATACAATGATACATAAAAGAAAATATGGATGGATAAGATATCCAATTACATAGATGCCCATCGCAACAGTTGCAAGATATTTTCAAGTCATGAAAAACTAAAGAGAATAAGGGATAGACAATTTTCGGAGGTGACTATTGAATGTGGTGTGCATAGGTACAACTAATTTTCTTTTACAAATATCGAGAAATTGATTCATAGAAAGCAAAAAGGCAGTGGAAGTGGAATATTGTCCAACTACAACCAAAAGGGCAGCAGAAAACAGCAAGAAAGAAAAACAAGTAGCATGCAAAACATCGATATCAATCTTATCAAGCGTTCTCCATATATTAACGCACCACAAGTTTAATTTTATCCAACAACACCCACTTTTTTATTCAGGCATGCATAGATCCAAGACAAACAAACCTACTTGTGACGTGGAATATTGAAGACAATTCAAACTAAATAGGACAGTATGCCGAAGATTGGGTCTCACTGCCATACAATGAGGCAGAGGTACCCCCAAAATTCGTTTATCAAGCATTTTCAGTTTAATGAATGCTTGAAATATTAAAGTGATAGAGAATTATGAGCTATTCATAATCCATTTAATTGAATATGCTTATGGAATTAACAAAATGAGTGTTTTACGTAGATAGACAAAAACAGATATGAGTACTAGCAAACCAATCCGCAATTATACACATTTACAGGCACTCAAATAAGTTGAAATATATGTGATTCATCAAAGGTACAGCTGAAGTAAGAGACGTCATCCTCTCTTTCATTCCACAATTATGTCTGAAGCCCGGATACTGCAAGTATTTCAAACTGCCTTTTTATTCTCTGTTTTCTGCTAATTAGAAAACTCCGTTCCTTCATATGGCTTCTACGAAAAGTCCTTAAGTTTCATTCATACCTAAAATAAATCTGCTCAAATTTAATTGACGTGGTTATGTAGAATGGTACATACCAAGTTATCCATATATGTTACTTGATGAAAGCAACTAGCAAAAAGGGGAGCACGGATCCTACACATTAGGTGAAATTGCTTCACCAACACAAAGACAATAGATAGATGATAGTTTAAGCAATCAATAGACAGATGTGGGGAGGGAGGGAGAGAGAGTATACCTTACTCAAAGCTAAGGCTTAATTAAAAAAAAATTCCTTCCTTAATACATATTAATTTCTTAAATTATGTATGTGAGCAATTTTTATAACAACTTAGTTGGAAAAGGAAGCCCCCAGATGTAAAATACTTGAGAAGCATCAAACCCCACAAAACCGAAGTGTATAATGGATGAGTCAGTAAATGGCCAAGGCAATCCCAAATGATTAACGCACTTTGGCCAATATACCGCAAAGTATAAATAGCTTAAAATTGTTAAATGCTCAAAAGCAGGCACCACAATATGAAATGCATTACTAATAGAAATACCTTAATGATGAAGCAACATAAATTGTCAGGGGACAGGAATCATGAGAAACTCCACGGGTAGGGGTTCCCCAAAGGACATCAGAAAATGATAAAACAGCAGGAGTATCACTTATTACACGAACTTTAAAATTACATTTTGGTGATGAACCAATAGCCCCCATTATGAATAAATATCTCCGAAATGGACGATAAGTGAATCGTGACCTGGCAATAAAATAAATGAATACCTTTAGTAGATAGGGAGGTTGAAAGCATCACACAACATTTCATAAATATCATCTCAGAGAAACCCATATATACAGACCTCTCCATTAGTTCGACAATTGTGATCAGAATAACAATATTAATGCGCATGGATCTGTACAAGTACACACAGATTAAGCAGTCATCCAAAAAAGAAAGCAATAGCCAGAAAAAATGTCGAAGTTGATAAGGGATCTAACTTTGGAAGGGATCAAAAGAAAGGACCACTTTCACTGTTTTGGTTGGATTTACCATAGTATACTATCTGAAAAGAGTAGAACTCACATTGATTAATACATACAGACAATTATATCATACTCGGTTGGAATGAGACTTTTATTACACTTACTTTGAAGCTAGTGATTTTAGTGGATTTCCTAAATATCTTATTATGTATACAATTTTGTCTACCACGTCTGTTTACAAAAAAAAAAAAAAGGAATTTGGGCATAGACAAAGGCCGATTTGGGGATTGAGATTAAAAAATTGCCAAGTTTGGTCAGCGCTAGGTGGATGCCTCTTCCTTTATTTCGACTCTGAGGAAGTGACATCTGCTATTTACTACCATTTCCTGCGCTAAGACTTTGTTAACCGAATCTGAAGTGAGAGAAGTGACCAATGGGTATTGGACACGAATGGTATAACTAGGAAATAGTGATCTATGCCCTTCCTCCCTATCTCGCTGAACCTGATGTTATCCATGCGTGAAATCGTTGCTCTATAGATATGCCACCTTGCCCTTTTGATTTCACTTCCGATAGACATCAACTTTGTTCGAGATTGGTAACCTCTAATCTGAACAGGAAAACAGCTATTCAATGAGGCAACAACTATTCAACCGAAACTAGAAAGCATGTTGTCAATTACAATAGATGTGATGGTAAGCATCACTATCCCATTTCTTTTAGCTTTCATATCTTATCCTTGGCAACCAAGATGAGCATGAAGGGAAATTAATAAAATCAATCTACTGCGGATAAACTTAAGATGTCTTGCCAGATTGAAAACTAAAAACGTGTCAAATATGATAGAGAGGAATTTTTTTTTTTTTAATTAATATCCTAAATACACAATGCCTCGGAAACAATAAAATAGACCAATATATTTAGCTTATATGCCCCAGCAGATATTTGGAGGATAAAAATGAAGAACTTCATGAAGAATATACCTCCTCCTTAACTTTAGATGAAAAAAGAGTCAAGAACATCAAAAGGGTTCTTACAATGACATATTCCTTTCTCTATAGATTTAGGCCTTAGAAATCCAAAACTAATTTGTTTCAGCCCAAGCAGTAGGCTTTCTTAAATGAATGAACACATATGCATCAATAACTGGATATAAATTGTACCAAAATTCAAATATATTGGTCCAAAATATCTGATCATTTAATAACTAATGTCAGCATAAATATAAACTGAAATTCACATAGCAAATGTTCACTCACACACAGGCACATGCATGTACTGAGTTACTGTGAAGAGATTGAGAAAAAGGGAAATAGGGGGACTTGGGCTGCAAGTTAAGACGCACCTGTTTCTAAAGTTTACCGAACCGTGCTTTCGAAATTTCTGGAGTTCCTTGGAGAACATTCCCTCTGACATGAATGGGAAGTCTTGATAAAGACATTACACAAATCCACCCAAACCAAGCTAAAACACCGAAGGAAGAAGTAAAATTACAGATACATAATGACAAAGTTGGTACCTGCAACAGTTGCACCTTTCTGATGTAGCTCAGAACGCTTCAAGTTCTGAAAAGCTTTATCCTTTACAATAACGCCTTTTCCAGCCAGAGACCAGTTAAGACCATGAGAAATTCCAGGGCCCTCCCTGCACAATGATAGGCATGAGGGTCAAGGGACAGATTTAACTTTCTCATTCTTACCACCCACACAAACCGAACGTCCTTGTCGTGGTCGTTAACAGCTCACAGAAATATGGTGACAGAAAAAAAAGCAAGACGAAAAGATACTAGTCAACACTAGAATGGTAACCAAGAATCAAGGGATTCCAGGGACATGCACACCATTGAGATGTCTAATACACACATATAACATCCTACACTATTAAAAGTCCTTAAATATGATTTCTTCTACGTATTTTTACCTTTCCCAAGCATTTTTTTTTAGGCAATTTAAAGTGGCCAACAAAATACGTCAATCCTTAATGGCTACACCTCACAGATAAGGTGCTATAGCTGAAACTAAATTCCAGCACAAACAGCAAATCCATCACACTCTTGACTAAGTAAATTTTCTGAAAACCATAATTTCTCCGGCAGGCCTTTACCAAGCTTCAAATAACATATTTATATTTATTCACATATCTCACGTCTCAATCTTAGAGGTGGTTCTTGTCTCAGATCAAAAGTTTGGTATGCCGACATCTTTAGCAGAAAGATTGAGGCAAGGCTGGCGAGACCCATAATTACAATATTACCCCACACTAATTAGCTTATGTCTAATACATAAAATAAGCACTCCAACAAGGGCCCCATTTCAAATTCTTGCCTTAGACCTCAAGTATTGTTGGGCCGGCCCTGGACTGAGGAATGCAATTTTGACCAAGTTTATCATTTGGTAGTTCAAGAACAAATTGAGGTCTCTGAGTTGTTTAAAACTGGTAGCAGGGGATTTTGAATCTATCCTCCTTCACACTTCACTTTCCAAACTGTTACATGTTTTGACTTAAGATCAAATAAATGCAAAGGAGACAAGAGAAAACCACCAACCCAAGGGTTACCTGCTAAACACATATTACACACATGCATACTAATAGCATACAAGAATATAGTAATTATATACACAAGGCAGAGAAATAGAGTCATAGACATACTCATGTTTCTATTACATATGAGCGTGGACCATTGCTTGGTTCAGATGTTATATTAATGCACTTTTTTGATACATGATAAATGAGATGGAAAACATATGATATGCATTTATATACACAGGGTACTCCACTTTTTATACAATTATAATTATGAATGAGCTAAAAAACCAAGTCAAATGAAAAGAAATATACCCGAACAAAGGGTAGTCTACTGTATATCAAAAATTATCAACTGTAACATCACCTTGGAAAGACAACGCTTTCAGCTTCCTCCTCAATCAATGGGGCATAAACTGCATGCTGCAGAATCCCAGAAGAAGGAATTTACTGTCAGATTGTGTGCATATTCAATGCTGAAAAAATACAAGAATACGGGAGCGGAGCATTAGTGATGCATTGCAATAAAACCATATGCAAAACAAAAGTTAAGGTTAAACCTCGCAGCTCTAGAACTGGATTCAAACATCTAAAATATGGACACATCAGAGAAATCCTCTTGCCTGGACGAGTTACTTCCCCTAGTCAGGGACCATTAAGATAGAAGAAGAGATTCTATTCCAACCACATTGGGGATAACTTAGTTATTGGAAGGCCAAACCAACTGGACACAAAAGCCACATATTGATGGCAATAGAAGAACTATGCTTTCTCATGACCAAGAGAAGTGGAATTCACTTGGCAGACATACGGGCTGGTTTAGCACAGTAGGAAGATGATTCAGATGGCCCACAAAAATATTCGAAAATTCAGAGGTATAATCAAATAACTGCGTAGTGTAAGTTTGTGTTCCATTTTTTTTTTTGCATCAATTAGTAGTAGACCTGATGCTTATACTACCACTAGTTTTGGAAGTTGGTTGCTCAACTTATGTCAGCCCTATAGAAATCCATACCAACACAGCATTGTCCATATAGCAAATGTATCATTGAGGTACTTGTACTGTGCAATCAATGCCAACCATAATTTGACTGATATTGGCAACACCACAACTAGTAAAAAAGCTGAGTTGAGCTCAGTTTACAAAAGCTTAGAAGCTAAAACCAAGCCTGCAGATCAATATCAGCATCGACAGTAAATTTTCAGCCCCAAATTCGAGACACTAGTGCTGAGGAATTCAAAAAGGAAAGAACTCATTTCATTTTCCAACTATTAAAAGCAGAGAACCAAGTAGGCATCTCCACAAAACCACACCAAATAGCCCAATATAAAATTCGTTGACGATCGATCATATACATAGCATATATAGATAGATAGATAGATAGATAGATAGATAGATAGATAGATAGACAGACAGATAGGCGACTGATGAAATTTGGAAATAACAGAGATATTTGAAAACACGGAGAAACAGAGACAGAGAGAGAGACTGACTCGTCGGGAAGAGAGAGGGAAAGGAACAGAAGAGTTGCTGACAGAAACAGCGGTCGCTGAAACACCACGATGTGATGATGAAAATGAGCCGTTGATGAATTGCTTGAGAATAAGTAGGTTCCTCATTTTGGTGGTGCCCGATTCGATCTCTTATTCGTTAGCTGAGTAAGTAGAATCACACATGCTGCCCTTTGCCGTCATTGAAAGCCTTCGCTTGGGAAGACACTGCGCTCCAAGGCCAGGCCAAAACCCCTAACTATAAACCAACAACCCCAAATAAGGAAATAAAACATAATTAATCTAATAGAAAAGCAACCAAAGCACATATAACCAAAGAAATGCTATACAATTATAGGTTGTGTAAAACATGAAAACAATAACGAAAAAAGAAAAACAAACAGTGGGATAATGAGAGTGTTGGGAATTGAAAATAATAACAACAATGATCATAACAAGTAAGAAACACAAGAAAATGTAGAAATAGTCATGTGTAAAACACATTTCACATGTAAAAGAAAACCAATTAAATTTGCACAAAGAGATATACTTATCTTTTCGTTCCTAAACTCCGCTTTCAAGCTAATCTCGTTCATTCCACTAACACCTGAAATCAAAGTACAAATTAGATTAATTACACACATACAAATAAAAATCCAAAACATAAAAAAAACAATAAAAATAACAAATAGGATAAGAATGATGAGGAGGTGGAGCAAAAGAAGCAAAAGAACAATAAACCCAAATCCCTAACCTCTAACCCCAAATCCGTAATCCGTAATCCTTAATCCTTAATCCCAAATCCCTACTCCCTAAGCCCTAACTATAAACCTAATACCCAAAAAAAAAAAAAAAAACATAAGTAATCTAAAAGAAAAGCAAACAAAGCACATATAACCAAAGAAATGTTATGCAATTATAGGTTGTGTAAAATATGAAAACAATAACGAAAAATGAAAAACAAACAGTGGGATAATGAGAGTGTTGAGAATAGAAAATAATAGAACAATAATCATCATAAGTAAGAAACACAAGAAGATGTAGAAATAGTCATGTGTAAAACACATTTCACATGTAAAAGAAAGTCATTCAAATTTGCACAAATAGATATACTTATCTTTTCGCTCTTAAACTCCACTTTCAAACTTATCTCGTCCATTCTATTAACAACTGAAATAAAAGTACACATTAAATTAGTTACACACATAAAAATGAAAATCCAAAATATAAAAAAAACAATAAAAGAAAAAAAATAGGATAAGAATGATGAAGAGGTGGAGCAAAAGAAGCAAAAGAACATTAAACTCAAATCCCTAACCCCTAATCCCTAATCTCTAATCTCTAAAGCCTAATCCGTAATCTTTAATTCCTAATACTAAATCCCTACTCCCAAAGCCCTAATCCATAATCCCAAGTCCCTACTCCCTAAGTCCAAATCCCCAACCCCTAACAATAAACCGACAACTCAAAAAAAGAAAATAAAACATAATTAATTAAATAGAAAAGCAAACAAATCACATATAACCAAAGAAATGTTATGCAATTATAGGTTGTGTAAAACATGAAACAATAACAAAAAATGAAAAGCAAACAGTGGAATAATGAGAGTGTTGGGAATTGAAAATAATAGAAACAATAATCATAACAAGTAAAAAACACAAGAAGATGTACAAATAGTCATGAGTATAACACATTTTACATGTAAAAGAAATCAATCAGATTTGCACAAATAGATATACTTATTTTTTCGCTCCTAAACTCGAATTTCAAGCTTATCTCGTCCATTCCACTAACAACTGAAATCAAAATACACATTAGATTAGTTACGCACAAAAAAATAAAATCCAAAACAAAACAAAAACAATAAAAGAAAAAAATAGGATAAGAATGATGAGGAGATAGAACAAAAGAAGCAAAAGAACAATAAACCCAAATCCCTAATCCCTAATCTCTAAAGCCCTAATCCCTAATTCTTAATCCCAAATCCCTCTCCCTAAGCCCTAGTCCCTAATCCCACATCCCTACTCCCTAAGTCCTAATCCCCAACCCCTAACTATAAACCAACAAACTAAAAAAAGGAAATAAAACATAATTAATCTAATAGAAAAGCAAACAAAGCAGATATAATCAAAGAAATGTTATGCAATTATAGGTTGTGTAAAATAAAAAAATAATAACAAAAAATAAAAAATAAACAGTGGTATAATGAGAGTGTTGGGAATACAAAATAATAAAACAATGATCATAACAAGTAAGAAACACAAGAGATATAAATAGTCCTATGCAAAACACATTTCACACGTAACAGAAAGTCATTCAAATTTGCACAAATAGATATACTTATCTTTTCGCTCCTAAACTCCGCTTTCAAGTTTATCTCGTCCATTCCACTAACAACTGAAATCAAAGTACACATTAGATTAGTTACGCACATAAAAATAAAAATCCAAAACAAAACAAAAACAGTAAAAGAAAAAAATAAGATAAGAATGATGAGGAGGTGGAGCAAAAGAACAATAAACCAAAATCCCTAATATCTAATCCCAAATCCCAACTCCCAACTCCCAACTCCCAACTCCCTAAGTCCTAATCTCTAACCCCTAACTATAAACCGACAACCCAAAAAAAGGAAATAAAACATAATTAATCTAAAAGAAAAGCAAGCAAAACACATATAACCAAAGAAATGTTATGCAATTATAAGTTGTGTAAAACATGAAACAATAATGAGAAAAGAAAAGCAAACAGTGGAACAATGAGAGTGTTAGGAATTGAAAATAAAAGAAACAATGTTCATAACAAGTAAGAAATACAAGAAGATGTAGAAATAGTCATGTGTAATCCAATCAAATTTACATAAATAGATATACTTATCTTTTCGCTCCTAAACTCCGTTTTCAAGCTTATCTCGTCCATTCCCCTAACAACTAAAATCAAAGTACAAACAATTTATTAGTTACGCACATAAAAATGAAAATTCAACACATAAAAAAAATAATAACAAAAAAAAATATGATAAGAATGATGAAGAGGTGGAGCAAAAGAACAACAAACCCAAATCCCTAACACCTAACACCTAATCTCTAATCCCTAATCTCTAAAACCCTAATCTCTAATTCCTAATCCCAAATCCCAATTCTCTAAGTCATAATCCCCAACCCTAAACTATAAACCGACAAACCAAAAAAACGAAATAAATCATAATTAATCTAATAGAAAAGCAAACAAAACATATATAACCAAAGAAATGCTATGCAATTATAAGTTCTGTAAAACATGAAAACAATAACGAAAAATGAAAAGTAAACAGTGGGATAATGAGACTGTTGCGAATTGAAAATAAGAGAAGCAATGATCATAACAAGTAAGAAACACAAGAAGACGTAGAAATAGTCATATGTAAAACACAATTCACATGTAAAAGAAAGTCAATCAACTTTACACAAATATATATACTTATTTTTTCGCTCCTAAACTACGCTTTCAAACTTGTCTCATCCATTCTACTAACAACTAAAATCAAAGTACACATTAAATTAGTTACGCACATAAAAATTAAAATTCAAATAAAAACAAAAACAATAAAAAACAAAAATAGGATAAGAATGACGAGTAGGTGGAGCAAAAGAACAATAAACCCAAATCTCTAACCCCTAATCCTTAATCTCTAATCTCTAAAGTCATAATCCCTAATCTTTAATTCCTAATCCCAAATCCCTACTCCCTAAGCCCACATCCCTAATCCCAAATCCCAACTCCCTAAGTCCAAATCCCTAACCCCTAACTATAAACCGACAACCCAAAAAATGGAAATAAAACATAATTAATCTAAAAGAAAAGCAAGCAAAGTACACATAACCAAAGAAATGTTATGCAATTATAGGTTGTGTAAAACATGAAACAATAACGAAAAAAGAAAAGCAAACAGTGGAACAATACGAGCGTTGAGAATTGAAAATAATAGAAACAATGATCATAACAAGTAAAAAATACAAGAACATGTAGAAATAATCATGTGTATAACACATTTCACATGTAAAAGAAAGTCAATCAAATTTGTACAAATAGATATACTTATCTTTTCGCTCCTCAATTCCACTTTCAAGCTTATCTCGCCCATCCTTAACAACTGAAATCAAAGTACAAACAATTTGTTGGTTACGCACAAAAAAATGAAAATTCAAAATATAAAAATAACAATAAAAGAAAAAAATAGGATAAGAATGATGAGCAGGTGGAGCAAAATAACAATAAACCTAAATCTCTAATCCCTAATCCGTAATCTCTAATCTCTAAAGCCCTAATCCCTAATCCCTAATCCCTAATTCCTAATCTCAAATCCCTACTCCCTAATCCCTAATCCCTAATCCCAAATCTCTCATCCCAAATTCCTATCCTATAAGTCCTAATCCCCTACCCTTAACTATAAACCGACAAACCAAAAAAAGGAAATAAATCAAAATTAAACTAATAGAAAAGCAAACAAAGCACAGATAACCAAACAAATGCTATGTAATTATAAGTTCTATAAAATATGAAAACAATAACACAAAATGAAAAGCAAACAGAGGTATATTGAGAGTGTTGCGAATTGAAAATAATACAAACAATGATCATAATAAGTAAGAAACACAAGAAGACATAAAAATAGTCATGTATAAAACACATTTCACATGTAAAAGAAAGTCAATCAAATTTACACAAATATATATACTTATCTTTTCGCTCCTAAACTCCACTTTCAAGTTTATCTCGTCTATTCCACTAACAACTGAATCAAAGTACACATTAGATTAATTACGTACATAAAAATGAAAATCCAAAACATAACAAAAACAATTAAAGAAAAAAATAGAATAAAAATGATGAGTAGGCGGAGCAAAAGAAGTAAAAGAACAATAAACTCAAATCCCTAATCCCTAATCCCTAACCCCTAATCTCTAAACCCTAATCTCTAAAACCCTAATCCCTAATCTTTAATTCCTAATCCCAAATCCCTACTCCCTAAGCTTTAATTCCTAATCTCTAATCCCAAATCTCAACTCCCTAAGTCCTAATCTCAAACCCCTAACTATAAACCGACAACCCAAAAACAGGAAATAAAACATAATTCATCTAAAAGAAAAGCA